AGACGCAGCACCCCCTGGCGCAGCACCCCCAGTCGCAGCACCCCCAGGCTCAGCACCCCCAGACTCCGCACCCCAAGGCTCAGCACCCCCAGTCGCAGTACCCCCAGGCTCAGTACCCCCAGACACAGCACCCCCAGGCTCAGCACCCCCAGGCTCAGCACCCACGCGCGTAGCACCCCCAGAGTCAGCACCCCCAGGCTCAGCACCCGCAGCAGGACCAGAGTCACCAGCAACCTCGACCGGCTCGACTGCGTCTACCTGGGACACACCTGAAGGGGCAGGACCCTGAGGGGGAAGGGGGTCTACCGGGGGGGGACCTGGCACAAGGAAGTGCGGTGGCGGGGGGAGGGAAGGAGTGCGGTAGGGGAAGAGGCGGTAGAAGGGGACTGGCTCGTCGAACGTGACGTCCTGGGAGGACAGAACACGACGAGAGGAGGGGTGGTAGAACTGCCACCCTGGGGCGTCAGGGGGGAAGCCGAGGAAGACACAGGGAGCAGCACGAGGGGACAGCTTGTCCGCAGACAAGTCGCGGACAAACGCCCGAGATCCCCAGACACGGAACGCAGACGCATCGCCGACCTTCCCCGTCCACAGCAGAGCTGGGGAGGTCTCCGGCCGGGAGACCCTGGGGTGAAGGTTGATCTGATGCGCCGCGTACCGAACCGCAAACGGCCACAGAAAATGGGGGGCAGCCGCATGCATCATGGACGTACGAGCGACGTCCATGACCATGCCAATGCGGCGCTCAGCAATCCCATTTTGCTGTGGAGAGTCCGGAAGCGTAAAGGTCTGGCGGATGCCTCGTGCACGACAGTAGGCTCGCAGAAGGCCAGAGGAGAACTCTCCACCTCGGTCAGAGTGCAGACGCAGAACAGGAAAGTCCGAGCCGAAGCTCCTCCTGAGCTGGAGACGAGCTGCGCGGATCCAGTCGATCAACACCTCAGTGACATCACCCTTGCTGCGCAAGGGGAAGACTGTGGTGTAACGCGAGTAGTCGTCAACCACCAGCAGGAAGTAGCGCTCGTGACCCTGCCCACGGACGCGGGCCGGGCCCCACACGTCCATGTGAAGCGTCTGCAGAGGAGCCTCTGTCGGGGGAAACTGGGAGGAGTGAGGGGCAGCCCGGAGCCGCCCCTCGACACAGGGGACACAGGAAGGTCCGGGTCCCGAAGGAAGGGGAGGGAGAGACCGGGGAAGACCAGAGACAAGGACACGGGAAGCCATGCCCCGAAGACGAGGCAAGGAGGGGTGGCCAAGACGGTGGTGCCACAGGAGAGTCTCCTGAGACAGGCGGCGACACGAGCAGGGGGCAGACTCAGGACCAGACCTGGACGCAGCAGCAAACACCTGACCCGACGCAGCTACCTGGCCAGACGCAGGGACAGGAGGAGACTCAGTGGTCAGGGTGTAGAGACTCGACCCCGGTCGACGCGAAAACGTGGCCAGGTGTCGGCCTGTGCGGGCGTCCGAGCAGTGGGTCACCCGCTGACTCGCAGGAGTAAACTGGTGAACCCCCGCATCCTGCAGGTCAGCACCACTCACCAAGTTCGTCGAGAACGAGGGGAGGTACAGACCAGACAAGGTGCCCGAGGGGGCAGCCGGACACGGGAGGACAGTGGAGAAGTGAGAGAGGACAGGACCCCCAGAGGGGTCAGCCAGGGAGACTGCAACCGGCCGGCCAAGCGGCGTGAGTGTGGTGCGGTCTCGAAAGAAGGAGCGAGAAGCCCCTGAGTCAAGCGTGAGCAGCATATCCGTGCCCATGAATTGGAAGGGGGAAACGGAATGAAATGAAATGCGAGATCGAACGGACCGCGACATGCGACGCGCGCGACGCGGACCCAATGCGCCCGTTTTCATGAGGAATACTGTACGTCTGGTCGTGTCGTTCAAACGAGTTGGTTCATCCGCTATCTCCAGGAATAATTTGTAATATTTATCATGCCGGTGTACATGATAGGTGTGGACAGCATTGGTTATGGAAATGACTAACAATGGCAAACGTGATTCTTTCAGTAACTACATAACCCATTTTCCCTCCCCAGGTACATTCCAACCATCAAATGCTCTCGAATACACAAACAGAATCAAACTTACCGGTATGTTGTATGATTTGTGGCCCCCCCTGATCTAAATCAAGGCTAGTAGAGCAGTTTGGCGATTTCTGCATTGGCTTTAGGTATAGCAGATAACCACAATCTTATACGAACCTTCAGCCTATGCATACTGTATCTATCCTTTTTTGAAGCGGCTGCTGAGTCTGCCCATAAGTGGCAGGGCTCGAGTGAGCTTCCGCAGCTCTGGGTACGTCTCAAGCATCCAGCCTGGGAGGGCAAGGGGAAAGGTGAGGAAGAAGTGAGATGGATAAGATCACACAGGGTGGCATCATGACACAGAGGTGGCGGGCTTTTCGAGTGATCCGTCGAGTGTGATTCATGTGCTGCATGTCGTGCCCGTGACTCACCAAGTGTGTACGCGAGGATGTAGTTTATACCATCATGACATGCCGTGACTCACCGAGTGTGGTTGTGGGAAGGAACTCTATACCCGGGATGGCTTGCTCCACGACGACAAACACGGGAGACTGGTGGGCGATGGCCGTGACCATGCCACTGCCCATGCCACGTGATACACACATACAACCAGCACACGTGTACGTACTAATGCTCCTCGGACTCACCAAGTGTGGTGGTGGGAATGAATTCTACGCCCGCTATGGCCTGCTCCACGAAGCCCACACTGGAGAGGTGAGAGCTGTGCGCCATGACCATGCGAATACCCACGCCCATACCAAGCCACCAGACACACACACGCACACACACGTGAGCTCCTCACTGCTACCTACTAGCACTCCTCACACTCACCAAGTGTGGCCGTGGGGATGAACTCTATGCCCGGTATGGCTTGCTCCACGAAGCCCACACTGGAGAGCAGCGGTGCTCGGTACATTCTCTGGAGGGGGGGCGTGGGGGGGGGTAGGAGGGACAGGAGAGCAGGGGGCAGCGAAAGAGTGGGTGAGTTTGAGACGACTCAAGGGTCAGTGGAGAGCAGCGGTGCTCGGTACATTCTCTGGTGGGGGGGCGGGGTGGGGACAAGAGAGACAGGCGAGCAGGAGAGACAGGAGGAAAGGGGGCAGGTGAGATTAAAGATACGAGTGCAGGTGCATTAGCTCAAACAACTTACCTCCTTACGCAATCCCTTGGAACATCTCAGCATCTGTTGAAAGCAGAAAGCACCCGAATGACTGTTGCAGACACCTGGGCGTCTGTTGGAAGCACAAGAATGACGCACCTGAAAGGCTGTGGAAGGCACCTGATGTGTATGTTGAAAGCACCTGAATGATGAAGGCCGATGTAGGAATCCAGATGTAGTCCAGAGGGACAATGTGGCGACTGGCCAACAACCTGGGAGCCGTGAGTGCGGGGGGGGGGGGGAGAGAGTCAGATGTAATTTTAAAGGGACAATGCGCCGACTGGCCAACAACCTGGGAGCGTGGGATTAATGAGTTGTAAGTTGGGAGAGAGAGGGACAGAGGGGGAGGGGAAGTGAATGGGAGGGGGTATGCAAGACAAAAATCTTGTCAGAATAAGAGTGCATAAGAAGCGGAGGAGAGGTAGAGAGGAAGAGAGGAGGAAAGGAGCAGATGAGGGGAGGGGAGAGGAGGACAGGAGCAGCAGGCCCACCCCAGCAGGTCAACGAAAATGCTGATGACCAGCTTATTCCTCTTCTCCTCCTCCTCTTTCGCCTTCGCCTCTCTCTCCTTCTCCGCTTCCTCCGCGGCCTTTTCCGCATCATCCACTTTATCCTTCTCCCCGTCCGACTCTCCTTTCCAAAAAAACGCTCTTGTATGGAAACCCGGGCCGTGTCGATAACGCGTATGAAGTCCCTGCGTGGTTTGATTCCGGCTCTGGATAAAGGCGGGAGACGAACCGAATCCCCGCAGCCCGTTTCCTGTGATCGACGAATTTATAAAGCCTGTGTTTCTTTGCGGGGAAGCTAACAACGAGGATCGTTGCATGCATTCCTCAACGCCAGCCCTGGCTTGGAAGCGAATGCTGGAAGACTGGGCGCCGCCGCTCGCGCGCGCGCAAGACGCGCTCGAAATCGCGAGATGATCTCCGTGAGGTGAGGTGACGGTATTCTGGCGATCGTGGCTTTCTGAGTAACTTCGCAGATTTCGCGAGCTTCGCAGAGAGGAGGGACAGGCGAGAGTCGCCATCGCGAACGAAAAAATGTTGCTAAGTCGCGCGACTCGCGCGACAGATTGGAAGAGGGTGCTGAATGCGGTGAACGGGTATTGGTGATACTGGTGGAGGGAGAAAAATGGCTGAATTGGGGAGAAAGAGTGGAACGGAGGAATGGAGACGTGAATTCGAAGCAATCGAACACTGGAGGCAGGCCAGAAATGCCCACAAGGAATAGAAATTGCTAGGACTCGCAGCGGTTCAGAGCGGTGTTCTGGAAACGGCTTCAAATTGCACAGCATCGTACTCAAACGCTGTAATTGAACAGAACAAGCTGAAGTCACTTGATGTTCCCTGGGATTCTGGAATTTCAGTTCAGCGCCTGAAGCTATCTTTTGATATTGTACGCTTACTACAGTAAACTTTGGAAAATAATATGTGTTTCGAAGGAATACCACGTGGGAGCTGGCGAAGGATCGAATCAGTAACACCAATCGCCCTTCGTTATAAGAACAAACCCACTTCCCCCAACATCGATATTGCCTTGGGGAGTTTCTCCTGTCCTTTCCTCTTCGCCTCTTATTTGCGACGCTACGTTATAGACGCTTCAGCTCACAGTAACTCAGAGTGTCCGTTCGCTTCAATCACCCTCCGTTATAGCTGCATTCTCGCCGCGGCGCGATGGAAGGCGTGGAAGAGCGGCTCCTGCGAGCGCTGAACGAGGCGGGAGAGATTAAAGACTCCGGCGAATGGGCCGCGAATGCCGGCGTGGATCACGCCGCGCTAGTCGGAACCATTAAGAGTCTTCTCGCCTACGAAATGATCGTGGCCGAGGTTCGTCGAATCTGCTAGTTATTGCTCGACCGGTCGACTTTACTAAGTCTGTCGCTTAACAATAGTTTAGCGCCACTGGTTAGCTTTAGAGGATTCTTCGGGATTCTTGATTCGCTCTCTAACTCAAATGTAAGACTGTTCCTGTACCGTCCGTTCTTATAACAGGAGATCGAGCACCAATCATGGACGCTCACAGACGAGGCAAAGGGGTATCTCGACACGGGCTCGCCCGAAGCGCAGGTGTTCAACGCCGTGCCAGATGGCGGCGTCCCATTGGACGCGCTGAAGAAATCCCTCGGCGCGGTCGCGGATATTGGCATGAAGCAGGCCATGGCGAATAAGTGGCTCGCTATAAGCAAGGGCGAGGGGGGTCCCACTGTTCAGCGGAAAGTGGCTTCTATCGAGGATAAAGTGCAGCGGTTGCTGACAAGCCTGAGCAAAGGAGAGGTGAGAGGGGGGAGCGGGAGGGGGAAGCTGAATCTGAAGGGGAGTGGGAGGGGGAGGGGGGAAGGGGAGGAGGGAGGGCGACGGGGAAGGGGAGGAGGGAGGACGAGGGGGAGGGAAAAAATGAGGTGTGGGGGGTGAGAGGAGGCTAACGTTGTTGTATGCCAATTGCATCTGAAACATTAGGGGACGATCAGTGTGGTATTCCCTCGTTTGAGTCACAGACCACATTGTCTGGGTTGGCGAATGCACAATGTGGTTACCACCTGCTTGTTACAATGCGGTTGTTTCCGGACCCTGTCATCTCCCACCCATCTTCCCCCCCACTCCACCCACCCCACTCCACCCCACCCCACCCCACCCCACCCCATCTTCCCGCCTTGTGTCCTCACCACTTCCGCTTCCCCTGGACCCTTTCACCCCCGTCTTCCGCCCATTCCCCCTTTGATCTACTCAAAGAAGCGCAAGCTGGTAGCCTCCAGCGTGTGGCAAAACTGAGAACAAATTCTCCCTTCCCCACACCCTTTTCTCCCCCTTACCCCGCAGACCCTCCCCACCCCCGACCTGGACTATCTACACAAGAAGCGCAAGCTAGTGTCTCCCAGCGTGTGGCCCACATACGCGCTGGGCAACGGCCTGTTTCTCGTTCCTCCCTCGCTCATGCTATCCATTCCTCCCTCATCCCCCCTCCCCCTTTCCCCACAGACCCTCCCTGCGCCCGACCTGGACTATCTACACAAGAAGCGCAAGCTGGTGTCTCCCAGCGTGTGGCACACATACTCGCTGGGCAAGGGGCCTTTTCTCCTTTCTCCCTCACCCTCCCCTTCCATTCCTCCCTCGTCACCCACTCCCCCTGCCCCTTCCCCCAGACTCTCCCCACCCCCGACCTGGACTATCTACACAAGAAGCGCAAGCTGGTTTCGCCCAGCGTGTGGCGCACGTACGCGCTGGGCAAGGGGGCCAAGTTCGCGCTGGAGAAGAAGAAGGCTGCCACGGACCTCACCAGAGAGATGATCCAGAGGTGTGTCAAGTGGTGCTGTGCGGTAATGCGTGGTAACAGAGCGCTAAGATGCGGTACAGAGCGGTGCTGTGTCATTGAGTTGACTGGAATGGAAGCACGTACGCGCTGGGCAAGGGGGCCAAGTTCGCTTTGGAGAAGAAGAAGGCTGCCACGGACCTCACCAGAGAGATGATCCAGAGGTGTGTAGTGCGGTGCAGAGTTGTACGGCTGTGGCGTGTGCCTGTTTGTGCGTGCGTACAGATTGAGGGCACCTGCACCTGCCTGCCTGTTTTTAAACCCTCTCTTCTCCCGAACGTAACTACTTTGTGGTCCCCTCCCCTCCGTTTCTTCCTTCTCTCCTCCATGCCCCTTCCCTCACTCTCTCCTTCCTAACCTAACTACACTGTGGTGCATGGAAGGCGGAGGAGTGCAAGCCGTGCAACTTCAACTCGCTGGGTCTGCCCACCGAGGGAGGCCGCCTGCGCTCAGTACACTACCATCTCATTGTAATCACTTTTCCTTCTGCTCTCCGCTTCTTGTCTCTCCCTTCTCCCCAGTGGAGCATGGAAGGCGGAGGAGTTCAAGCCCTACAACTTCAACGCCCTCGGTCTGCCCACCGCGGGAGGCCACCTGCACCCCTTGCATTCTCTCTGATGATGCAATTTGTTCCCCCTTCCGTCCCCTCTCCCCCCCTTACTCCCTCCTTCCCCATGCCCCTCTCCTCTCCCCAGTGGAGCATGGAAGGCGGAGGAGTTCAAGCCCTACAACTTCAACGCTCTCGGTCTGCCCACCGAGGGGGGCCACCTGCACCCGCTGCTGAAAGTGCGCGCCCAGTTCCGCAAGATCTTTCTCGAGATGGGGTGAGTTATGGTAACAGAGCAGCAGCATTAGTTACACGTATTAGTCCTTGCTCAAGTTTGGAAGGTCTTCTGTAAAATGTGGTGAGCTTGGACGTTTAAGCTAAAGGAAATGGTGCCGAGTTTCTTGTTCCAAGTTTGAAGTGTTAAAGGCATTGCATGTATCCTGTTTTCCCAGGTCCCTCCTTTGTCCCCCTTCACCATGCCGTCAAATTGTTTTCTGAAAGGCCCAGTCCTTGACTTCCCTGTTCCCTTCTCCCCTCCCCTTCCTCCCGTTCCCCCCTTTTTTCCCCGCTCTCGCTAGCTTCCAAGAGATGCCGACCAACAACTTTGTGGAGAGCAGCTTCTGGAACTTCGACGCACTCTTCCAGCCGCAGCAGCACCCCGCCAGAGACTCACACGATACCTTCTTCCTCACAGGTACGCTGATGTAATTAAGTGTGTTACACACCCCTCTCAGCTCTTCCAGCCGCAGCAGCAGCACCCTGCCCGCCCGGGACTCCCATGATACCTTCTTCCTCACAGGTACGTGACTTGAAACCAAGTCAATGCACAAAAGGGACCAGCTTACCTCACACACACACCAAGTCAAGGTCCTCTCAGACCTTCCAGCCGCAAGCAGAGGATAGTTTTTTCTTAGGCGCCTCAAAAATCGTCTCAGCTCACGCGGAGCTTACCTCACACACACACCAAGTCAAGGTCCTCTCTGACCTTCCAGCCGCAAGCAGAGAAGAGTTTTTCTTAGGCGCCTCAAAAATCGTCTCAGCTCACGCGGAGCTTACCTCACACACACACCAAGTCAAGGTCCTCTCTGACCTTCCAGCCGCAAGCAAAGAGTTTTTCTTAGGCGCCTCAAAAATCGTCTCAGCTCACGCGGAGCTTACCTCACACGCACACCAAGTCAAGGTCCTCTCTGACCTTCCAGCCGCAGCAGAGAAGAACCTGCTGCACACACACACACGCACACACACACACGCACACACACACACACACACACACACACACATACACACACACACACACACACACACACACACACACACACACACACACACACACACACACATCCACCCCGTTCCCCAAACCCCCACGTTGTTCCCCCCTGCAGCCCCCGCTGCAACAAAGGAGCTTCCAGGGGACTACCTGCAGCGCGTGAAGACGATGCACGAGACAGGAGGACACGGCTCAACTGGCTATGGTTACGACTGGAAGCGAGGAGAGGCGGAGAAGAGCCTGCTGCGCACCGACACCACGGCGGTGTCCCTCTCCCCCCCTCTTCCCCATGCCTTTCTTTTCCCGTACACACCCCCCAGTCATGTGCCTTTCTCCCTGTGTTTCCCCTTGATTTCGGCTGCAGCCCCCGCTGCAACGAAGGAGCTGCCAGAGGACTACCTGCAGCGCGTGAAAACGATGCACGAGACAGGGGGGCATGGCTCCACTGGTTATGGATACGACTGGAAGCGGGCGGAAGCAGAGAAGAACCTGCTGCGCACACACACCACCGCGGTTTCCTCCCGCATCCTGTACCGGCTGGCGCAGGAGGGCTTCCAGCCTCGCAAGTACTTCTCGATCGACCGGGTGTTTAGGAATGAAGCAGTCGACAGGACGCACCTGGCGGAATTTCACCAGATTGAAGGTGGGTTGGGGTTGAGATGGGTGTGCAACGGTTGGGTGGGTGGGTTCGGTGTCCTCTCGCATGCTGTACCGGCTGGCGCAGGAGGGCTTCCAGCCGCGCAAGTACTTCTCCATTGACCGGGTGTTTAGGAATGAGGCCGTGGATCGCACTCACCTGGCAGAGTTCCACCAAATCGAAGGTGGGTTGGGATTGGGATGGGTGTGCAACGGTTGGGTGGGTGGGCTGGGCTGGGTGTCGTCGTGCATGCTGTACCAGCTGCGAGTGGGGGGTTGGGGTTGTGGGCTGAAAAGGGTGTGCAACGGTTGGGTGGTTAAGTTGGGGTGTCGTCTCGCATTCTTCTGAGTTGCTCCATATGTCCCCTCTCTCCTCCGTCTCTGCCCTCCCTCCATCCATCTACATCCCCCCACCCCACCTCTCTCTCTCAGGTGTGATCTGTGACAGGGGCACCACTCTCGGCGACCTCATAGGCGTGCTCAACCAGTTCTTTGCCAGACTCGGTGAGCCTCAAATCTGGGTGAGACTCGGTGAGCCTCAAATCTGGGTGAGACTCGGTGAGCCTCAAATCTGGGTGAGACTCGGTGAGCCTCAAATCTGGGTGAGACTCGGTGCTTTTTTAGTTTTGAGACGTCTCAAATCTGGGAGACCTCAAAGGCGTGCTCAGTCAGATCTTTGCCAGACACGGCAATTCTCCAGAGTGCCTTCGCCCCCCCAGCTCCTTCCCCTCTCTGGGCTGCTCTAAGAGTACATCTTCCTCCGTTTGCATCTAAGGAGGAGGGAAGATGCATCTCCCCCACTTCCCTCCTCCTTCCCGTTTCTCTCTCTTTCCCTCCTTCACTCGTTGGTCCCTCATTCATGTTGCCACGTTGAATCAATATTCATTCCTACGGCACCCTACGGCACCTTACGGCACCTTACAGGCTTACCCCCTCTCCGCCCCCCTTCTCCTCTCTCCTCCCTCTCCGTCCCCCTTCTCCTCTCTCCTCCCTCTCCGTCCCCCTTCTCCTCTCTCCTTCCTCTCCGTCCCCCTTCTCCTCTCTCCTCCCTCTCCGTCCCCCTTCTCCTCTCTCCTCCCTCTCCGTCCCCCTTCTCCTCTCTCCTCCCTCTCCGTCCCCCTTCTCCTCTCCGCCCCCCCATAAGGTATCACGCGCCTGCGTTTCAAGCCTGCCTACAACCCCTACGAGGTGACTTTTGTGTCGACTCAAGAGTCACTCTCTACCCCCCTCCCCTCCCCCGCCCCTCCTCCCCGCTCCCTCTTCCATCCTGTCTTCTCTATCCCCCATAAGGTATCACTCGCCTGCGTTTCAAGCCTGCATACAATCCCTACACCGAGCCCAGCATGGAAATCTTCAGGTGAGTCTCAGGGTGGCCGTCAGGTGGGTTCTGATGGTGGAGCAAGGTGAGTTTCCAGGTGCCCTTGCTGCTCTCTCACGACACGGTCGCCCTCATAACCTCTTCCATGCCTGTCAACCTAACCTGACCACCCCCATCCGCGTGCAGTGAGGTGTATTTTGAGGCGCCTCAAAATACACGACACGGTCGCCCTCATAACCTCTTCCATGCTGTTTTTGAGACGTCTCAAAAACACCCTCGCTACACGAGACGTCTCAAAAACACGGTCGCCCTCATAACCTCTTCCATACCTGTCAACCTAACCTGACCACCCGCCTCCGCTCCCCCACCACCACCACTACGAGCAGCTCCAGAAGTGGGTGGGGGTGGGCAACAGCGGCATGTTCCGGCTCGACTCGTCTCGTTCTCCATACCTATCAACCTAACCTGCCCTCTCCCCTCCCCACCCCATCCCCCCACCGCAGCTACCACGAGCAGCTGAAGAAGTGGGTGGAGGTGGGCAACAGCGGCATGTTCCGCCCTGAGATGCGTCTTCTCTTCTTTCACATCTGAGCATTCATGCGTTTTCTGTTTCTTCCCCCCTCCTCTCCTCCCCACTCACCATCGCAGCTACCACGAGCAGCTAAAGAAGTGGGTGGAGGTGGGCAACAGCGGCATGTTCCGCCCTGAGATGCTGCAGCCAATGGGCCTCCCCCCTGACGTCTCTGTCATTGCCTGGGGGCTGTCCCTTGAACGGTGAGGACTCATTCAACCACACTGAATTGCACTGGAACTAGACTAGAGATGTTATCGTGGGATGCTGCAGCCAATGAGATTGCCCCCTGACGTCTCTGTCAAAGCCTGGGGCCTGTCCCTTGAACAGTGAGACAAGAGACTCATTGAACTGCACTGAACCCACAAAAACACATTAGATCGCACTGAATCGCACTGGAAGTAGACCAGAGATGCCAACACAAGTGCTGCAGCGCCAATAGGGTTCCTGCCTGACGTCGCTGTCATTGTCTTGGGCCTTTTCCCTGCTCACCCTCCATCTCTCCTTGCCTCTGTCTTACCCCCTTACAAGCAGACCCACTATGATCCTGTATCACATTGACAACATCCGTGATCTCTTTGGTCATAAGGTGAGAGTGGGAGAATAAGGGGTGGTAATCTGTCAATCTTTGAAGCACCTTAAAGCACTTGATAGCACTGGTTTCAGCGTTCCGGCTTAAGCTTGATTCTCTAGAGCTCGTGCACTTTTCCGATTCTTGTGCCTGCCTCTCTTTCACCACTTGTGCCTGCCTCTCGTTTACTCATGCACTTTCTCGCTTCCTCCTCCTCCAACTCCCTTCTGACCCTTCTCATCACCCCCCACCACCACTCCTCACCGCTCCAGGTTGACCTGAAGCTGATCAAATCGAATCCAATCTGCCGCCTCGGCCTTTGAACTCAGAAGACCCAATCACGAGCCCTGTGTTGTCACATGGAGTCAGAGCCACGAAAACAGTCTCTTCCACCATGACTTCCCACGACCTCACATTTCAACTCTTACATATGCAATCTATAATCACCAATTAGTTCCGTTCACACAAATCCGCGTTCCCTTGGTTGGTCCGTTTGACATCATTAGTGAGCTTGCTGTACAATACGAAAAATAATGACTTCACACGGTAGCTGCTTTCAGCTTAGAGTTCAATAAGCTACATTCCAGTGCAGTAATGCAAATCAGGAAAAAATACTTGAGTACTTTGCATAGGGGCATGTGCACTCAGCTACAAGAATTATTAACATCCTAAACAATTGAATGACATGCACACCACCCATGCACCATCAGGAATTTATGTGGCACTTCAAGCAACAGCGATGTAGAACTAAAAGTAAGATTAGTATATCTAGCTGCCATTAACCACCGGTCCATCGGACTCCTGCTGTGCCCCATGTTCCGCTGTTCTCTTGTCATCTTGTATCACTGTCCTCCTTACCCTCCTCCTGAGCCGTGTCACTGCTACTGCTGCTGCTACTCTTCTTGCCTACACCGCCTTCCCTGTCACTGCCGCCGCCACCACCACTTCCTCTCTTCCCCTCCTCCCCACTCTCCACAACACTCCCATTCCTCCCCAACCCCCCCACGCCCCCAACCTCCCCCAATGTTTTCACCACAGGCCCTCCCAACGCCTCCTGCTTATACCTCACTCTCATTCGCGCCAGCCTCTCCTTCTTCTTCCTCTCCTTCTGCCCCTTCTGCCACAATTTAAACATTCTATCCCGCTCGATCGACCCCTGCCACTGCACCTCCCCTAGATGAGGCCAAAGCCACCGCCGCCCGTTGATCGCGTGGGCGGGGTCGTCCGTCTCTTCTGCTCTTTCCTCATCCATAGCTTTAAGTACCGGGCGGGAGAACCATTGGAACCAGGCGCGCCGGGAGCGGGATCTAGAGCGCGTGGGAACTGGGTGCTGTTCTTGAAGGGAGCCAGTGTGGGGGTTGAGAAGCAGCATTCTCTTTCGGCTGTGGTACGCCCACACGTTCACCAGTCGGTCAAGCAATCGGCAGTAGCAGTGCCGCTCCTGTTTGGCGACAGCAGGGAGAGTTGGCAAAGGGATCACACATTGGTGTTTCCAGACTCACACCAGGTTGTGCTTTGCTTCTCTGTCTCTGATAGAGGTTCTGACACATTCAAACCCAAGGTTCTCGTCCAGTAAAGAACCTATCAGCCTCAGAATTTTATTACTATCAAACCAGTCCTCACCTCTGCATGGCTCTGAGCGAGTGGGCATGTGCCGTGGGCCGCGTGTCTCTGATAGAATTTCACATCAAGGGCGTCAACGAACATGCTGGTTGCGGTGCAAAGGGAAGAGGGCATATGGGAAGGAAGGCAGAGCAGAGGAGAGGAGAGGGCAGAGAGGGGGAGAGCACAGAAGGGGGGGCGGGAGCAAGGACATACGGTTAGGTGTGGGTTTCAGGAAAGAGGCAAACAAAAAGTTGTCGTTAGTTATGCAAAGGCATCAGGAACCCCACAAAGCTTTGAGAGGGCAAGGCCCACGTGCACATGGAAATCCCTCTCATTCATTCCCTCACGCCTTGTACGCACATGCCCCCTCACTGCTTCTCTCACCGCGCAAACAGCATGAACTCCACAAAGTTGTGTGCCGGCATGGCCCTTTCAGTGAAAGGCTTTCATTCCCATTTCCCTTGCCCATGCATCCATCCAACATTCCATCTCTCACCGAGGTGACTTTTGAGTCGACTCAAAAGTTGCCTTGCACGCACATGCCCCCTCACTGCTTCTCTCACCGCGCAAACAGCATGAACTCCACAAAATTGTGTGCCGGCATGGCCCTTTCAGTGAAAGGCTTTCATTCCCATTTCCCTTGCCCATGCATCCATCCAAGATTCCATCTCTCACCGCGCAAACAGCATGAACTCCACAAAGTTGTGTGCCGGCATGGCCCACGCGTGCATGGCAGACCAGGTACCCCCTCCGGTGGGCATGGGTGGCAGGGTGGTCCAATTTGAAGGCAGGCTGTACACCAGGCGCATGGCCTCCAGGAATGCAGCTCTGGAAGGGGTAAAGAAGGGAGATGGATCAGCATGAGAGCATGGCGGACTGGTGCCTCCTCCAGTGGCCATGGGCGGCAGGGTGGTCCAGGGTGGCCATGCTCTCCATGGGCGGCAGGGTGGTCCAGTTGGAGGGCAGGCTGTACACCAGCCGCATGGCATCAAGAAAGGCAGCTCTGCAGGGGAGGTGATGGGGAAGAGATTTCAGCATTAGAGTATCGGGGACCAGCGGGTTGAATTTCTCCTTCCCGTTGGTGGCAGGGTGGTCCAATAGGACGGAAGATTGCACACCAGCCTCATCGCCTCCAGAATGAGGGTTCTGGATGGGAGTGGTAGTGTTGACCATACAAGGGGCATGTGATCACCTCCGGCTGACGAAATATGCGTGATGGGTAGTGCGATGTGGGGTGGTGTGGGGTGATGTGGGGTGGTGTGGGTGTCTGACGTGCGGTTTGTGGTGCATCCGCCCCTCCTCACCTGCAGTTACCACGGTTCATCATGTCACATGTAGTCCAAAAGTCATCCCCACTTCGCTCCTCCAACCCCCCAACACGCGCTTTCCCCACTCCTACCCCCGTCTCCCCTCCCCCATCACCCTTACCCCCATGCTCTCGCGCACCTCCCCCTCCGCCTCCCCCCCCGCCTCCGCCTCCCCCTCCCCCTCCCCCTCCCCCCACCTTCTCCCCATCCTCCCCCAGCGCCGCACTCCTCGGATCCCTATGAATCTCCACCTGGTCTACAATACTCACCCAGTACACTACCACATCCGCTACAGTCCCGCCCTCTATAGTCCCAACCAGCGCCTTTTCCGCAGCGCCGCTCAACCCCACATTCTCCGCCCGGACCCGCCACGGCTGGAAGCCTATCCAGGGGTTCCTGTGGACTCGGTCTATGCGGTAGTTGATTGCGAGCATGGCTGCAAAGTCGCACAGCACGTCGCGGTAGTAGGGGGAGGCGAGCATGGGCAGGCGCGCCCACGCGTTCACGTCGTCATACAGGTTGGGGCGGCGGGAGGAGCGCGACTGAAGTGGAAAAGGGGGTTGGGGTGGGGGAGAGGGGGGAGCAGGGGAACGGGAATGTGGGGAGGAGAGCATGAGGAGGCGGCCCATACGTTGACATCAATTCAGTTGCATACGTGCACTCACGCAGCAAGGCAACTCCACAACACAATACAACGTGTCCCTGCCAAGAATCACTCCAAGGAGGTGCGTAGGAAAGGACTCAAAAGCTTCTGGAATCCCACTTGCACCCAGCTGCACTCACCAGGCTAACCCCACGGTACAGGGTGTCCTTGTCGTGAATGAACAGCCAGGATCCATCAGACCAATTCTTGAGGTGCCTCAAACAGACTGCATAAAATCCAAGGCAGGTTGCTTGCACCCAGTGCACACTCACCAGACTAACCCCACGGTACAGGGTATCCTTGTCATGAATGAACGGCCAGGATCCGTTCCCAGTGTACGGCTCGTAGATGCAGATGGGCTGGCCTGATCGCTCGAGGTCCCCGTCGTCCCTCTCATGCAGCCCACTCCTCTCCGCCCGCTTCACCCCCACCTTCACCTCCTCCCATGACAGGGATTCGTGTTCCCTGCGGTCCCACAACTGGCGTGGGGAGAGGAGGGAAAGGGAGGTAGAGAGGAGTAACTTAGATGGTAATCGTTTCACGCCCACCTTCACCTCCTCTCCTCCCACCCAGGACAACGCCTTGTAACGAAAACGGCTTACACTATCCGGCTCCACTGGCCCCGCACGCGTTTTCAGCCCAAGCTCAGCTGCTGCTGCTGCTGCTACTGCTGCTAGAAGATCTGTCCCGAAACCCTCTCAAAACGAACCGTTTTCCACAAGTCATGCAACCAAGATGGTACCTGAAGCCACAGAGACTTACAATATCGGCCTCCAGTTGCTCCTCAGGTGCTTTCAGCTCAGGCACTCCTGCTGCTGCTGCTGCTGCTGCTGTTCCTCCTCCTGTCCTTTCTCCTGCGCTGCCTTTCTCCTCCCCCACAGTCCCAATGGCAGCAGCTGCAGCGGCAGCACCTGAAACCGCTGCACTTGACTTGCTACCACTCAGAACCGCACCAGACCCGCCCACCCTATCAACCACGCCAACAGCACCACCGTTTCTGTCAGCCTCTGTTACCGACCCCCCTTGCCCCGCTACTCCCCCGCCCACTCCTGCTGCTCCCCCTGCTGCTGCTGCTGTTGCGCCTGCTCCAACTCCTGCTCCTCCTGTTTCACCCGCTAGCCCGCCTCCCACCGCCTCCTCAGCACCGTCCATTTCGGCCATCAGCATGCTATCCCTCGTTTTATCTCCCATCAGCAGCGCCGCTTCCCTTCTCTTCAACTCCTCCCACTCCTCCTCCATCTGCAGCACCACACTCCTCCTCCTCTCACTCCCTCCCTCACTCCCTCCCTCACTCCTCTCTGTCGCACTATTCCGACCCTCACTCGTATCCACATCTGCTCTCTCTCCTCTTCCGGTCCCCACCACCCTCCCCTCGCCTTCCTTTTCCTTGCCTCCCTCCTTCAACCCCACCCTTCGACCCTTATAGTCACCTTTCCTTAGTATCACCTTCCTCCCTCCAATAACCCCACTCTCCCCTCCCGTCACAACCTCAGCCTCCCCTTCCTCCACACCCCCACCTACATCCACTCTCTCCCCTTCCTCCTCCCCTTCCTCCTCTCCACCCTTCGTTTTCCCCCCACCTCCCGTCCCGTATCCTCCCTCTCCCTTCCGTACTCCTCCCTCTTCCCTCCCTTCTCTTACATCCCGGCTCCCTCCCTCTCCTCCGTCTCCTCCCTTCCCCCCTCCCTCTCCCCACCCCCACCCACCGTCCTCCCCCCACATCCACGCCTGCTTCTTATCCCACCACAGCCAATCCGCCGGCCGAGGGCTTCTAATCCCCACGCCCCCTTCCATTACCCGCTCTAGGAGCCTCGCTACCTCCTTAACCACGCTGCGCGCGCCCAGAGCCAATGAGAGCTCTCGGCCCGATGCTGACATGGCAAGTGCGTCAGACTGCGAGAGCGACGCGGCCTTAAGGAGCGCCTGCTTCATGGAAGGTTCCTTCCCGGGGTCATAGAAAAGAGCTTGCACGCCATTGGTCAACTGTGAGGGGAGGGAGGGTGGGGTGGAGAGGGGTGGGGGGAGGGAGGGGTGGGAGGGGTGAGGACCGGAATGGAAGGAAGTGGAGGAGGGGGAGATGAGGAAGTGGGGTTGGAACAATGGGTGCAGCGCATACTAGTAAGCAACGTTTCACCACCATGGCACTATAAGATGCATGGGACAGCCCTCAAGACGCAGCACTCACCACCAAGCACCACCATCCACCACTCTCCACCACCCACCACCCACCTGCCCAACAACCCGCCCAACACCTCACCTCTGCTCGGATCTTGATCAGTTTTGGCACCACAATCACCTTCCCCAGCGCCAGCGCTTTCACCAGCAGCGGATTCACCTCCCTCTCCTCCTCCACCGAACTCCACACCACCACATCACTCGCCATCAGCACGCCCATCCCCTCGAGAAGCAGCACCCACCCTCTACCAACCCCACTACCCCCCACCCATCACCCACCTACCCACCCACCTTCTTTTCCACCCTCACCTCTGCTCGGATCTTGATCAGCTTTGGTGCCACCACCACCTTCCCCAAAGCCAGCGCTTTCACCAGCAGCGGATTCACCTCCCTCTCCTCCTCCACCGAGCTCCACACCACCACATCACTCGCCATCAGCACGCCCATCGCCTCGAGAAGCAGTACCCACCCTCTACCAACCCCACTACCCCCCACCCATCACCCACCTACCCACCCACCTCCTTCCCCCACTCACCTCTGCTCGGATCTTGATCAGCTTTGGCACCACAATCACCTTCCCCAGGGCCAGCGCTTTCACCAGCAGCGGATTCACCTCCCTCTCCTCCTCCACGGAACTCCACACCACCACATCACTCGCCATCAGTACACCCATCCCCTCCTCCCCCTCCGCCTCCCCCACGCCCCACGTCAGATTCGCTATAAGCAGATGCTTCGCTACCACCTTAAGCACTGCCAGCTGCGACTGTGACCCTGAGGTGTTCCAGTTTCCCATAAACACCACGTGCGCTCGCTCCACAGCAGAAACCCCCTCTCGCTCCTTTTGGTTCCCTTCCCCTCCTCTCCCTCTCCCACCTCCTCTCTGCTCCCTCCTTCCTTCCCCTCCTCCCCCTCCTCCTCCTCCTCCTCCCTCCCCTCCTCCCTTTCCCACAGCATCCCCTACCATCCACCCCCATATAGACCCCCACCCCAAACCAGGCGGCTGCACCAATGACTGAACGGCATGCATAGCCATTGCCCTTTCCCGCCACTTTCCCTGGTACACCCTCTGGTTTCCCGCCACTGCTACAGTGAACGTGTCAGGCGGGATCTGACGCGCCGCCCGCTCCGACTCTGGCGAGTGCGACGCGGCGAATCGGGTCGCGGCGTACGTCCACGTGGGCGAGCCGGGAATTACCACGAAGTTTCCAGTGTTCAGGGACTGGTACCGCTCTTTGAGTGCCATGCAGGGGAACACGAGGGCGTCAGGTCGAGCGAATAGCTCCACCCACTGCTGCCTCAGCCCTTGCAGATGCTGACTGGACTCGTACACTGCCAGCCTGTCCGCCACGTCAGCCTCGTGTACGATCCACACCAGCGGGACTTCGGTGAAGGGTTCTTGGGCCAGCTTGGCTATAAACGAAGTGGCTTCTAACGAGTTCGCCAAAACTCCCTGGTAGCTGCGCAAGGGAAGGAAGTCCCACGGGCGGCAGCAAGGCGGGAATGCAAGGCAGAAGAGTGGTGCGGGAGAGAGGTGTGGGAGAGAGGGGCGGGAGAGAGGTGTGGGAGAGAGGGGCGGGAGAGAGGGGCGGGAGAGAGGTGCGGGAGAGAGGGGCGGGAGAGAGGTGCGGGAGAGAGGGGCGGGAGAGAGGGGCAGGAGAGAGGGGCGGAGCAGGAAACTCATAAGGCACAGAGAATCACACTGAAGGGAGGAGCAGTCATGAGCAGAGCGGGAGGACTTACTCCAGCCAGTCGACGTGATTCAGGCTCATGTTGTGTTTTGAGACGTTTCAAAACACTTCTTTTATCACGAGGAACAGACTCGAACGGGATGTGGGGGCGTAGTCATGAGCAGAGTGGGAGGGCTTACTCCAGCCAGTCGATGTGATTCAGGCTCGTGTTGTGGCGCCCCGTTATAGTCACACGCACGGCCAGGCCCCTCCACGCGTCCGCCATGGGCCCTCCTTCCTGCGCTATCACCTGCAAGGGAGGGGACACGGGAGATTCGAGGCAGGATGAAGGAGCGGGAAGCGATGGGTGGATAGTGGGAACGAGGAATTGGAAAACGGTTTACTAAACGCGACAAGAAAACGCAGAGAGCTTGAGGAAGATTGAGTGGGGAGCGATGAAGGGGAGCGGGGAGCGGGGAGCGGGGAGGGGGGAGGGGGGGAGGGGGGGAGGGGGAGGGGGGAGGGAAGGTGACCCTTTCCTATGCTTCAAAGCAAACCCCCGTGCCCCATCCAACTAAATTGCGTCTTCTAGAATTGACGAGAACTGACATCCTATCCGAGAGTGAGCAAGACGGCGACCACGTTCTCCGAACTCAACCCCGTGCTCCATCTGAATCGCGTCTTTTAACATCGACGAAACCGCATTTGGACCCACCTTAGTTGTGTATCCCGGAGTTTCGCATACCCGAGCGTAAGCAAGTCGCAATCACACATCCCGCGCTCAGCCTCACCAGGTTCCCATTCAACCTGAATCGCCTTCCATTAGGCTAGATTTAACAGCACCAACACCCACCTCAATGGCGTATCCCAGTGACTTGAGGCCCGATCCAAGCGTGAAAAAGTACGCGTTTTCAGCATCCCTTTCAAGGCGATTCGTTACAAGCGCCAGCAGCGGCGGTCTCAGATTGGCCGAGACCTCCGTGAGCCATCGCAGCGCGCCTTGCATCTGCGCTGCCCGCCGCTCCATCAACCCTTCCTTCAGCTTCAGTAACTTCTTAACGAGCGTCGAGTCTCTCTTCGCTACAGTCACATCTTTTACGATCACCTCTCGGCTCTGGAGCTGCCTTTGCCCGAAATCAACTTGTAACTGTCCGTCTAATACCGCGGTTTCTAACTTTTGACTCGTTGCTGAGCTGTGAACGTATAATCCTATACTGAAGCATATGACTGCAGCGAGAACGAAGGGAAGGTACACCCATCGCACAGTGACACCCGCGGTACTCTTCTTAGTGGGCGTAGAATACGGATCCGAGGTGTTTAAGCTGCTGTTACGGCGAACGCGGTTTCTAGATCGTTGCCGCTCGGGGACGCCGCTACACTTGACGGGCTCTGCGGATTCTGTGTCGAACGAACTCGGCGCGCAGTGCCGGTTCGCGGATGCGTGCCACGTGGCAGAGGCGGACGTTGAGGAATGCGACGCACGTTTCATTGCTGACGTGGGAGATTGGGGAGCCCCTCTGGGCTCGTCTTCGCTCATGGTGGTGTTGCCAGCTCAGCAGAGAATAATCTGACAATGAGAGATGGAAATACGCCGTTGAAAGCGAAGAACGTACCTAGGTAGTAAAGACATCCTTGATTGGAAACACGGGCGTGGGTGACGGAGTGTTCTACGTCGCATCGGAACGCGTCTTAAAATGAGTGTCGTCTATATTGAAGCCTTGAGTATATCACCAGACTATATCACCAGAGTATATCACCAGGCCCATTCGGAACCCATATTCCTTGATTGAAGCGCGAAACAAACCTGCTCGAACGAAGAGCAAAGCCCTTCTGATACTTCTGGCGAATAGTGGGAGGAGGGTGGACACTAGGGAACGGATGGTGAGTGAACTAATTCACTTAAAGACGCATGAAGTCGTTGGCACATCACGGCTGCTCACACTGCCGGCCCGGAAACGGAAAATGGGTGGTGCTAAGTGGGTGCCGCGACTTGAACATAGGAACTCGGAAACAGAGGGAGAACCGTGAAGGTCAGGGTCTGAACGATGAAACCTCGAGGGGAGCGATGCGGCAACTTTTTAGGGGGAAAACCGTGGAGGAGTTTGCCAAAACTCGAGGCCGCCTTGGTTTTCCCAATTGTTGCCTAGGGTCCCAAACCAGAATCAGGGTTCACGAATCACAAAACCAGAGATCCACCCACCCAACCCAGAGCTTGGAGAAGGCTGCTTGGAGAACAGGTGTGCGTCTTGTAGGGGCCAACATCATAGACATGCAAATTAGTATGGTAACCCTATCCAATGGTATGCAAAACCGTCTTACCTCAGTTTTGAAGTTATTAACATGATGACCTAATAGCGCGTTTGTTTTTAACTCAAAAACTTATCCTTACCGCGCTTGCCTTCGCACTAAGACGTGCTGTCTTCGGGCCAAGAAAAAAATAAACCCCGATCGGGACGGGATGCGTCAGGGAGGCATCAACCCTAAAAACAATGTCCTTTCCCGTGTTTAGGGTTGATCCCTCCCGGAAATGCGTCCAGGTCCCTAGGGGTTTTATGATTTTTTCAGCCCTGCCCTAACACTTCCCGGTAGCAATATATTGGGTGCAATAATTTGTTACAAAATGGACCCCGTATAATTTCATTCCAATGGATTTTTCGTAAATGTATTGTGCACATTTAGCGGAATATAGTAGCCCGGAGGAATATTTGTTAGGCGCCGAACAGGGCGCGGTAAGAAACACAAAGATACGAAATAGAAAACAAAACTGATTATATCTCATATTTTTTCCTTCTTTGTGCTGCGTCAGCTGTTACACAGTGTTTTGAGTGGCGCTACCAGACAAAATTGCGCAGCAGAACTAGGGTATCGACGGTTTTGCATACCATTGGATAGGGTTACCATACTAATTTGCATGTCTATGATGTTGGCCCCGTCTCGTAGTGGAGGCGGCAGTCCAGAGGTGTAAATGAGGGTCGACGGCTCACCGTTGATCACACTGGAAGTCACTAGAAAATCGGTCGGTCACTGCGAGAGTCGAGTCAGAGTCTCGGTGACAGTTGCCGAAGGTCGCTAGCGCAGCGTCCCAAACCTGTGCTCAACCAGAGCCGAACCTGAAGGGGGCTTGCCCAAACCTGAGAAACCCATTCAAACAACAAAGTCCCAAACGACGCTTGCTGCGATTCGGCAAGCCAACGTCACCACATAGCCAAGCCCAATCGTCAAGCGGATGTGGTTCATGCGTCAACAAGGCACAAGGCGGGAAAGTCTGAACCAAATTGTCGTTGGCTAGGCTGTCAGCGAGGATTTGCTTTTAAAACCCGAAGCCTGAATTACAAAAACTGAGTCAACGCTTGGTTTGGTAGGTTTGGGGTTCGGGCAATATGAGGTGCGGCAGAATCGCGAAAGCAAAAAAGTTAGCGAAACATGATGCGACTCTCCCGTGAGTCAACGAGGCGTTATCAGCCAACGCAACCCAACAGTTCCCATACATTCTGCTTACAACCCCAGAGAGCTAGAGCAGGGTAAAAACCTGTGCGACAGAACAAGCGAACAACTCAGACAAGCTTTTTAGGATCCAAGCATCGCGCTCACCAGCCAGGCATATCAAGTGAACACAATTTAGGGACGACGGAAAAGAAGATGAAGCGCGGTCATGCAATCGAAGTGAATCGTAGGCGCTGGCTGCGAGTGTGACGCACGTAGAAACGAGATGGCACGGGAGATATTAGCGATTTGCCCACCTCGCTTCCCCCGCCCGTCGCCCTCGCTCTTCCCGCGCACCACCTCCTCCCCGCCCGTCGCCTCGCCTCCTCCCTGCCCGTCGCCTTTGCTTCCTCCGCCCGCCCTCGCTTCTCCCCTCCCGTTGCCCTCGCTTCCCATATCCGCCGCCCTCGCTTCCCCCGCCCGTCGCGTACCGCATCTTCCCCGCCTACCACCCTCGCCTCGCGGGTCGCCATCGCCGCCTCCCCCTCCCGTCGACCTCGCTTTCCCCCTCCCGTCGACCTCGCTTTCCCCCTCCCGTCCACCTCGCTTTCCCCCTCCCGTCGACCTCGCTTTCCCCCTTCCGTCGGCCTCGCTTTCCCCCTCCCGTCGCCCTCGCTTTCCCCCTCCCGTCGCCCTCGTTTTCCCTCCCCATCGCTCGCCGAGTCGACCTCTCCTCTCCCACCTGTCGCTGCGTCAACATTGTTCTCATTCCCGCCGCTGACGTCTTCGTCGAGTCCCCTCTTCTTCGCCCTCGCTTCCTTCCTCCGTCGCCCATGCCCATTCCCCTCCCTCGCGCCGACGCCCTGGTTTCCCGCCCCGCCGCCTTCTCTACCCTTCCCAGTGCCCTGGTTTACCACCTCTTTTTTTCCCCACCCAAAGCTTCACTCTCACCCACGTACACTCATGCGAAACAATTACTCCCCTTCCTCCCTTCACTCTGTTCCCCCCTGTTCACTCCCTCCCCCCCCCCTGATCACTCTCTTCCCCCTTGCTCATTCTGTTTCCCCCTTGCTCATTCTGTTTCCCCCTTGCTCATTCTGTTTCCCCCTGCTCACCCTCTTCCCCCCAGTTCGTGGTGTTCCCCCCTGTTCACTCCCTTTCCCCATGCCCACCCTCATCCCCTTGCTCACTCCGCGCTCGCCTGCGGGCCTCATCACGACGTCCGCCCGCCCTCTCACACTCGCCACGCCTCCCCACGCACCCTTCCTCATAAGCCCCTGCTTTCCATTCCCACTCTCAACCCTCATCGCCTCTTTTCCCCTCGAACAACTTCATTTCCCTTTCCCTACCTTTGAACTTCCATGGTATTTTTTCTCACGCCTTCCCTGCAATTCCTCCCCTTCTAACCCAATCCTCCTCCGCCACTCCTCGCCTCTCTCACACTCCTCGCCTCTCTCACACTCCTCGCCTCTCTCACACTCCTCGCCACTCTCACACTCCTCGCCTCTCTCACACTCCCCGCCTCTCTCACACTCCTCGCCTCTCTCACACTCCTCCTCGCCTCTCTCACACTCCCCGCCTCTCTCACACCCTCGACGTGCGCAAGGCGCATGCCATCAGCGCACGCCAGGCAGCGGCCAGCGTGGTGGCGCTGTTCGGCGAGTGCAGCACGGACAGGGCTGCTCTCACTATGTTTCTCCCTGCTCGCTCCCTTCCCGCTCCTCACTCTGTTTCCCCCTTGCTCGCTCTGTTTCCTCTCTTCCCCCCTGTTTTTTCTATTCCCCCCTGCTCACTCTCTTCCTCCACTGCTCATTCTCTTCCCCTTGCTGCTCGTTCTGTTTTCCCCTGCTCGCTCTCTTCCCCTTGCTCACTATGTTTCTCCCTGCTCACTATCTTCCCACCTGCTCACTCCCTTTCAACATGTTCTCTCTCTTTCCCCCTGCTCAATTATTTTACCTCTGCTCACTGTCTCCCCTGCACTCTGTTTTTCCCTGCTCATTCTGTTCTTTCCTGCTCACTCCCCTATTCAACCCTTTACCCATGCAGTGTGTCGGTGCCCAGCACCAGCTGTTGGGAGGGAACCACAAGTCCTGGTTTTTTGCTGCTGTATGTGCAGACAAGAGTTGGACAAGACATCACATGGACTAGCTTGTTCTTTTTTACTAGATTGATGCACATTGTAAGTGGTCTACAGTCTCATACCTCTGTGGATCAAAATTTAGTATATAATACTAAATATCCAACATTGGCATGTCTATTTGTCATACCTAGTAGTAGTACTACCAACAACCAACATTCCTGAACCAAATGCATAGGGGGGGGGGGGGGGGGGGGGGGGGGACCTGTACAAACCCAGTTGTGAAAATCAGATGCTCGTGGCTGAAGCAGAACGCATACAAAAGGGTGGGCACTGACACTGACAAACCGGCACCTGCGAAGAGGAAGAAATAAAGAGACACTCACGGATTATTATTATGGTAGGAGACAAACGAGAGGCAGAGATGGGTTGGGGTGGAGATGGGTGGGGCAGAGATGGGTGGGGCGGAATGGGGTGATTTTGAAGGGTGGGGCGGAATGGGGTGACCTTGAGATGGGGTGGGGCGGAGTGGGCCAGGGCGGAGTGGGGTGGGGCGAAGATGGGGGAGAGCGGAGTGGGGTGGGGCGGAGATGGGGGAGAGCGGAGTGGGGTGGGGCGGAGATGGGGGAGAGCGTAGTGGGGTGGGGCGGAGATGGGGGAGAGCGTAGTGGGGTGGGGCGGAGATGGGGGAGAGCGTAGTGGGGTGGGGCGGAGATGGGGGAGAGCGTAGTGGGGTGGGGCGGAGATGGGGGAGAGCGGAGTGGGGTGGGGCGGAACCGCATCTCCCCTCCCCAAAAAGCTTCTTAGTGCTGAAAAGCACAACGGATGAGGGGTGAGGAGGAGATGGGGGTGGGGCGGAATGGGGTGGGGCGGAATGGGGTGGGGCGGATTGGGGTGGGGCGGATTGGGGTGGGGCGGAATGGGGTGAGGCGGAATGGGATGGGGCGGAATGGGGTGGGGCGGAATGGGGTGGGGCGGAATGGGGTGGGGCGGAATGGGGTGGGGCGGAATGGGTTGAAACGGAATGGTGAGGTGAGGGATGGAGAGGGAAGGGATGGGGAGAAGAGGGATGGGGAGAAGAGGGATGGGGAGAAGAGGGATGGGGAGAAGAGGGACGGTAAGTTGAGAGACTGGGAGGTGAGGGATGGGGAGGGAAGGGATGGAGAGGGAAGGGATGGGGAGGCGGGGATGGGGAGGTGAGGGATGGGGAGGGACGGGATGGGGAGATGAGGGATGGGGAGGGAAGGGATGGGGAGATGAGGGATAGGGAGGGAAGGGATGGGGAGATGAGGGATGGGGAGGGAAGGGATGGGGATGGAGCATAGGCGACGGAGGGGAATTAGAGAAGGCGAGGGGCAGGGGGTGAGCCTGGGCGACGGAGGGAAGTGAGCGTGTGCGGAGTACGGGCAGTGAGCGTGGGCGATGGATGGGGGGAGAGCGTGCGTGGTGGGGAGGAGTGAGCGTGGGCGACGGAGGGGACTGTCGCGACAGGAGGGAAGCGAGAGAACGTGGCGGGAGGGAGAGAGCGTGGGCGGCGGAAGGGGAGTTGTCGCGCGCAACGGGAGGGAGTGCGCGCGGACGGAGCTGGGGTGAGGAGGAGACGGGGTGAGGCGGAGATGCGGGAAGGAATAGGCCGTGGCGACGAGCGGGGGTGAGCGTGTGCGACCGAAGGATTGCGCGAAGGCGATGGAATGGGGGTGAGCGTGGGCGACGGAAGTGAGTGATCGTGGGCGACGGTACGATTTCCCCCCGCGATCGCGATGGGAAGGGAGTGAGCGTGGGCGACGGGAAGGGCTTGAGCGTGGGCGACGGAAGGGAGTGCGCGCCGGCGACGAAAGGGAGTGTGCGTGACCGTTCGAGGGGAGTGCCTGTGTGCGACGGGAAGGCGTTATCATCCGCGACGGAGGGATGTTCGCGTGCGCAACAGAGGGTTTTGCGTGAAGGAGATGGGAGGGAAGGGAGCGTGCTCGTTCGGGGGAAGAAGCGTGAGGGATGGAGGGGATCGCGTGTGTGTTCCGGAAGGGGTCCGAGTGTGGACGTCGGGGAGAAGAAGCGATGCGGCGAAGCAGGTGGATGAAACCTACGCGGCGGATAGAGAGGACGTCGCGGCTATGAAGATAGGCGACATTGGTGCGGTGGGCGGTGTGGAAGTGAAACCAGGGCGACGACGGGCATATGTGCAACCATGGCCCCGGCTAGCTATGTCGAGTGGAAACGTGACCTAGAACCGCGGGGCGCTTTAGAGACGGATTGGAAGAATGAAGGCATGGTCCTAACGTCCTAAGGAGGAATTTTCCGCCATGCGCTGGAATGGGGTAGAATGCTAGATGTTCTATGCTATGGCTGTCGCTCTAGCTGCTCAGACTAGGCAGTTTCGAACGACCTGAATTACATATTTCCAGTTTGGTGTGCACACCTCAGCCCAGGAACCGAGCGACCCTTCCCTGCGCTGCCTGCGACTTCTTTCACGTTTTGCAGGTGAAAACCTGGTAACCACACTGGTTCGGGAGGGAAAGTGTTAACACCTCCCAACTTTTCTTGTAATTCAGGCTGCGGGTTTTAAAGAGGAGTTCGCTTCCGGGAATCAGGGCAAAATTGTACTAGAATCAGAATGCCTCAATAAAACCTACGGTAGTATCGAATGAAACATAAAACTTCAACCAAACATGGCAAAAATCTAGAGGCTGTGTGGATCCAGCCGCCTAAGCAGATATTCCACCTGCACTTTCTTTGTCAATGGCATTATCCATTGCCCATAGAGTCTAGCAACCACCTCGGGTTGAATCTTGAAGCTTCCTTGTGGCTGTTGCGTTGTAGCTGCTCCATCATTCACCCCCTTAGCCGGTTCAATTGGACATTCAAAAATATCCTGTCCAAAAGTTGCAGCCTTTCTCTCAACCCGGCGCTGAACCGCAGCTTCGACATCATTGAATGTGAGCAGCTGCATCAGCCCCTCTGCGTCTTGCCTCTCAATCAGGGGTCTATATGTATCAGGACTCTCCTGAAACTTCGCCTCGGCAACAAAGGCTCCGAAGTGAATTCGTTTTGAGAGAGCCTGATGGTTAGAGATGGCAAAGTGGAGTGAGCGAGAACATATAAGGGAGGAAGGTGAAAGAAGATGAAGAAAGTTCACCATGAGGCATGATCTGCACATTCAGCAAGAAAATAAGAAGAATCCAACAAGATAGATACTAGCTGACCTGCAGGCAGAGTACGTCCATGGTGACAGCTGAGCCGTAATTGAAGTCATCGCCATCTCGTGTGATTTCTGGCAATAGATCGTCAAAGTACATCTTCCATATAATGTCATTGATGTTTATGGTGCTCGCCGCATCATGTAACACCTGCGTTTGGGCCAACGATGCATTATTATCCAAAAGTATACAGCAAGGCAATGACTGTATCAATATGGAAGAAACATGACATAACATGTCACACAATTGGCTGTCAAAGGAGATGCCATGCATCCGACGTACTCTGGGGTAGTTCAATGGAGGCAGAATAAGCGGCGGAATGGCATCAGGGAAGAACGGCCGTTCTGTGGGGCTTGTGTAGCGCCGAACCTGGTGAAACGTGGCAAACAAACACGCAGCAGATAACAGACATGGAGGTGGTGTCGGATGGAGGCCAATCTTCCGTCAAACCCAAGGTAACGAACCTGACGCGACGTGGACCTACTGATGGTCGGATGGAGGGTGTCATTGTCGACAAACTTACGAATGCGCATCAATAACAGAAGCTCTCTTAGCGGAACGTAATAAAGCTGCGATACGGGCACTTGTTAGGGGAAACGTCGGGATATTGAGCAAGGGTGGAGAATGTGCAAGCAGTGGGAATCCCTTCTCTAAGCAGGAGTTACCTTTCCGTGGAGCACTTCCGTTTCTCGCATGACGAAATCCAGCAGCGATCCTTTGAACCCCGGTACAGGCATGGCTGACGCGTCGTACGCCGGTCTATTGCGACAGAACTGCGACCGCTCGATCAGCGAAAATATGATGCTGTCCTCTTGGCGAATTAGCGAGCTGCGGATGTTCGCCAATGTTACCGTGTGCTGGTCGCTGATATCCATGTCGCCAACTTCCCCGACTGGGTGGAGGGTTGCGGACGGTTGCGCGGTTGCTGGTGCAATCGCGGAATCAGAGACAGCCGCGCCGAGGATTGCGGGGACCGGGACGACGGGAGTCGGGTTGGAGGAAGTTCCCTGGTCACTACGTAGAGAATTAACTACGAGTGGTGGAATGCTGGATACGCGGCGCGAAAGCCGCTGAGACGGAAGTTTCTTACGATGGAATAAGGTTGGGATGGTGCTGCTGCTAGGAGTCAGTGCGAAGCGTGACTCAATCGCGAGAAGCATCTCGCCAAAGGGTTTATGGATAATCCCACCAGCGAATCAGCAGCACCTGGCGACGGAAACAATTACGCAATTAAGCGCTCATTCAGCAAAGGCTGAAGCTCCGACGCAACCGTCAGAGACTGATGATTTACAAAATACAACGGTGGACAGCTCGATGTTTCCAATGCTCTGCTTTCCGCTAAGCGCATATTATGCTCCGCTTTCTACTTATGGACTGTTGGTGGGGCTGCAGAACTGGATGGGACAACACGGAAATCTCGAGGGAAGCCAGATGGATGGAAACAGCGTAACTTCCTTCTCGCCAGCACTCGCGCCGACCACGTGGATGACGAAATGTTACTTGAAACGAGTTTCTACTGTTAAAACAAAACTGACTTCATTACCACAGTACAAACCAGCAAAGAAGAAACTTTTCTATCCTATAATGGATCCAAAAATCATGACACCCTTTTGTGTCATATGCTCTCCATGTACATCCGTTGACCCTTCTCGCTTGCAACCAACATTTGCATCTCCATCTGCCAGACCCTTAGCTGCCATTTGTAGGTCTTCCAGAGTGATGGCATAAAAGCGATTGCCTGATTTGCCTGGTGATCCATCTAGGGATCTAGATGCTACCAGGCGATGCTCTCGGATGCCTGCATTCACTTCCACAGGATGAAGAAATCCCCCTTTTGGCTGAATAACTGGCAATGCCTTCCTTGATTTTACCATGGACTCCTCGCTACCTGATGAAGCTCCCACATCTGTGTCAGACCTCCATCTCCTTCTCGTATCCATCGTCTTCCCAATCTTCTGAGAAGATGATGCCATTTCCACATCCTCCACAGCAGCTCCCAGGCTCTTCACCCTCCTCTTCCTGCCTCCCTTCACCACGCAGTCAGCTTCAGAATTGTCTTGAAGCAGCTGCTTCGCCCAGGCACTCCTAGGGGCCATGGACCGTCCTCCCCGGAGGGGAGGCTCTAGCTTCAGTGCCGACTGGACAGTACTTGCAGGCCTGCTGCTCTTTCGAGGTGAGGACATGGCTTGCTCCTTGCCAGCCTGAGGCTGATGTTGTTTCAAAGGCAAAGGTCTCCACGGTTTAAACCCGGGCCGGATTGCCTCTGGTGCAGCACGATCCGCGCGTGCTGGTTCTGTTACATGCGCCCTTGGTCCTGCTGCGGATGCTGACAGCACTCCAGATCCCTTCAGCTCCACATGACATTCTGCATTGCCTTCTGCCTGTCCTGCTTCTGAATTCTTCCAGGAAGATGCTGCGTTCGCCTGACAAGGTGTCAAGTCATGACATTGTGAGAGGTGGACTTCTTGGCTGCATGGAACATTCAGGTCCAGAACCACAACCGGCTCTGACATGTCAGTGCTAAGGTTCATGGGAGGCTGGTTGGCATATGTTGCCGAAGAGTTCTCTTGTACCATCCCCATGCCATCATGATGTGACACGGAGAAAAACCCACGCCTTGCAATGTCGTCGTTCCAGAAGGGTTGCACAGCCGCGTGATGTAAAAATGCGTCATGATGTGACATTTTATCCGAGTCGGAATGTACCATGTAAGCGTGCCGTCGCATTGTGTCTTCTTGCAGTGCCGTGTGCAATCCATGACGATACAACCCAGCTTCCCTGAGGGCCGTTTCGTATAACGGAGACGAGCACATGATTTCGTTGCTGACGCCAGCAGTAGATCCGATCATGCTCGTATTTTTGGAGTTAGGGCTGAAGTTGATGGGACTCGCGGCGTTGCTTTGATCGCTCATAGTACTTCCAGTTCCGCAGCGGCCCGCACGTTCGTCGAGTGAGGCGATAAACTCCACGTCTTCTGTTCGAGGCTCCCACGGATAAGAAGGGCTTGACGACGATGCGCTGCTGAAACTCATGCGGAGAGTGGTGGTTAGTGGGACAGTAGAAGTCTAACCGGTATGAAAGAGTGTGAAATTGCAACTATCACACGTCAGAGGAGACCTTAGTTGCTCTGACCAGACATGGACCAGACACAACGGAGGCTGTCTATGCTGGTAGGCAGACGGGTGGACGAGAAGATAATGTTTGGTGAGATGATGCGAGTTTTCCTCGATGTTAGTATATCGCTCTTCCGTCCGACCTAGAGCACGACATCAGCGTCTACGCAACATAGTGAAGCCGGTTGCATGGGATTCAAGCACCATGGAGAATCTGAAGGGAGAAAATGCCGGTGAGGCTTTGTCGTGACGGATACTGGGATCTAGATCTGACGCTTTGATCACCCAGTTTCGTGACGGTTGCGCGATACTATGCTGAGTCATAGCGCACATGGCATCGGCGATAAAAAAGACGGTGAGCTTGGCGCTAGCGCGATGACTTTCCATAGCCGCTGAGGCCAAAACGGCGTTCGACAGCCGCGCCTGGTGTGGGTATTGCCACACGACAGCGAGCGAGGGAGATTTGGTTGAAAGAAGCTTCATGGAGTCAGCGCGCACGAGGATGAAAGTTTAGACATGGTGAACGTCAGCAAATCTCCTCCAATCTAACTCATCCTGATCGTCGCATCCGTGGTGCGGATCGAAACAAGTGCAAGTGACGCCTACTTTCTCGCCACGGAAACGGACTGGCGCACATGGCATTCAATAGACAGCGCGGGTTGCTCGCAACGCAAGAGGACAAGGTCTATTGAAATGCTTGCGCCAAAGCAGCACCGCCTTAAAGCAGCAGTATACATTTGTCAGGGGGGTTTGGGGTTTGTGAGTGTGCCTCACAGTTTTGGGGCAACTTTTCAAGTTCCTAAGGATTTTGAACCCCTACATTCAAATGTATACCGGAGCTTTAATCTCCAGATGTGGTGCAACTATCTTCACTTCCCCTACGTCCCTTATCTTCCAAAGCGCTACAGTTGAGGATCAGGTTTGAATGCTCTCGACATCTTTCCTAGGGCGAGATTGGACACGATTTCCTGGTTTCCGAAGGGTTAGAACTGGATAACTTTAGGTGAAGTGCGGTATCAGCTCGATCGCGACTGGCTGATTCTACTCGATCGTGTGGCATCCTACTCCGGATAGGTAGGCACGTGAACGTTTTGCAACCAATTTCGGATAGCAGCAGGCACGTGAACGATAGCGTGAAGAGGGATGCTGGCGGTGGATTTTGACAATCGCGAAAATCGCATAGATCACATATTACACTGTAGACACTGCCGTGCTTTCCGTTGCTCTAGCATTGTAGTACTGCATGTGTCGTGGAGGTTTTGCAGCCTCTAACGAGGATTTCACTTCATGGCCTCAAGGGACACCGCCATTTTATGCTAATCACGAAGGCAGAAACCCGACTGGACCCCAAATTCAGGCGTGCTTCCAGCGAGGGGTGTGCTTTATGTACCACTGTTTCAAGTGCGGTATACATCCACATCGTTAAAATACAGCCAATTTTGTCAAAAGGTTTACCGTACAACTATTTTCTGTTGGTGTTTCATGATTCATTAATTTCTTTGAAACAATAGCAAAATCAGGTACTACAATTACAACACCAGAACACCGCATGCCCGATGTGGGCTCGCGACTAAATCATCAACCTCCCTCCCACCCCCTCCTATCTACACATCACCCTTTCCCATCCCTCCCCTACTCAGTGGATAAGGTTCCCCTTGATGCTGCCACATCAAACAGGTGGCAGACTCCTTGGCCTTCCCGCACGCCACGGGCTACCCGCCACGTTTGGGGAAATCACCCCCTTGGGACTTGCCTGGCAGGGACTGGGCAGTCGAGGCTTCTGGTTACCAGTAATAGTGGCTCTAGATGCTGCACCACAAGCCTGTGGCACCTGGTTACAGTCGCCATCCATGGTTACAACAACTCGCACAGCGTCGCCAGCGTTTATGTCGGCGTTCGCTTTCGGAGAAGAGGAAATCGACCTTCTCTTGAACGCACCCTCGTCGAGAGTCCCTGCGCTTTCACTCCTTTGGAAGCGCTGTGGCCCGGTTGCGTTATTAGCAATGCTCCCAATACCCCCCATAGAAGGACAAACTTGCCCGCCTAAGCCCGCCCGCATGTCTTCAGCGCAAAAACCAGCCATGTCATGCAGATCAAGCACCGGGCGCAGGGCTGCAACAACCTCAGACATTTTCGGGCGGCGCTTGGCTTTCTTCTGCAGGCACTCTTTGACGATCGCCGCGACCATTTGCGCGCCACGAGCGGAGTACCGGCCGCGAAGGGCGGGGTCCATTATGCGGTACAGTGTGGAGGGCGCCGAGAGAAAGGGCGAGGCCCACTCGACCAGGCTCTGCTCCTCGCGTGGTCTGGAAGATAAAAGGGAATGAAGACCATTTAGACGAATGATTGCAACGACAACGATTAGAAAAGCAGGATTTGGAAAACAAAAACGTATAAGGGGGAACTCTGCAAAGGGTTATTGAACTGGGAAATAGGATTTGGAAATACCTTTCTTTGTCCAGCGCCAGCCTTCCCGTCATCAGCTCCAGTAGCACCACGCCGAACCCATAGACGTCACTCTTCGTTGTAAGGTGCCCCGTTAACACGTACTCGGGCGCCGCATACCCCACAGTGCCCACCACTCGCGTCGACACATGAGTCTTCTCCCCGTCGGGCCCTTCCCTCGCCATCCCGAAATCCGATAACTTCACTTCAAGCTCATTCGTTAATAGAATATTCGACGTCTTGAAATCGCGATAAATGACCTGATGCTCCGCCTCCTCATGCAGATAAGCCAACCCCTCCGCCGCACCGAACGCGATCTTCAACCGTTGGTGCCACGTCAGCGGATTTGCCAGCGCATCCTCCCCGAAAAGCAAAAATTCGAGCGAACCGCGGGGAAGGAACTCGTACACTAGCAGCCGTTGATCCTCCTCGGCGCAGTATCCAATTAGACAAACCAGATTAGGGTGTTCCAGGAGCCCGAGAAAGCTGACCTCCGTCAACCACTCCCGCTCCCCCTGATGCCCGCACGTGTCAAGCACCTTTACGGCGACCGGGATTCGCCGGCCGCTCCGTGTGGGAAGGTAACCTTTGAAAACCGATCCGAACCCACCCTCGCCGAGAAATCCCTCGATGTCGAAATTTCTTGTCATTTCTTCCACTTGTGCGTATGTGAAGGGAATCGGGCCGGCCATCGTCCGTTCGGGTAGACCGTCCTGTGTGGGCTGGTAACCAGGTAACGGCTCGCGGACCTGGCATGGCGTTGACGAAAACTGGTTGTGCGAATTGGAGCGCGGCGAAATTTCGCTTGACGGTTCGCAGATGGGCATCAAGACGCTAGCGTGGTGGTGCATGCCGGACATGATTGGCGAATTTGCGAATTCTGGTAACGACTTGGACTTCTCCAGCAGGTTAGGAGGACTTAAAGCGGGGTCGACTGTAACGGGTGTGACTTTACGGATCGGTTCGGCTCCCGCTGCGCTTTTACTCTTCACGATCTGGCGATCCGTTGACTCTGCTGCTCCTCCGTTGATCTCAGTCGAGGCTGACGGCGAGGATGCGATGCTGGATGAGCTGGCAGGGCTACACGTGGAGCTCGACCCTCCTGACGTAGCAGGGCGGAGCCAGCTGGACGATCGCCGGGACGTCGCTGACGACGCTTTTTTCCGGCTGCGAGGGCTCTGCGACGCACTGCTAGCGCTGCTACAGCTGCTAGCGCTGCTACAGCTGCTAGAGCTGCTAGAGCTGCCAGAAGCCGCCTTAGTGGACGCGGCAGGGGAGGATCCCTTAGGGCTTGGCAGCAGCTGCGGCTTCCCGCCAAACGCGGCGGCAGCTGCGGTGGCGTCTTTCGAGGGATACGCTGGCGGAGTGGACGGCGCGGACCGCGGGCTGGTTGAGGCGGAAAGAGCGCGCGCGCGCACCTTGGACATGGGCGCGGACTCGGAGCGGGAGAGGAAGCTTCCACGCGGCTTCGGGGATTTGCATGTGGCTGCTGCGCCCGTTGATTTGCTCACGCGGGTGGGATGAGGAGAATCAGGGCCGTCCCGTTCGGGAGAGGCGTCCCTCGAGCTGAACCCGAAGCAGCCCATGGTACTGGAGAGTGAATTGACTGGCCTTGGCCGGTTCTCTCAGAGCTGGGACAGTGGTGGCAAGCCGTGATCTGCGGTTGAAAGACACTACTCGAAAAAGGCACTGCGTCAAATGTCTTAGGGACTGGGTGGAAAATTTTGAAGTCAGGTTTCCTTTACGTTGGATTCAAATAGAAGAGCTGCACCAGGCTTGGCTGGAAGCTGGAAGATGGGAAGGCCTAAGAACCGATCAGAGCATTTATGCTGGTGCGGCAACTAAGAGGGGAAGGTATGTGTGACATCGGCGGAGGGTTGCGATGGCCGTCAGATCAGGAGGAGGAGGGGGAGGAGGGGGAGGAGGAAGAGGAGGTGGAGGAGCTGTGAGAGCAGGCGAAGCAGCTTGGTTGCCGGATGCTAGGAGGAGCGAGGTCGGGGTTTGGGAGATGGAGAGGCGGACTGAGGGAGTGATAAGGAAGGAGAGAGAAGGGGAACGGGCACGGAGAATTGGAACTCGTTGCGTTGGCTTTGCAGCGTTGTCGCATTGAAATTGGATCCATCGAAAATGAGTAGCAACGGAAGCGCCGTCGGTGGCGCTGCTGCTGCCGCCGACTGAGCATGCTTCGGAAGGAATTATTCCCACGACTTCTTTTCGACCAATGGGAGCGAGGAGAGGAAACCAGTGCCTTGACTTAGGGAACGCCATCTCGCCATGTTAATCAGCCGTTGGGTGGTGGTTACTCGGCCTCGTGCGGACCGATCCGTACGGTTCCACGATTGGAAACAAAAAAAACGTGCGAAGTTCCCCGCGAATGCTCCTGACGAGTAGGATGCTGTCCGCTTATATCGCGTACAAGGGCAGCCGTCATTGCGTCACCTGACTCTTGGCTGCCGTGGCAACTGTTTCGCCCACCCTCTACTATCCTAGCAAGCCGAAGCGTGGAAAACCCCGGAATGCCAAGAGGCACACGGCCGCGGCTCGGCGAGCAACCAGCCAGCAGCAGCCATCACCCCATACTACCGATTCGAAGCTTCCTAACCTACAAGTGCCTGAGCAACCACGTGGGACGGTGTATGCGTGCTGCTGTGCTGCTGTGTGGCTGGTCTAGGTCTGCTGTTATGCTGCTTTGCCACTACTGCCTGCCGTGGTATGCTGGCCCCGCTCGACAGGCCAACACTCTGCAAAAGGCGAGTGTTAGGCTAGTGTTTAGATGAGGGTTCGCCGCACCTTCGTGGGCAAAACAGGGGGATGAAGCTTCAGTCTTAGCGGTCGGAAGGAGCGGGTCCCACAAGGCGAAGCTGCCCGCCTCCTTCAACCTGGCTCCTCGCGGGCACAGTAGAAAAGTTTGGGGACCACGCCAAACGTGTTTGGGTAACAACGCAGGAGAAAAAAAAAAGCCCATCCCACAAACAGCGAACCTCACAAGTTTGGGCATCCGAATTTTTCGGACCAAACTGGTTCACAAGTTTCTATTTTAGGGTCCACGGAGTGGGTGTTCCTCCCACTGCAAACACCTGACGAGCCCTTTGCAAAACCCCGCTTTTGGGGGGCGAGGGTTAGGCTGGGAAGGCACCTGGTTCTTTCTGTGAGGGCGATGGGGTCAAGTCTCGGCTGCGTTCGACAGGCTAACACTCGGCCAATAGGTTAACGAGCGTTAAAACCCCGAATGCACTTTTCACGGGCTGACCGTGATGAAAAATGTGAAAACGAAACAGTCGCGATGATTCCGCAGCCGTCGGTGTTAGCCTGTCGAGCAGGGCCGCTGTGTGAGTCTAACGGGTTACGAACGATAGACGGACCTTCGTCACTGTTCACGACGGTCGTGGTGTGCTGCGAATTTGTCGCAGGGGCTGCACGAAGGCTTCACGAGAAGTGAAAGTGTCGCGTGGTTTTGGATAGATGGACTGATCAGTGAAGGAAACTCAAACGGTCGGAAACAGTTGCGTCCGCTGCATTGCAAATCTCTATTTATATCTCGTAGAGTAGTTCATAGTGCTGCTGTTTTTAGTAGAGTTTCATGCATAACATATTGCAGTAAATTAGCAACTTCCGTACATACCTTATATAATAATAATTATCTAGGAATATATGAATTCAAATGATAAATATGATAGAATATTTTTTTTACAACATGGATTTGGAATAATAGCCAACTTCATGTTATCATGATATGTGTTGGTGGTGCTAAGTTATTGTGTGTTATGTCCCTGTTTCTAATACTCTATCTGTGAGGTGTTCCCCTCTGTTCGTTATGGGCGAACAACGGGGACGACCGTGGAAATGATTGCGATTTCCAAGATGCAGTAACCTCTGTGGCCTGTGCGCTGTCATTTGATGATTGCGGAGGTTCACATGTGGGGAGGAGCACAACCACACCACCATTGGCCAATACCCAGTGGTTGGCCTGCCGCGCCAGACGTCACACCAATCAGAAAGCAAAGCCTCTCTCCACATCACCTCACCATCAGCTCTTGCTGATGCCTGGGCGAGGTGATTGAGCCCTAACCGAACCGAAGGCCTCAGGTGTGCTCGAATCAAACCTATCGATGTGGTCAGGGTTTGGTTTGGGGTCCTTCATGTGAGATCTTTTGGAAACTTGCGGCGGGTGATTTTCCACAGCGTTTGAGTTTGCGTGTCCACCAGTGGAACGTCAAATTCCACAGGCCAGAAAACTATCATGTGCGGAAACCCCGGTAAAAACACCTCCTATCCCCATCAATCGCCATGTTTTCAGCAGACAGGCTTCCATATCATAGCCCATTCACGCATTCCCAGTTGGGACTAACCAGCAGTTTTGCTACCAGTGCATTACGTTTGCTGTTCGTGGAAACCGGGCAAACGAAAAGTACATGTACAAAACAACTTTTGTCCGAGGGCAGGAGGGAGCTGTGGGGAAACGGGATATCCAACATTCGCAAGACCCAACCTTTCATCCAACATCACCTTCGTTAGAATAAGGGAAAGTACATGTTAGCTTCATATTTTCAGAACTCTCTCAAAATTACACCTAAGTTTACTCAAACAGTCCAAGTTTGTGGAATTTTTCTCACGCGAGGCCCAAATTATGTTCAAAACAGGTCCTGCGGGGCTTAACTCTCGAAACGTGTCCATTTCGCACCAAGAATTTCTCGACGGGGCCAAAAAAAAACATAATACCCCTAGCGAAACCAGGACACTTTTAGGGAGGGATCAACCCTAAACACGGGAACCCGCCCGGTGTTTAGGGTTGATCCCTCCCGAAATGTGCCCCGTCACCCTAGGGGTATTATGATTTGTTTACCCTGTTAATAAAATATTGGTGTAAAATAGACACGTGTCGAAAATTTGGCCCCGCAGGACCAGTTTTGAACATAATCTGGGCCTCGCATGAGCGAAATTCCACAAAGTTGGACTTTTTGGGAAAACTCGGGTGTAAATTTGAGATATTTTTTTAAACTAAGGACCTGGCATGTACTTTCCCTTAGAATAAAAACCGGGAGTTGCGTGCGTGCAACCAACCAACCACGGAGGAGTTTGACATTTCAGTCAGCCATCTGCTCCAGCTCCTGCACTGCTCGGTCCACGAGATGAGGTTTCCACGATTGCCTGCCTGGTCAGCATGATCGCCAGTTTCTTGCAGAGAGGAGAACCAAACTCTCTCTCTTCCCTTCCTCTCTCTCCTCCCTCCCACTTCGTTTATACTCCAGTTCTTCTCTGCCTGTTCTGTTTGCACTTCGCTGTCTGTTCTCTAGCTTTTTCAAAAAGCTGTGAACCGTCCTTTCTTGTTCAGCCTTCGATTTCTCCGCTTCAAGCCATCTGCGATATCCGACGTTCGAAGCGCCTTTCAACTTCGCTTTTTTTTTTTAGCTTTCCGTTGAATACGGTATAGTTTTTTGTTCCACGCGATCCAAATTTTCGTTTCAGAGGTAAATGCCTGTTGGCATTAGTCAGGTTGTGCCGGCACGTGATTCTAGACCAAGTCGTTAATACACAAGATATCTGCTAGTTGTGGGAGGAATTGGTTGCACCCCATGGCAACAATTTCACCCCCTCCGCCTGTTCTCGATTCCAATTCCAGCTCGTCAGATCTTCCCCCAGGCGCCTTTATCGCCTCGATCACCGCCGCGTTTCTTGCCTTCGTCGGTCTTTTCCTGTGCCTCGTTTTCGCTCGCTGGTTCATTGCTCCTGAACCAGAACAGGAGGATGACAGGAATAACCAGCGGCGGAGACTTTTCGGCTTGGATAAAGACCTCGTCAAGAGCTTTCCGACCTTCGTTTTCGCAGCTGAGCAAGCCAAGGAGAGCGACTGTGTCAGTTTCCGTCAGTGCTGCATCTGCTTACAAGACTACGAACCAGGCGACGAAATCAAGTCTCTTCCGGTTTGCGGTCACAGGTTCCACGAATCGTGTATCGACATGTGGCTGGAAGGGAAGAGAACTTGTCCAGTGTGCCGGGCGAATCTCAGACCCAAGCCATCGGTCGACAGCGGGTCGAAGTCCGCGACGGATGGCGAACACGGGGAAGCAGATGTCGTGATCGCCATCAATCAACTTTGCGACAGCAATGGACAGTGTTGCAACCCAGCTTTGTGTGACAACGGTAGTTGTCGTGACGAAACGTCAAGAAGCGTGGAAGAAAGCAATCCCCCAGCTTCTCACACAATTTCGCTCGAGCGGATTTCGTCCACATCTACTCCGTTAGTTCACTCTTCCCAAACTGCGGGCTCCGGCGAACCCTTGGAGCAGGATGCTGATAGAAATTTGAGACCCTGACTCAACACAAGATGGTGATTTTCTTTTATTCAAGGAAGCTGAGTGGGAGAACCTGCGGTAATGACCAACGGATAAATTGTTTTCACGAAGGAGGTGTATCTGCAGCCAGCCAAGAGTATCTATCAGGAAATAGTGTCGCCAATCTGCGAAGTAGCAGCCAATGCAGCCTCTTCATTTATGCCAAGGTTGGGTCGTGGCTGATGTACATTTAAGAGAATGAGAAAACGTTTCTGGGGAGCAGCTTTATGAAGTACCCAGAGTGCTACGTAGTGGGCAACATCTTGTTGCTAGTTGCTCGTAATCTGTAATAGGTTCCTACTTCATAGTCAACCCAGCAAGCTGGAAACTGTCGTACTGTACTTCTGAGTTGTGTAACGCAATGCACAGATCAACCATGATACGATATGCATGCTTATCTATCTAGGCCTGACAGCTCTACCAGCCAGCAACGAGTCACAACAAAACTAGGTGTTCGTCTTCAAACCACGTCAGTTCTGTGCGATGGGTTGCGTTCCAAAGCGGTATTGCGCGGCCCATACAGGCCCCACACACGACACCAGCCGCTCAACCGCTCCCTTGACGCTGTAGCCTGGGTATTTCGTTACGTCGTTTCTGTAACTTTTTTTTTCCCACCTACTTCAGTCCTTAGCGCAAGCTTTCTGTATGCGCCGCTCTGCAGTTTTCACATAGATTTCATTGAATCTCGCCATTTCTCTCTGCGACGCGTGACTAACGCCTGGCTAATTCTTGGACAGCGGGGATTCATCTCTCGACGTTCTTACATAAAGAATCATTCCGTTAACGAGATTTCGCCTGGATTATCACTGACAATGTCGTCTGCTTCTGCCAACATCACCCGGAACTATGGCCTCGACGCGTCATCGACGAGCATCATCGTCACCGTCTCAGCACTCCTCCTCGTCCTCGTCTCCGTCAGCTTCTGTTTCTCGTTCGTGCGAAACCGAGCCTTTTCCCGCCGTCGCCGGGCGAATCTGGCGCTCGAAAATGGCGGCGCCTCACGCGGAAGGCCGGGAACGCGGGGACTGGAAGACGCGCTCGTTGATTCCTTCCCCACGTTCATGTTCTCCCCGGAAACGGCGGAGAGCGATAAATTCGTGGAGTACGGCGGTTTGAAGTTACCGGGAGAGGAAGGAAGAGGGGATTTGGAGGGCGGGAAGGCGGTACCGAACTGGGGGGAAGGAGAGGGATTTCGCGAGTGCGCGGTGTGCTTGGCGGAGTATGTTTCCGGGGACATGCTGAAACTGCTCCCCCCGTGCGGGCACGTGTTCCACGTGGACTGCATTGACACGTGGCTCCAAGGAAAAACGACCTGCCCGATATGCCGCCGACACATCGGTCCAAGTGCTGAAGTCAAGGAAGGAGATTCAGAAGGAGGCGGGATAGCGGGAGATAGGGGACAACAAATCAAGAGGGGAGAGCAAGGGGGGAGCAGCACGGGGGGAGGTTTAGCGGGTCTGGAAGCCGACAGAGAGGAGTTAGGGCAGCAAGCGGTGGCAGGAGCAGGTAGGGGGGTAGCAGAGGGGGAGACTTCGGCAAATTCTGTGCCACAGAGTGCGAATTCGGTTCCAATTGAGCAGCAGTCCGTTTCAGCAGCAACCGCTGGGGGAGGCTTACCCTCAGTGTGGGTTCGACTGTGGTCATTGTGGTTGAGAGAAGCTGCGACTCCTCCCGGGGTAGATGGCCGCGTTCTTGAATCTGTTCCGGTGGCCCCGTCCCCATCTGCCGTGGTCTTTATTCCTCCCTCTGGTGTATCATAGCAGAGGCCTTGGATACTACTGCTGCCATGGGAATGTTTTTGGAAAGGGCATGAGTTCTGCCTTGGGTGCTGGATGTGTGGCTCTGCTATGCCAAGGTTTTGAGATTGCGAGTGGGAATGTGAAACCAGAAGGTGCTGCACGCACATGAGGTCGGAGGATGCAGAAGCACAAGAGCTTGTGAAGGGTGCAAAACTCGTGGGTAGCTGTAGATAGTATGTAAATAAGGCATGAGGCAGTAAAGATGCTAGTGTAAGAATTTGCCTTAGTGCCTTCAGACGAATGGTTTGGTGGTTTGTTTTGTTGGAACCGTCATAATAGCTCCCTAGACATTGCAACGACATGGTCGGATGGAGCGACCATGAGGTGAGGATTGTTGCAATCGTGTAAAAGCAAGATTTCCATGTTGGCAAACAAGCCTGCCATAATGTTGCAATGCTGTGGTGTGTAATGCATGACGTGTGGTTTGGTTTGTCTTCCCAACTAGAGGTGGTGCTGCCCATCACGATAGGTCCATCAGTGTTGCATCATCATCATAATGTGACATCATGGCTGAGACAAAAAGGAGAAAGGACAGGGCATTATGCTCACTGATCATTGGCCAAACATCTTGCACTACGAGAAGTCATTGCATAGCCCGTTCCTAGGCAGTGCTTCTACGCTCTAAAGTACCGTACCGTACCGGTAACTGCATATCGGGTATCGAGAGATACAGGCAGGTGGCAGCATGAGTGGATTCAGCATCAGTCTCCACCGTCCCCCGTTGTCGCATGCCCTTATTGGGAGGTGGTGAGGTGGGGTGGGGTGAGGAGAGGTGAGGTCATGTCACAGCAGATCCCGTGCACGGACAGCTGGCATATTGTTGTCACAACCAGGTGTACGTGATGGTCCCAGGCGACACTTGAGAACAGATGCGTGCGTGGCTCCATCCATATCGTTCATCCTGCTTGACTGCTGCCAGCTGCTTGTTCACTGAGGGAGTTCTGATTTGTGGGATCCATATCAGCTCAACAACTCCACTGATAAGGCCTGCCCTTCCCGCCCCGCTTAAAACGAGACTGTTTTGGAAGTTCTTAGGGCGCCAGCGCGTACGTTTTCAGTTCATCCTGTGCGGTTGACCTTGTTGCGTCACGTTGGAAACTGCAAATCGCTTTGAACCGTTTATCGTTTTCACCATGGGTGTTGAAATGTAAACGAACCGTAAACGTACGCGCTGGACACGCCCTTAGGTGCCCAAGCGACAGATCGATGGAACACTGTAGACCTGACAGGGAGCTGAGGTGTTGGCTGAGGTTCCATTTCTGCCCGCTAGCTACTTTCCAGGTGGCGCCCATCGACTCTTCCCCCGCCCCGCACTTGTCCGTTCGACCTCTCGAATCTCCCTCGAAGTGGCGATCGTGGTCCATTGATTGCGATACGCACATACACCCGATGGCCCACTTCCAGCCATCCATCTCACATCGAAATCTCCCCCGATTCCCGCGTTTCAACAACCCTATCCCTCCCCTTGGTTTTGGTTCGTTCGTCCCCTCCACGCTTGCTAACCATTCATTTCCTTGTGGCATGGCTGCGAAGTCAAGGATTCAAGGGAGCAGCTTTCTCCGACATGTTGAAATGCAAGGCGCAGAAAACAAGTCTTGAGATATGAATGTTACCACTCACTCGAGTCTTTACTTTTCACGCAAATAGTTGCTCAGCCGCGGTTCTTACGCAGCTGCTGGTCTTGATTGCCTTACCTGGCTCTAGAAACGCTGGGGCTCCTTTCCAAATACATTTTTGTTGCAGCATCACGCATTCCTGATTCCGTTTACGGTCAGTAGGTCACTAACTGATTATTCTCCAGCACCAGCAGCTCAATTTCACAGCCTTAGAGATCGGGCCTAGTTGTTACAGTAGCGTTTGTCTAAGCAAGAACGATTGGGCGTCGTTAACGAAGCGTGCGACGCGTGCGAACATGTCGATACCAATGGAAGATGTCGTCGCGTGTTTGGGATTCACGCAAACAGATAACCCGTTATCTCGTGCGAAAGATCATCCGAAGGTTCGCAACTCGTTCTTACGTTCCGGGCTGTGGCCTCTTACGAGTTCCAGATGCTTTCTTCATTGTTTTCTCCATTGCGCGTGTTACGTTTCGCGTCTGGTTACGCAGCATTCGAGTTTCTCTGGTGTATTCGAATCACTTACAGTCTCATGACTGACAATAATCTTCCGTCATTGCTCAGATCGCACACGCATTGGCGGAACTAGCCGTAGAGCAAGGGCCTGACTCCATTACAGCATCACAGAAGGAAGCGGCCGAACAGGTATGAATGAGAGCCTGATTGTTCTGTGAAATGCTCAGGTTCAGCGACTTTCGAAAACTCGAACCTCGCCGTACCTGTTCGGTTGTTGAAATGCTGCGACTTTTGGCTCCTTCGCAACATCGCACGAGGGAGTCGTCGAACATGTGCGAATGTGTGCCTAATAGCCGTAATTGAACTGCAGCACCTAACTAAAGTAAAACGGAAAGAAAGTTGCTAAAGAAGCGGACGTAAGCAGGAAAATATCAGGCAATTTTGGTTAGGCACAAGAACTTACCGCTTTTCCCGCCTTCCCTCCCCCATACCCTCCTCCATTTCCCCCTTCCTCCGCTCCGCCTCTTATCCCCCCCCCGATTTACCCTTCCCCCCCCCCTCCGCTCCCCCCCGCCCCTCCTCCTCCGGAGCTAATGGCCCTGGTGGTGGCGGAAGGGGCGGAGGACCAGGCACTGGCGGAGGCGGCGGCGCAGCTGCTGGCGATGACGGCAGCGAACGACAAGAAGAACCCGCACCTCATGCACGTGGACCGATGGGTCACTACGTGCTGCAGCGTGCTGAGTGAGTGATTGATGCGGCTGTGTGAATGCTGCGGCTGATGCAGAGCTGTTGGACCAATGGGTGGTTCACTACGTACTGCGGTGTGCTCAGTGAATAATCAGTGATGTCGCTGTCATAACTCCTCCACATGCTGCAATGTTGAAAACGACAGCGTGGTATGTGTTATGAGGCGATTCAACTTACTTTACTTTTGTTTCCCTCTCTATCCCTTCCTTTCCCCCCACTATCCCCCCGACCCCTCCCCGTCTCCGTCTTGCTCCCCCGCCCTTTTTTCCTCGTCCCCTCCTCTCCCTTCCACGCTCTCCTCCTCCTCCCCTCCCCTCCCCTCCCCTCTCCTCTCCTCCTCGATAGAGCGGTGCAAGGGAGCGAGCGACAGCAAGAGGCGGAAGAGCAGCTCACAAGCCAACGCCGGCGAAGCAGACACTGCCGCAGCAGCAGCAGCAGCCGGGGGAGAAACAGGGGGAACGGGGGGAACGGGGGGAACGGGGGGAACGGGGGAGGCGGCGGCGGGGGAGGCAGTGAGCGAGGCGCTGCTGGTGTGCATGGCGAGCTGTCTGGCGGACTTAATGAACAACCCGCGCAGCACCATCGTGTGCAGCACGCGCGCGCAGGAGATCTTCCAGTGCCTGCAGCCCGCGCTGCTGCTCCCGCGCGTCTCCAACCGCCTGCTCTACTTCCAGGTCTGCAGGGCGGTTTCCGAAGTGCTGCACCCGTCCACGTGGCCCATGAACCAATCCGCCGCCGTTCCCAAAAGCCTGCTGGAGCGGCTGATTGATCTAATCACTCCGGTTAAGGCCTCGGTTGCTGGTGGTGTGAAGGGTGCTGATGGGTCGGGTGATAAGGATGCTGGTGGGAATGAAGCCGATGCCACTGCTGCTACTGGTGCTGTTCAGAATGTCGGTGAGAATGGGGTAGGGGAGCGTGAGACAGAGGCCACGGAACCCGCCTTGGCAAACGGCACAGCTGCTGCAGACGCAGAGGCAGCTAAAGTAGCAGGGGCAGAGGCGGCTACAGCAGCAGCGGTAGAGGAGCAGGAGGGCGGCGGCAGCGAGGGCAGCAGCAACGAGGGCGACGTGACAGAGTCCTTGATCCACATGCAGGCGTGCAAGGCCCTGCTGGTGATGGCCACCAACGGCGCAGCGGATCTGATCGTGCAGCACGTGCCCGGGGTGATGGGCGCGCTGGAGCGGCTCCGGCAGGAGTCGGGCGTGGAGGAGGCCGTGGTGCAGGCTGATGCTGCTCTCATGGCTCTCTGGCTCTCACCTAAAGGATACGCGCTTTCCAACCCAGAGGTACAGATGGGATCTCCCTGGTTCTCAATACTCAGGTGTCAAGGAGGGTGCTCTTAGTGACTCTCGTCAAGTCTCATTCTCCCCATTCCCATCTTCGCTCCCCTGTCCTGTTCCCTCGTCCCCGCTCATCCCCTCTCCCTCTCCGCTCATTCCTGCCCTTCACATTCTTTCCCTCCCCTCAATCCTGCTCTTCCCCAGCTGCGCCCAGTGGTAGCAGCGCACCTGCTGAGGGTGCTCGGCTCGCCAGACCTGGTGGATAACCACCAGGACGTCAGCCTGGCGCTGGTGACGTCAACCATCAACCCTGACGCTGCCACGCGGGCCAGCATGCTCCAGCTGTACGCGGGACTGCTGACTCAGCAGCTGGAGCTCACGCATATCCTGATTGGCCACGTGGACGACACTGACAGCCTGGCACACCAGGTAGGGGAAAAGGAAGGGGGGAGTTAGGGGAGGGTGGTTGGGAGGATGAGGGGAGGGGGGGGAGGGGGGGAGATGAGGGGAGGGGGGGGAGGGGGGGAGATGAGGGGAGGGGGGGGAGGGGGGAGATGAGGGGAGGGGGGGGAGGGGGGGAGATGAGGGGAGGGGGGGGAGGGGGGGAGATGAGGGGAGGGGGGGGAGGGGGGGAGATGAGGGGAGGGGGGGAGATGAGGGGAGGGGGGGGAGGGGGGGAGATGAGGGGAGGGGGGGGAGGGGGGGAGATGAGGGGAGGGGGGGAGATGAGGGGAGGGGGGGAGATGAGGGGAGGGGGGGAGATGGGGGGAGATGGGGGGAGGGGGGGAGATGAGGGGAGGGGGGGAGATGAGGGGAGGGGGGGAGATGAGGGGAGGGGTCGGGAGTGCATGAGAGAGGAGGGGAGGAAACGAAGTGAAATGGGATGGGGAATCGCTGCTTGATAAAAAAAAGGGATTACTTCGAACGGATTGACAATGCTTAGCGTGATAACCTTATCTTCCCACTCACACTCCCCCTCCCTCCTTCCAACACACTCTTCTCTCCACACTCACTCCCATCCCTCCTCCTGTTCTACTCGCCCCATGAAATTGTGGTGTATTTCATTCTCATGCTGCACACGTCTGCATCCGAGCACTGATTGCAACGCCTTCACATTCCTCACTCCACACTCATCCCATTTGCTCACCCCACGCTCTCTCATCTACACTAATCGCCCCATAAGAGTGTGCTGTCCTTCACGTCCTGCTGCACACGTGCTAGTTAATTCCATGTCTCCCTTGCTCCCTCATGCTCACTTACAATACACCCATCCCACTCCCACCCTTACGCTCATCAGAGCGTGGTGTATTTCGTGCTGCACACGTGCGAGTCTGAGGACTGTGCCAAGGCCTTCACAGCCAACCAGACCAGGCTCGAATGTGCCTGCAAGGAAACTTCCTCTCCCTCACTCACACTCTTCCCCCCTGCTCACTCCACTCACCCCCATCTACCGCCCCATCAGAGCTTGGTGTATTTCGTGCTGCACACGTGCGAGTCTGAGGACTGTGCCAAGGCCTTCACAGCCAACCAGACGGACTGTGAGGCGCTAGTGGCAGCACTGGTGGTGGCGGCACAGGCTGAGAACCACTATGCTCCCATTGCTGTCCTCGTCCGCCTGGCCAGCCGGCCTAGCACCCGGTAAGTGGTGGGGGGTGGGATGGGGCTATTGCGTGCTCCTCTGTGTGTGTGTGTATGCACGGGGTTTCTGTGATTTCACTGGGGATTACTGAAGCCAGCAGCGCTGGTGGTGGTAGCACAGGCAGAGAATCACTACGCACCCATCGCTGTCCTCGTTCGCCTGGCTAGCCCTCCTAGCACCCGGTGGGTAGCATGGAGTGGCGATGGGGCTGCTGGGTGCTGGTGCATGTAAGTGTGCGTGTAAGCAAGGGGTGTCTGTGCTTTCACTGTGAGGCGTTCGTGGCAGCACTGCTGGTGGCAGCACATGCGGAGAACCACTATGCAGCAGGCCTGGCAACCGGTGGGTTGGGGGAGGAGGGGATCGGGCTGGTGTGTGCTTTGTTTTGTGTGTGCGAGTGTAAGCAAAGTGTTTCTGTGATTTCACTAGGAGTTGCTGGAGGTAGTGCTGGTGGTGGTGGCAGCACAGGCGGAGAACCACCATGCGCTTGACCCTGACTGGCCTAGCAGTGTCCTGTCCTTCTTCGCCTCGTCAGCTGGCCTAGCACCTGATGCATCTGTGCTTTTCTTTTGCGCACTGAGGTGTGTGCTGAATCAAAAGTGTAGAAATCTGCTTACCACGCCACCTTCTTCTGCGCTGCTGGCCCTTCCCCCTCACCCCTCTCATCTTACGCTTTGTCTGCCTCTTCCCCCCATCTCCAGGGACCAAGTCCTCACGCACATTGACACCAGAACGCTCAATCGCTTGCGCGCCATTCCCGGGACTCGTGCTCGTCGAGAGGTGAGCTCTGCCTCTGTCTCTTCCCTGCTGCCCCTCTCCCTGCAATTTGTCAATGAACCCCCCGTCCCTCCAATTCCCCCCCAACGCCCCCTCCCGCCCTGGTTTCTTCCCTTGTTTGCTCCCGTACCCCCCTCCCTCATTTCATCCCTCCTGCATCACTGTCACACTTCACTCACGCCATGTCTTCCAACCCTGTTAGAATCTTACCCCCATTTGAGGTGCCTCTAAAGACCACTCAAATATCACTCCCATTTCCCCTCTCTGTCCGCCTGCAGGTTGATCAGCTGGCAGCAGCATTTGCAGAGTACAAGGGGGAGAAGCCCCCAGAGCGATCAGCATCCATGCCATCAGAAGAGGAGCAGTCCAAGGAGGACATTCTGAGGGACATCGTGCGCAGCCAGTCCCACAGGAGCCTCAAGTCAAGAACTGCAGGCGGAAACAACAGCTCATTTCTCGCATTCCCCTCCTTTGACTTGTCCCTTCCCACCTCTCTCTCTCTCTCGCTCTCTCTCTCTCTCTCTCTCTCTCTCTCTCTCTCTCTCTCTCTCTCTCTCTCTCTCTCTCCCCTTGCCTGCAGGTTGATCAGCTGGCAGCAGCATTTGCAGAGTACAAGGGGGAGAAGCCCCCAGAGCGCACAGCATCCATGCCATCAGAGGAGGAGCAGTCCAAGGAGGACATTCTGAGGGACATTGTGCGCAGCCAGTCCCACAGGAACCTCAAGTCGAGAACTGCAGGGGGGAATAGCTATGAGGATTTGGCCGGCGCCATTGCAAGCGTGGCGACGGGCGCTGCCAAGATCACTGTAGACGAATCGACAAATGCTTGAAGCAAAACTAGTAGAGTTTTGGTCTTGCAGGGAACGATGGACAGGAAAACCCGCTGTTGGCTTCCCTGTACCCTGGGGGATCTCAGTCTATATAGAAAAATACGGTGCTTGGGAATGCCGGGCAGTGAAGAATTTGTGTGTGGTTGAGCAGGTGGTCGAATTTGTTCTGTTCCTGCCAGTTTTTGCATGACAGTGCATGCACACAGTGGCTCCGTGAGAGACCTTGCACAGGACGGCTTCATGTTGATTGAAACTGTAGAAGGGTAGGGTCAGGGCTGGAATATGTTGTGTCAATAATTTTTTCCCTGAATGATATATTGCTGTTTCCAAACATTTACTCTACTTTGAACATTATTCGAAATAGTTGGAAGAGTGACATGACATATATAGTTTCGCACTTGCCTGCTCCTCTTGTAGCGGGTATTACTGAAGAGCCTGGAAGAATAGACGGCGTCAAGTTGACCTCATTGCCCGACCTTGGGTTCCACGCTCGATTGGGTGGCTCGGTACAGAGCTCGTTGTGCTTTGCTCAGGGCGTGTCCAGCGCGTACATTTACAGTTCATAAACACATTCGGTTACCTTCTATTCTAATGTAACACTGTATTTTACAAAAATGTCGGACACGATCAGCTAATGTTCACAAGACGGCACGCCCGCTGCACGTACGACGAATCGTCCAACACACGTGACTGGAATCAGTGTACGCGCGAACAAGGGTACAGCATTGCGTCCTGCCCGCTACAGTAATTTTCGTTCAAGCGTGGAATTTTCGCCTGTGCGTGAATTTCTGTGCGATGATAGACGAGGCAACCAGTTACCTCGTTTTCCACGAACTGTAGAAAATTGTTTGCAGAGGGTTGTGTCCGCGCGCTGGAAGGCCCACTCCTTCGGACTCGACTCGCCTTAGGACGCGGCACCTCTAGCACCGATCCTGCGCAGGATCGAATGTTTTAGGAGTTTAAAATGGTATTGAGAGATTTCAATGTTTTCAAAAAAAAATCAGTACGGTTGAATCAGCGATCCTGCGTTCGATCGTGCAAAATTGCTTGAGGTGCCGCGTCCTTATATTCGTTTTTTGGTGCAGTGTACTTTTTGAGCCGGGAAACGTGTCTCAGATGTCTGAGTCCACGTGGGTCCGGCTCGGACCTGACGGACCAGCTCAAGAACCAGCGCGTGAACCAGGGCGGGCCGGGACCAGGATGCGGGGCTTGTAACCCCGTTATACCGTTCGAATGGCACTAAAACGGTGCCATTTATTTGGCCCTCCAGACCAGTCCGCGCCTGGTCCGTAAACAGTAGGTGGTAAAACATTTTTTTTTTTGGCGAAATATCTTGTTCTGTAAGTTTCGCGTAAGATTTTTGTGCAGACGAAGAAAATGGGTAACTCAATTTCAAATTCGTCGCTACTGCTGCATCTCGCAAATACTGTGCAGCCCGAAGCGCGACGCATCAGGCAGACCAGTCCGTGTCTGGTCCAACGCTGGTCCGCCAAGTGGGTCCGTCGGACCAGAACCCCGGACCAGGCGTATAGATTCTGGTCGCGGACCAGATCCAGCGGACCCTTCACATGAGACACGTCCTAGTAATCCCGAAATGTACGCGCTGGACACGCCCTCAAAACCCTGCTCAGCAACATTCTCCGAGAGAAACGTTTTGAACCGCAATACATATTCTGGAACCGCACATATCCGTCGCGTTGGAAGGCATTTTCTGAGAGTTGGAAATTTTGGGATTTCCCCTCATTTTTGCTGCTCCTGCTGCTGGTTTTGTTGGTAGTTAGTGTTCCGGCGCGGCGTCAGAACTGAAGATCAGTTTGCAGCATTTCGAGAATAACGTCGTTGCTAGTCGGCGAATGACAGAAGTGGAGCCTTGAACTTCCCAACTATTTGACAAGACTTCCTTATCAGGTTTCTGCTTTCACGGAGCTGGTGTTGTATTCGAGGCAAGGTGGCGGTGAGCTTATTCTGTCAACCTTACCATCTGACGATTTCAATATCACGGAGAAGTGTTCCTTCGCCGTTTCCGATGCAGAATCGAAAGTCCAGCATCAACGTTTTCCGGGACGGCGTGCTCTCACTGGTCACCTTAAAAATGGGTTGTCAGCATCATCCATTGTCACTCTTCACAGAAGGGTTTACTTGCAAGACCTGTACTTGCAAGACTGGGTTTACTTGCCTTTCGAACTCTCCAATACATGCAAGCCTTCTCCGCTCACTTTTGCTGACTCAGCGGAGTTCGCACATCTTGAAGGCCTTTCATATTACACCCTGGAGGTGTTACCCGCGTAGTGGTCTCACATCCTCGTATTCAGGAAAACCGAAAGGAGATTGTCCAGAGAGCGGTGGTTTGGTTCATGGGACCGGTGAGGCGACGGGGACAGACACTGCAAGGAAAATCGCAAGAAACCCCGCTGGACAATTCACGCTCAGACGTTTGCCATAAGTTCGCCAAGTCGGAAAGTGTAGCTTCTTTTTCAGATAAGCCAAGCAGTGTCGCTGAGATGGAAGCCAGTAAACCGCAGCGAAAGAAAGCAGCAGGTACAGCAACGACGTCCTTGGCAGCAGTTCATGCCTCAGCTGATAGGGGGGTACCAACAGGAGAAATGAATGCTAAGCCTGGCGATTTGATATCACTGATCGACGCTGAAGCCCCACCTACCCCGCCGCCTTCTCATGAACATGCATTCCCAACTGGAGCAACAGATTCACCTGCAACTCCTCTCAGCGTCAATTCCTCTGCATCCTCTTCAGTAACATCCTCATTAACAGCAGGAGGCTTCTCTATTCCAATTTCGGGATCAGAATCTGGTGCAGGTGTTGGAGCACCGGTTCCGTCATCAGGTGATTCATCCTCGTTATTGGATCTCAACGTGGACGTATATGGAGGCATGGATCAGGTGTACCTCAAAGCAGCTGGCATGCGCAGTGACTTCACCATCACGTTTGGTGCTACAGTCAACTACCAACTTCACAAATTCCCCCTCTATTCCAAGGTAAAAAGCCCTTCTACCCTTATCTCGGTAGATTGCGGTCTATCTTTAGCTTGACCAGTAGTTATTTTGACTTGCATTTCATCATTTCTGTCTCTGAACCTTCACTCTATTTTTCTGTGCCCTTGTCAGACTGATCATTTCTCCAAGCATGCTGTGGAGGAGGAGAAGAGCAGCTTCAGGCAGAATTCCGGGGATCCAGAGAGTTCCACCAATGGGAAGCGAGCCCGTCTGGACCTCTCCAACCTCCCAGGCGGAATCGAGACCTTCAAGCTCGTCGCGTGCTTCTGCTACGGCATTCCCATTACAATCACTCCTGATAACGTCACAGCTCTTTATTGTGCAGCGATTTACCTCGATATGAGGGATGACCCTCGAGCTGCTATGTGCGGTGGTCCCTATGACTGTAACCTGCTGACGCTTGCGTCTCGCCACCTCACCTCGTATCTCTCTCACCCCCGGGCAGCTCTCACCGTGCTCCAATCGTGCGATGCCAGCTCAGCGATCCGGGCGAGTGCTGAGTCAGCAGGGCTGCTGCTGACCACCGTGAACGCGGTCGCACGATTGGTAGTGAAAGAAGCGGGGAAAGGTGACGATGCTTATGACGGTTCCGATGCTACTGCTTCTGCTGCTGTTGAAACAGATAATGCAGGCAGGGAAGAGAAGGCGAAGGATAAGGTCACAGATGGAGCTGCAAGCGAAGCGGAGGGACATACGCAATCGGCTAGCGCAGGACCGCTGTGGCTGTCGCCCCAGCTGCTGCAGCTGTCCCTCCCCACGTTCGTCCAGCTGCATGCTGCTGTGAGGTGAGCCACACCAGGCAGCCACACCACTCCTACCCCTGCGACTCCCCCACCCCACCCATCCAACCTGAGGTTCTGATTGTTGCGCACATGTGACCTCCGTTGCGGATGTAGCTTCCTCTTCATCCTCTCTCTTCCTCCCCGCCCTGTTCTGTCTTCCCATCCATTTGTTATTTATCGATTCCGCTGTTTATGAGCACCATGGGCACGATGGTGTGTGCCTTCGTGAGCTCTCAAAAATCGTCTCTGTGCTTCATTCTCTCTTGTTCCTTTGCTTGCCTTCTTTTTCTATCCCCATCCATCCATTTTCATTAATGCCATTGGTCAACCCATTCATCAGCGCCATGGGAATGAGTGTGCTGCATCTCTGTGCTCTTCTGGAGGCCTACTGCAACACGTGGCTTCCTTTCCCTGTGGTATGTCGTCAGTAACGTCAGGGTTTAGAGTTGCCAGTCCCTCAATGCATGTCAGACAGATCGTGTGCATTCCATGTGGTAACTTTGACGTTCTCATTGACCAGTCAGTCATAAGTCTGTGAGGCCTGTCCGTGCTATCTTTGCGTCTTATGTGGTGACAAATCGAGCTGCTGTTCCCCCCCTCCTTCCATCAAGCAGGACGTCCCATCCACATCCACCTCACCTGCAGCCACGTCAGCAGACGCCCAGACTACCTCCACGTGGAAGCCCACCCTGGAAGCAGCAGTTGCGCTGCTCTTTGCACTCTCTGCGGGTCCCTCCGCGTCAGGCCAGGCTGCAAGGGGGGCTGGGGGGCTGCCGTCCATTCAGCTGCTGGTGCGACTGCTGCGCCTCTGCCCTGAGGTGGATGCCAGCGAGTCGGCCAAGTCGCACCTGCAAACGTAAGAAGTTGCATGTCTGCTGATCTGATGCAGATTCACGTAGGTCAAGAAGCAGCACATTAGTATGGTCATTGCGTCGTGCTAATTAACCATTGACCTTTCACCTCCTCTGCACTGCCCTCCTCTGTATTGCTCTCCTTTGCAGCATGATCGGTCGTCGGATCACCGAGTGTGAAGTTGACCACCTGCTTCCGCTTCCTCCATCTGAGGTCCTCGCTCTCCTCGCGATCTTCACTTCAAGCACGCCTGCTACAAGCACTCCTACTGCAATCACTCCCAATGCTGGGTCTGCTGCTGCAGCTGCGGAAGGCTTGGATGCGGCCATCCTCTCTCAGGCTGCACTACTTGTGGACACTTTCTTGAAGGTGCTGCACTGTACACTTGCAGTTGCGTTGATTCCACTGCTGCTTCTATCCCTCCTCCCCACTTTCCGTGTGCCTAAATCAAGGTCTTATTACTGTCCATTTCCATCTTCTCCATCTCCCTATTTCCCCATTTTCTTAATCTCCCATTTTCTTGGTTCTCTTTTCTTCCATTTCGTCACGACACACCCTCCTTCAGGCCATCTCCACTGCTCCCAACAGCAGCAGCATCAGCCCCGACTCCTTCATATCCCTTGCAACTGCACTGCCTCTTGCCTGCCGCCCCTCGCACGATGCCCTCTATGAGGCAGTGGCAGCTTACGTAGCAGCCAGGGGGTGGGGGTTGGGGGGGTCTGTGAAAGGAGGGGGGGAAGGAAGTGGAGGAGGGGAGAGAGGAGGCGAGGAGGTTAAACTCCTTGTTGGTCTGATTCAGCCTGAGAAGCTTTCAGGTAACTTCACCTCATCGATTTCTCTTCAGCTTCGTTTATGTGGTATCGTATTTTTCACAATGAGCTCTTTTAACTCATTTCCCTTCCTTGCCCATCCCGTCCTCCATCCCCCAACTTCCAACCCATCACCCATCGCATCCCCCGCCATCTCCCTATCCCATGCGCCATCCCATGCGCCATCCCATCGTCCATCCCATCCATCCTCCACGTTGGTCAGAGCCCGTGGCAGATGCTGCATCATCGACCTCCCTCTGGCCGCCCTCTTTCACCGTTGCAGTGCTGACATGGCAGAAGCAGGTAAGCGCCCCAATTGTTGCAACAGCATCTGGTACTCACACGTCCGTCTCTTCACCTGGATGCATTCTATTTCCCAGAAATCCTGGTTGCCCGTATCCTTCCCGCCGAACCGTCATGTTCAATGTCCCCTTCGTGTTCCTCCTGGTAAACCCACTCTCAGCTGCTCGCAAGCCAGGCACAGCAGCTGGTGTCACGAGGCAGAGCGCTGCAGCAGCAGAAGGAGCAGGCGGAGAGGGAGAGGGAGCAGCTGCAGAGGGAGGAGCAGCAGACGCAAGCTGAGGTCGAGAAGGAGGAGGGGAAATCTGTTGCTGTGAGGGCGGATATCAGGCAGGAGACTCATGGGCTCACTCAGGCTTTGGTGCAGGTGGGTGAAGTTTTCCTACCGGTATGAGCGTTTGGTGGCTATTCACCTCCGTGCTTTGGGAGGCAGCGCTAAGTTCTTTATTATGGCATTGCATGCACGGGTTTTGGGGATTTGACATGCCAAGATGTTTCTTGTTTTATGATTGCATGCAGGTGCGATCAAGCATATCTGACCTGGAACGAGACTTGAGTGTTGCTCTCGAATCTAAAGCTCGACCCAAGGTATGAAGGGACAGTGAGAATGCTGCTTGTTTCGCGTGTTGTGCTGTTGTTCCGTACTCCTACCGGTATTATCTTCCAATAATGCTGGTACCATAACAGGGTGGCACCACCACCCTGTCATTACCCCACTTCCGTATGCTCTGGTTTGTGCAGAAGCCTACCACTTTCTTCCGACGTCTCTTTCAGCGCTCCAGCCAACGTGCGAATTAGGAAATAGGGTTTATGTGCATTCCTGTTGACCTTGACATTATGGTTGCTGATCATGATAGGTTTGATTGTATGTACATACTATAAGCAGAAAACACTTGTTGGAAAACTACGTTGACAAAGGAGCACAATTTGTCTCCACACCGCAATCTTGTCAAATTAGCTTTTGTTTTTAGAACGGGATGAAGTCCGCTCCGCTGTAGTCGCAAATGGAGCAATGACAACCGCCAATGTGGCGGCGCGCACTCCGGCGCTGCGTAACGTCGCAGCGCTGTTTATAGCCGTCTGAATGAGAGAAAATTGCGGGGCTTGGTCCCCCAATACACGAAGGGTTTCATGAAGCAGCCTTTACAGCGGCGACTGACGCAACACGGCTCGCGCGCAGAGCGATCCGTTCCCGAACGGCCCAGTCGAACACGGAATCGGAACTCGAGCTCGAGCTACGACTGGTTGACGCAACGGCGCGGCACCGACTCGAGCAATGCGAGCAGGAATGCGTGCCGACAGATTCGATCCTTGAAGGGTTGCGAGGAATGGTGTTAGCGGCGGGTGTTCCAATGGCGGGGGTTCCAGTCGCAGTGGTAGATCGCGTCGCGCGGTTCCACATCTCGAGTCGCCGATCGCTCCTCGCACGCCAGTTTAAGTCTGCGGCGCTGCAGTTCCCTGACGTGCGGTAGGAAATGGAGCCGCTGATGTCTCTGCAAAAAACTGGATCCGCCGACGCGGAGCGCGGGATGTGCGATGAGGCAGTGTGAACGGCTGGGATTGGCGAAGACGGTGACGATGGTGTCGAAAAGGATGTCGCACAAGCGGAAACCGCTCGTAGCCGCGCCGTCGCATGATGATCGCCAAGGTTGGATGGCGCTGCTGCCGGCAGACCAACAGTTCTCAGTCTGAGTTCGTGAGAATAATCGCGTGCAGAGGCCATTTCGTCGAAGAAAGAATCACTAGCAGCAAACTAATGTGTAATAAGGAGTTGCCTGTCTCGAAGGTGCTAGGTTGGAGCGAGAATACAGCTTGCTAGTTGGGACTGATGGATGAAAGGTTGATGGTCAGAAGTGGGCCAGGAAGGCCCTTTATTGACAGCACGAACCACCTCAACCCAACCGCTCAGCAGCGGTAGCTGAAGCGACGAGAACTCCCAGCCATGGGATGGGATGGGGATGTCGGGGGAAGGGGAACGTGTGGTGGTGGGGACGCTGATCTGGAGGGATGTGATGTGAGGACGCGTCACAATTGCTACATCGAGGAGGAACGCGGTCACACACCGAAGCTGCGACACTCGATCTCCTCTGAGAAAGATGTGTCGCGATTGTCTTCAGGTTCGATAGTTAGCGGGGTTAGAAGCCATTTCAAAAGTTTAAAATGCATTACGTAGGATTTGAGTGCGGTGACAGATCGATCTGGAAGGGACATCGCGTTCGGTGACTTGTGTCGGGTCTTAGCGTACTCTAACGAGACACAGCGAATTACTGTATACTCGGAACATCGATCTCCCGCAGGATCGATGTCGCAATTGTGACGCGTCCTGAGGCGAGCCGAGTGGAGGCAGGACGAAGCGAGACGAGGCGAACCGAGGCGAAGCGAGGCAAGGACAGAGGCGAGGGGAAAGTAGGGGACGGAGGAGTGGGGTGGGGACGAGGGAAGAGGGGGAAGAGGGCTTGTCGCCGCGGAGAGGATAGGGTTCGTTGGAGGTATTTGGGGAGAATGAGGGCGGGAGAGGGGCAGAGAGGAGAGGACGTAGCAGGCAGAATGGCAGAGGAAATGATGGGGGTGGGAGAAGGGGGGAAACTTGTGGATGAGGATGAGGAAGAACGGAGGTGGTGCGATAAAGACAAGAGCAACACATATGGAAGCTAGTCTCGCGACAGAGTCTTCTTGGCGTATTGTCAAGCCAGCGTTGAATGTTCAGATCTTGCGATCATTTGATCTGCGAAACTTGTGATGGCTGAACGGGAACAAGACTGGAATGGAATGGGGATCAGGGCTGTCGCTTGCTTTGGGTCCAGAACTTAGCGGGCTGAGGTGCCCTGAATTCAGCCCTTAATTATCCGGGTTGAGTCAGATTTCAACACTTAGATCCAGGGCTACACATCCTTCTGCACTTGAGCTTAACACATCGTGAACGTAGGTGATGTTCAAATACACCTGAGGGCTGCGGTACATAGCCGGTCTACCATGCAACGGGGGGGGGGGGGGGGAGTATGTATGGAGGTTCTATGTAAGCAGGGGTGACATATCAAGGGAAATGAGGGGGTAGGGTGGTAGGTGAAGGCTCTGAGCGTAGGCGTTCAACCAGCCCGTAAGGGAAACGGGCTGCCCTCAAAGCCAGCCCTTGAAGTCTCTGAGCTGGGCCTGAACCAGCACGTGAATTCAAGAGCAAAAAGGGCAAATGCCCTTGTAGCGACAGGCCTGATGGGGATCACTGTCATCTGGCATCCATGTTACGTCCACAGTGCTCATCGAATCTAATAAATCCATCGTCAATAGTTGGAATATAATTACGAAATATTTATAATCTGCCCGATACGCCACTTTTCCTGAAATGGGACCTCTCGTGACATGAAGTTTGTATTAATAATCAAACTGGAACAACCAGAGCCCAATTTTCGCACATTTTCTAGCTACGTTAGCATCGACTCGGAAGCAGTGTGTTCAGCTTCAGTGCATGAGACAAACCTGAATATCAAAGTTCCGCGTTGATTGGATACTAAGGATCCGAATGCCTTATTGCATGGTCAATGTGCAATTCACTTTTGTTTTTAGTTCGTAAAAGACAGGACAAAGGTGTGATACAGTGCTGTAACGAATAACGACCCCAATATTATCAAATCTAACGAACTCAAGAGAATCCTTTGACTCGATATTAGACTCTTCACCGCATATATTCTCTGGTTTTCGTATTCCAGCCTCATTACTATGTGGTGTGTGTTGTGTATGGGTCTAGTGGATGTGTTGCGTATGGATCTGTTAGTGGATGTTATTGATGATTCTCAGTGGACTCATTCTGAATACGTATCAACGCTATCATTAATATATATGTACCACAACTGGAGCTTTGCTGAAATTTTCATGAGGTGCAGATAATTGCAATCATTCCACATACTAGCCTAGGTGGCAGGCCCTTATACGGTAAATCACAGGAGCATCAAGCACTTCACACCAAGTCCTCCAGCAGATGGAAACTCCATTTCAGTACATTATCAACTGTGATTGTGTGAAGCCGCCAGGATCTAACAAGTGCTCCTGAATCTGTTTGCTTCGTGCTCAGTGGCAACGGGGTTGCGGAGGACAGGAAGGAGCCCATGATAGTGAAAGAACGAATAAGTAAATGAAGCCTGGCACTGACGAGGCACGGGCATCTAGCCCCCACATGCACAAGTGGTTACAAGCTGGACAGTGGACGGTAACACACAGCAACAGTTACTGGTAACCAGCCTACTTGTAACGAAAAGAGCCTCCTCAGAACCGAGGCAGTGTGCAAGTGGAAAGGCTGTAGTGCCCATGACTCGTGAGTGCCGTCACCCCGCAGATCATGCCTTCGTCTCCTCGTGATATCTCCATCGCTAAAACCCAAACCAACCATCGATATCCTCCCATCTCTGCATGAGAGAGTCTTATATCGAAGAACTCCGACAAGCTTAGCGCCTCAAAGGTCGGCAGTGTAACGCAGAAAGGCGCAGAGCCGAGTAAAGCAGAGGACAGAGGGAAACGCGACGGGTGATGAGCTCAGCGGAGGTCACGAGGAGGCGAAGAATGAGCTGCGAGTACGAGCTTCGCAGAGAACAGGACGGAAAAATAAACCCCCCAGTGGTAACCAGGTTCGAGAACGGCTAGTGCGTGTCAAAGCGAAGGAACGGCCCTGCTGCTGCTTCCCTTCTTGTTCTCTCCGACGCAGCAGCGAAATCAGCTTCATCTGAGTATTCTACACGCGTATCTTACATATGGAAAGGCCACGACCGCCACGGAAGGTTAGTCGCGACGGTTACGACTACCGGCGGTTTGTCATGTTTTCATGCTCTGAACCGGAAAAAACTTTTCTTCGTAGAAACTCCCGCCGCTGCCTCCTTCGCTAGCGCTAAACCCGCCGCTAATTCCGGCTCCACCGCTTCCTGATCGCTCATTTCCGAACTCTGGTCGCTTCCGTCTGTCGGCGCGTCTTCCCATCGCTCTTCCTCCTCTCCCTCTTCCTCTTCGTCTGACGAAGTATCGACCTGCATGAGCTGCTTCTGCTGCTTCTGGGCCTGCTTCTCATTCTTCGCACCCTTGCCTTCCTCCCACAGCCCGGGAAACGCGGAGAGCGGCACGCTCTTGTAAACTAGACGTCCGACGTAAAAGTAGAGCCGATTGCCGCAAGACGCGCCGACCTGTGCGGTGTCGACCGGGACCCACGCCATCATGTAGAAGACTTTAATTCCAGTGACTTGCCGAATCCAACCGTGTTCGACCACTCCGCTTATGTGCTGATCGTAGTGCACGTTATAGCCGTCAATCACGGCGTCGATCGGACGCTTGAGGTCGATCGAGAAAGGTCCTGTGATCGCGCCGTCGCAATGCGCGACCTCGTGCGCGGGGAGGAGCTCCGAGGGGAAGCCATTGGCCTGCGGAAGAGAAAGGCGGAAAATGAGGATGCGTCGGAAAAGCAAAGACCTTCTGTTGGACGAGAAGTGAGAGTGGATTGGAAGAGTGTGTGTCACGGGGCGAAAGAGAGGCGTCGAAGGTGGATCAAGGGAAAACTCACCTCGAGAATCTGCGTCGGAAGCTCTCCAGGCGCGTTCGCGTTGTAAGAGCAACCGGAACACGTGCAGTACGATGCAGTCATTGTGACGGTGGAGGGTAGCTGGCAAGCTGAGTGGATGGGAGATTGCTGAACGACGAGAATGAAGAGAATGTGGTTGGGGTGTCAAGGTCCTGGACAACGAACGACGCCGTATGGTACGACACGGAGATCGCAACTTATCAAGTAAGCGTGCACCTGAGAATGAGGAAGAGGAACTATTCGAAGTCGGAGAGCAGCGCTGTCTGCTCTGGTTTGAAGAAACTTGGCAAGTTTGGGTTGCTTGTGAGTGAGGAGACGCGAGTATTTGGAATGATTTTGCGACACGGAAGAGTCGAGCCAGCCCCACGCATGATGGGATGGGAACCGTGGGGAAGGGAGTCCGACAGACAGGGGGCGGGAGAGAGGAAGGTGGGGGGTTCGGAGGGAGGGCTGCGCACAGCTAGTGAGGGATTCGGGGAAGAAGGAAGGGGAGAGCGCTGAAGTTGTGGGGAATGCGGGGGAATTGAGTTGGAGAAGGGGGAGCTTGTTTCGTGGGTTGCGGGGAACGCAAGCCAATCAGAAACGTCTCTCTTTCCAGCTGTTTCCGGCTTTCCGCATGGTTGGTCGACGCGTCTTTCTAACGCGCTTCGAGTATGGATTTGCGCACTCAGGCCCTCCATCTCTCCAGCCTGCCCTGCATGTGGTGCGCCTGCGCTATTTGATTGGTTGGTGCCTTACGCGGAGGTCTTTCCAACTCGGTCATGATAAACCGACGAGGGGACAAGCTGGCTGGATGTTGGTGGCGCACTGCGGTGGTGGTCTGACATGACAAAAAGAGCGTCATTGAGCGTCATTCTGTACGCTTATGAAGAAAACAAAACTCGGAAACCCAATGAAGGCACTGGTTTAAGCATAAGCCCCAAATTACTAAATTGGTCCAAATATACTATTATTTGTAATTGCTCCTTGAAAAATATTATTTCCACGTCAAACCTGGCGTGGAAAACCTGTGACCCTCGCAAGTGCGGTGTGACCAGCAGCCAGCTAGCCTACAGAAGAAATCGAATTCGGCAGCCTACGACTAGGTCGGGACTCGGGACGGGAAATGCCTAGAAAAAAATATTCATGCGACATCACTGTTCCGCAACACAGGTGGAAAATGAAGGAAACATATAGCCAGCATTGCAGAAACATTGGTGCTAAATTTCGAGTTTATAGCTCAAGGACTAAATTTGCGCCGAATGTCACAACGAAAAAAGGAGACTCGCGACAAACGAGTGATACCTGATTGGCTGGTTTCAGCTGTAGGCGGACCACGACTGCAAGATTGTGGCCGAGCAAGCAGCATGCACGACGTGTGGTGAAGTTGTTGAGAAACGTCATCCGCACTACAAAGTGCTCCACTATGTGGACACTGTCACCCCAATTTAGCCATTATTCGTGGAGACAAAAATTCTTAGCCATGTTCACATGTCTATGCTTTCAAGGTCCCGTGTTCATATGGTGTCTTCCAGTAAAGTTTGTTGTGAACTAGATAATCCACTTATGCCTCAACCTATTCAATATGGTAATACATACAATTGAATGGTAATATTGAGTTTCTGTCTTCCAATAGTGCACTGTAGCTCACTTGATCTTGTACATGTCAAGCTCAAAATGTGTAGGCTTTGACGGCTTACCCATCTCAATCCCACAATATGCAAAGACGAAGAGAACTGTGAAGCCAATGTAATATTCAGACTGCACAATAGGGTGGAAATGGAATCACGAGAGTGGAATAAGTACTGTATGTATAACCGGACAGAAGTGGAATTGAAGTGCATAGGATAATGGACATACTTACCGGGAGGCCAAATGCAACACCAGCGAAGAATGCTGGAAGAAACGCCCATGCAAGTCCCTCTGCAAGTCATAAAAAAAATGAACAGAATTAGAAGCATGAAGGAAATACAAAGTACAACGATCAGAGACCAAAGCCCTGTGCCATTGCATGAACAGCGACATCTCATACGCCATCCCAAGCCCTCAAGTTCCACCTGCAAATGCACCACCCATTGTACACCCTTTTCTCCCCCTTCTCCCCTTCCTTCTCCCCACTCCCCCCCACCCCCCGTCTCCCCCCTTTTTACTCCTCTCCTTTCCCCCGTTCCTAACGCACTTTGTTCAGTTGAAACAGGGCCACCGGCCTCCTTGAGGGAGGCGTCGACGTTACTCCAGAACCCGCCTGCAAGAAATCGAGCGCATAGAAAGATCATCGGATAGAAACAAACGGCAGAGTGAAGTTTTGAAGTCCGTCGAAAAGTATAGAGGAAACAAAGGGAACCGAGCATTCGAGAGGGTTGCGACTCAGCTAAGGGGGCACCCAAGAGAGGAAAACCGAGAAACCGCAACGAAGCTGGGAACGACTTAAACAGAACGACGCGAATTGTAGAATTGCCACTGAAAGCAGAAACATCGGTGGCCTTGGCTGTCCACAGCACTGAGTGGTGCGCCATTGATAGTGCACATGTTAGCATCAACGTACCATCATCGCCCTCGTGGTAAGAATGAGCACCATCCACCTTGCCGTACTTGAAGCTCCCATCCTGTACGTCGGATGAAGAAACGATAGTCAACAGTTAACGCGACCGAATGGCATTAGAAGCGAGGGTTGTAAATGCGGGTTTCGGTTTCGGTTTCGGCTTGTAGATGCGCTGTAATGAGTAAAACCGTGAAGGAAGGTGGGTTGCAATAATAAGTCTGCTCTAAAAGCTGCAGTTCCGCACTACTTGAGCAGTTCTGCATTATTAGATCGCCATGAACCGGAACGTGGTTACTAATTTCAAACGTGCAAAAAAGTCTTCGTCAAGCACTTTTTGTAGGCTGCATCTTACATCCTGACTTTGTTCGAATGCTGTTCGACCAGGTATGGGTAACCCTGATTCCTGCATCGCGTTAAACAAATCCGAATGTACGAAAAGGCGCACCTGCTGACTCTCCTCGCCAGCAGTTAGCCATGCTGCCCGTGACTCCTCGCTCAGGTCGGGCTCAACACCCCTAGCATTGCCAGCCATGGCGACGATTTGCAGCCTGGACGCCGTCGCCTTCTGACGGAAACCAGACGGCCGAGTTGTGAGAGCCACGGTGTTGCGTTGAAAAGTGGACTTGGCATCCTGGATCAACGCAAGCGAGGAAACGGCGGTGCCGGCGAGTAGAGATGTGCAAGACACCATGGCTACAATGGCTGATAGGCACCACAACCGTCTGTTCTTCCTAAAAAACACGGTACGAAGGATCTTGATAGGCGGGTGATGTTTAGGTCTATGACAGACTGTGACGAAGACGAACTGTATTCGTCGGAGCATGTGGTAACTCTCGCTTGGTAACTCTCGGGGAAGATCCTCCGTCGTGGGTGACTTGCAACGAAAAAGGCATTTCAACAAGCATACAGACATACATAAACCCTTCCTAGAAGTGTCTTACTACCTCAAACATCAAAAGACCATCGCCAAAACCCGAAACAAAAGTATTCCTTCCTAAGACATCTACAGCCGCATGTCGACCAAGTAGGGCACGTCCACCCATGGTGCTCCCTCTCCAAACTCCTGCTCCCCACCCCATCGCTCCACCCACTCCGTCTCGGACTGACCCAACGTGTATGCCGCCCGCAAAAGAATCACCCGAGCCTGTGCCTTCTGCAAAGCTACCCCTACCGCGGCTGTCAAGGACCCCACCAAGTATTCCGAGAAACCCGAGCTGTTGCCCCTTCCCACACCTTTGTTAAGAGCCACCTTTACTTGAACCTCCCCTTGCTGCCGTAACCACTGTCGAAAGCTTCCCCCCAAGCAACCCCAAGTCTCAAGAATCAACGGGAAGAAACGAACCCCCCTGTGTTGCCGCAGAAAAGGTTGATAATCCGTCGCCTTCCTCTTCTCTCGCTCCTTGGCAGCAAAACCTACTGTCCGCCCACACTGCCCATGCTGCTGCACCGGTAGCGAAACCGGATCCACGACGCTCACCTCGAGCGCATGTTTTTCCCCGTCCATTGGTTTCCTAACCGCCACATCCACTCTCTTCCCCGGCAGAAGCGTGTCATCCTCGATCGTAACCACCCCACCCGATGCCTTGGCTATCTTAGCAACAACGAGCTTCACTGCATCATGAACACGAGACGGGGCGTACTGGTACTTGCACCGAAGAGCATGGTGCGGATCTGACGGGTCCTTGAACTCCACACCGCAAACACACTTGCCAGCAACCAGAAGCTGGTGGACGGGAAGGCCCAAACGGATTGCCGCCGAAATGCCCCACTCCACAGGGGTGAAAGTTGCGTCATCATGCGCTGGAACTGCGGACACCCATGCTGCCGAACCCGGGCCTTGAAGGGAAGTCAAACGGGCCAAGGTAGCATCATCGCGGGCCATGCGCCGCAGAGACTGAAGACTTTCAACCGCCAAGCGACGCTGCTGCGCTGGGAAAAGCTGGAGGGGGGGATTTGTAGTGCAGAGCCCCAAACTCGGCAATTCCTGCCTGACAACAGGCGGGAGCTGGTCAAGGGCCTTGGTAAACCAAGGGTCCAGTAAATCCCCAGCCGGCGGAGTGCGGAAGAACTCACTGAACATCTGCTCCTCGCCCGCTACTCCCAGCTTGACAACAGCACTCGCAGCCTGGCACCACCCACAGACGTAAGAGAGAGGGCTAAGAGTTGCTGCTGAACGAATGCCAAACCCGCCCAAACGAGCCGGGAGGTGCAGCTGCAGGTGAGCCATGCGCGACCTATCAGGACTGAAGTCCCAAGTGTCTGGCGGGAAAAGTTGCTCAAAGCACTCTTCCAAAGCCCCATCCCAATCTCTGAAAGCATCAAGAACCTCAGGACGAGGGGGAATAGTGCGAGTCAAGAAGAGCGGCCGCGCAGACACGGCAACAGCCAACAAGTGGGAGGCAATCTGGGGGTGGTTCAAAATAGGAAGCCAAGGTAGAGGTGATCGCAGCTGCAAAAGTCTCTCCCTCAAGCGCGCCACCTCCCAATCCTCCTCTCCAATAGGTACCCCCACCACTGTTAACCCCGTCCACGACTGCTGCATTCCCAGCGGAATATCCCCAGACGCTGCCGCCTCCCCTCTTTCCCACATCCTACACTTGTGCGATTGCACCTCCAAGCCCACCCACTCCAGTCGCTCCCGCAAGACATCGTACGCCGCCAACACCCGCTCCCGCGGGCCAAGAACGTAGGTGTCATCAGCGTAGCTCAAGAAAAGAAGATCAGGGAAATCCTTCATTGTAGGCCCCATAGCCAACTGCTGCGTGAAAGCAAAAAGGAAGGGACAAAATGGATCCCCCTGTCGCGAACCCCGCTCGGACGCCAGCATCTCGACAAAGGGGCCTGTGCGAAGGTACAGACCGCTGGGCACCCCATAAAAGACGCGTAAGAAAGCATGCGCCAGAATCTCCACCCCCGACTTAGTCCCCACCCCTAGTTGGTTACAAGGAGCGAAGTAGGTCTCCATGTCGGGACGAAGAAGAACGCATAACGCACGCGCCAGAATCCGAGGGAGCACCTCTCCGATAGCCACTGGGCGGACGTCCCCGTTCGGCTTGGATAACCCAACCAAGTTCGAGGCTGCAAGCCAGGGCCGCACCCGCTCAGAAACGCATCCCGAAATCCACTGCCTGAACACCTCCAACAGATGTGGGAGATAGGAAGGCTCCGAGAGAAATGTGTCTCGGAGGTGCTCTGTCATCCATCCTGAGGGGCCTGGTGCTGAGGCTCGCGCTGCGGAATGAATAGCATGCTTGAGGATGTCTTCAGTTAGGTGGGGAAGATGAGAAACGTCTATGCGAAAGTGCTCCACCCACTCAGGAACTGGCACCTCACTGGCCGGGTGCTTTGCTGTCAGCCGGTCTACTGTTAGTTGAGAGGGCTGCGCCAAGTCGCCCGCAGTAAGGCATGCTAGTCCTCGACTCCATTCCCCCACTTGGCACCTCGTGCGACATCGGGCCAAACGGATGGCATCAGCATCTCGCTCAGGTAAGGAGAAGGCAAGAGGTCGCGCCGCCGGAGTCAACGCGGCAGAGGCAGCCTCGAACAGCTGTTGCCATTCCCCTGCCCAGAACTTTCCGAGACGCCCTACTATGGCTGCCCTTCGTCCAAGACCCTCCTTCGCGGGGACTCCCAAAATGAGGCGCGGGAAGGCCAGGAACATCAGCGTCGCCGCCTCATCCCCAGGGGAAGCCTTCAGTCTCTTGAGAATGCAGCACAATGCATCAAGCACCCCCAGTCGCGCCCGCTGCGGGACCCGACGAAGAAGCTCTCCCGACACAGAATGAATACTGGAAAAAGTCTCCCAGTCCCACGAAGGCACCGCCCCCCACACCTCCTCGCCGATATCCCGCGGAGGTACTGGATCTGCCCCGAAGACCTCGCTCAGGTTCGGGGAGGAAGTAAGGGCCTGAGCCCGCCGCTGAGCATCTGCCGCTTTACATGCAACTATGTGGCGGGAGGCCGCACCACCAGGCGGAAATGTGTGAAAGCAGAACTCGCAAGGGACACAAGTTGGAGCAAGTGGAGCCGTGTCAGGAGTGGCTGAATTCTCCGCAACCCCCGGTGTGGGGCTTTCCGGAGGGATCGGGGGGGGCTGCTGCTGCTGCTGACGCTTCTGCCGCTGCTGCTGCCGCTGCCGCACGCCCTGAAGTGCTGCCCTCGCCCCCAGCTGCCCCCCTGCGTGCTGCACGCCCTGAGGTGCTGCAGTCACCCCCTGCTGTCCCGCTGCCTGCTGCACGCCCTGGGGTGCTGCAGTCACTCCCTGCTGTCCCGCTGCCTGCTGCACGCCTTGAGGTGCTGCAATCAGTCCCTGCTGTCCCCCTGCCTGCTGCACGCCCTCAGGTGCTGCAGTCACTCCCTGCTGTCCCGCTGTTTGCTGCATGCACTGGGGTGCTGCAGTCACTCCCTGCTGTCCCGCTGCCTGCTGCACGCCTTGAGGTGCTGCAATCACTCCTTGCTGTCCCCCTGCCTGCTGCACGCCCTCAGGTGCTGCAGTCACTCCCTGTCGTCCCCCTGCCTGCTGCACGCCCTGGGGTGCTGCAGTCACTCCCTGCTGTCCCCCTGCCTGCTGCACGCCCTCAGGTGCTGCAGTCACTCCCTGTTCCCTTGACAGTGGTCGCCGTCGCACCAGCTGGCCTCCCAGACGTTGGCTCGTAAGCGGCCGCCCCAACTCGCCCTCTGCCTGCTGATCCTGCTGATTGCCCGACCGCTGCTTGCCCTGGCCTCCGCGTCGCCTCCTGCCCTTGCCTCGTGGCAGTTGATCGTCCACGGGCCCCTGCGCCTGAGCGCCCAGCTCACGCAGCTGCTGCCCTCTCTGATCCGTTTCCCCTATCTGCAGCTCCCCAGGAGGAACAAAAAGATCTTGTTGGTGCTCCCCACTGTGGCCCGAGAGCTGTGACACAGGCACCAAATCTGTCTCCATTTCTTGCTGCTCCACTCGAAGTGGGCTCGCTACACCCATGACTTCCCATGTATCACCCACCCAGGTGCCCAGCTGCTGCCCCTGCTGCTCTCCCGGGTGCTGCTCCTCCAGCCTCAGTTCTTGCTGCTCCCCTGGCTGCATTTCCTGCTGCTCCCCTGGCTGCATTTCCTGCTGCTCCCCTGGCTGCATTTCCTGCTGCTCCCCTGGCTGCATTTCCTGCTGCTCCCCTGGCTGCATTTCCTGCTGCTCCCCTGGCTGCATTTCCTGCTGCTCTCCTGGATGCATTTCCTGCTGCTCCCCCCGTTGTATTTCCTGCTGCTCCCCTGGCTGCAGCTCCTGCTGCTCTCCTGACTGCATTTCCTGCCGCTCTCCTGGCTGCATTTCTTGCTGCTCCCCCCGTTGCATTTCCTGCTGCTCCCCTGGCTGCAGCTCCTGCTGCTCCCCAGGCTGCAGTTCCAACTGCTCCCCCATCTGCATTTCCTGCTGCTCTCCTGGCTGTCGTGCCTGCTGCTCCCCCATCTGGATTTCCTGCTGTTCCTCCCCTATCTGCATGTCCTGCTGCTCCCCTGGCTGCCGTTTCTGCTGCTCCCCTGGCTGCCGTTCCTGCTGCTCTCCTGGCTGCATTCCCTGCTGCTCCCTCATTTGCAGTTCCTGCTGCTCCCTAAGCCACAGTTTCTGCTGCTCTCCTGGCTGCCATCCCTGCTGACCTTCGCCCAGCTGCTCATGCTGCCGGGGAGGCAGCCCACCCTGCTGACTCCGCTGTTGTTGCCTTTCAAACTGCTGCTCCTGCAACTCACTTGGCTGCCTTTCCGACTGTTGCTCGTGCTGGCCCGCGAGGCGCCCTCGTTGAGCAGTCCCGCTACGACCACGACCGCGACCTCGACCACGACGGCGCACGCCCTCTTGCCCCGTGCTCGCGGGCTGCACACCTTGTCCTTGCGCGCTCCGAAAGAGAAAAGTATGTTCCACAGCTCCAGCCCATCCCTTTAGAGACGCCCCCGTTCGTGCCTTCGGGAAGGGATTGATGTCTCTAGTCTCCCCTGCAGCCACCGGCAGACCCTGCTTCATCGCCGACAGCGTTTCCGGTTGCTCCCTCCCTGGTTTCCGTCCCTGTTCCCCACGCTCCCAATGCTCCTCCTCGAGTAACTCCCCCTGGACCTTTGTCGGCAGGCCCAGCTGGCCCTCCGCCAGACGGCTCGGCTGCCTCCTCAGCACCTTTTCCGGCAGGCCTGCATCCGTCACCCCCTGCTGCCCACCTGCCCCGCACTCCCGGCCCTCATCCGCCAGCAGGGCCCCCTGCACCTCCTGCCTCCCCGCTGTCGACTCCGCCTGCTCTGCCGTCGCCCACTCTTGCCGACCGCCCGTGCCAGCTACCAACAAACGCCTCAGCTCCTGCCGTCGTGCCAAGCGCGGTCCAAGTGGAGCCCTGCTAGGACCCACTGAAGCTCCAAGAGTGCCGGGCGACTCTGTTGCCGTGGCACCAAGTGGAAGCTCGCGCCGCCGCCTATTATGCAGCTCCTGCAAGTGCCGGCGTTGCGCCTCCCACGCCGCCACTGCCCTGTCCATCCCCGGATCACTTGGTTCCTGCCCACGCCCATCTACCCCTCGGGTGTCTTGTGCATCCACCAGCCCAGAGGATGCGTGTGGGCAATTGGGCGATGCTTGCTGGTCTACCGAGGGCGTGCGTGGGGTAACAGCCGCCTCCCGCTGTTCACCAACCATGAGTGGTGCCTCAGCCAAAGGAGGCTGAGCATCCCCATTACTAAGCCGCTGCGAATTTCCTGAGAGCGGCGGTACACCGAGCATGTCGTTGGTGCTCATGGGGGCGGCTGGTGCCTCGCGGTGTCGTTTGCATGGTGTCCCCTCCGAGCAAAGTCGGTCTACCGAGCTCAGGCGCCGGAGACCGAGGAGGAGTGGCTGCGTAGGGCCTACCCAAGGCCGCTTGAGAGTGTTTGCTTGGGGCTGCGCTACATACTCCCGAGCGCTAGTGCCTGAGTGCCTGTCTGGGTCAGCAAGTGCTTCCGCCTCGCCATGCGGTGCCTGCGTAGGTGTGTGCTCGTGCTGCAAGTCGGCCATGCCGTGGATCCTGTAGCGTCTGTCTAGATCCGCGCTCTTCAGTTCCAGCTCCTAGCAACAAGAGAGCCCGGTGTGCCCGTGTGGCGGGGTAGCGAGAAACCGAACACTGCTAATCTTGCTCCAAGCGGGGAAAACCTGGTTGTGCACGTGGTAACGAGGAAACGCACACTGCAGTTCCTGCTCCTAGCGAGGGAAAACCAGCTGCACACTCGGCTACGCGAAGACGTCCACTGCAGATCCTGCTCCTAACGTGAGTCGTGGCGTCAGGGGCGAAAGCAACAACCGTCCACTTGGGTCCCTGCTCCTAGCGTAAATCGCAGCTATGGCGTGAAACCGTCACTTCACTACGCGCTCCTACGTGGAATCGCTGCTGTGGGCAGGGTAGCGTGAAGCAATCGCTGCGCTAACCTGTTGCTCGCGGGATTCGTGGCCGTGGGCGCGTTGGCGTGAAGCTTACGTTTCGCGAACTAGTGCTAGCTGAATTCGCGACTGGGGGCAAGGTGTCGTGTGGTGTACGCTATGCGACCTGCAGCTATCGAGACACGGCTAGGGGCGCGGTGACGTGTGGCGCACGCTTCGCGACCTGGTGCTAGCAAGTTTCACGGCTGGGGGCGTGGTGACGTGTGGCGTTCGATGTCTGACGTGTAGGCGTCCTTCTCAAGGTAAAACAAATACACCTGAAATACGGGGAAAGTGCGTGTGTCCGAAATACGTTATATAATGCTTTTCGTGGAGGAACTACATGAAACCAAATGAAAATGTTGGTGAGGGAATTCTCTTTAGCGGCAATCCCATCTCACGCATCCTTCGACAACGCAACTGGTCAGCGGATAGGGCCCCGGATAGCGTGGAAAACTTGAAATTCCTCGAGCAACCAGCAGCCGCCAGCTGGACGCCTCGGTGTTCCCCAACGCGCGCTCTGACCCCCACCTCACCCAACCACAGCGCCACGCAATTCGCGCAATTCTCTGAGGCGGATTGCCATCCCACGCTCTGAAGTAGGAGCTCCATACCCGCTAAAAACATTTGTGCTCTTTTGCCTGCTGGAGTTTATCAGTTGCGCCAGAACCCTTTATCAGGATTCTGTTGCTCCTAGCTCCTTGACTACTATTTCAGTGCAGTTTCATCTCAGCTCTAGAGCTTGCAAGCTCTAGTTCTGCAAGGATAGCCAGCATCGGTGGCCATTAGACACTCGGATACTTGTAATTCATTCTGAAATCAGAAGCTATGGCCACCTCATTGGTCAAGACTCAGGCCACGTTCCTTGGCTCTGTACGATCCGCCGAATTTGAGGGGTTGAGGAAGACCACGACGTCGCAAAATGTCGCAGGCGTCGCCCCTAAGAAGGCTCAACGGTCTAGCGTCGTCAAGGCCGTCGCTTCGACAGATGTGAAGACAGCCATCGTCAGGATTGGAACCCGTGGCAGGTGTGAATTAGTAAATGCCAGCGATTTGTACAATTTATATAACCCGACCTTCGTTCAGACTTGTTGAATGGCGTATCTACTCGCCTCTCCCCTCGATGCCATCTGCATTAACTCCGTTAGAATGCACTGGGCAGTTTTCGCCACAAGCGCTGAGTATGTTCCTTTTGCTCTTCTCCCTTGCCAGTCCTCTGGCCCTTGCACAGGCCTACCAGACCCGTGACAAGCTCAAGGCTGCTTACCCGGAGCTGGCCGAGGAGGGTGCTGTGGAAATCGTGATCATCAAGACCACCGGCGATAAGATCCTGAACCAGCCTCTCGCCGACATTGGCGGAAAGGGTCTGTTCACCAAGGAAGTCGACGATGCTCTTCTGGGCGGAGCGGTCGACATTGCCGTGCACTCCATGAAGGATGTGCCAACATACCTTCCGGAGGGGACTATCCTTCCTTGCAATCTTCCGCGTGAGGATGTGCGAGATGCGTTCATCTCTCTCACCGCCAAGTCCCTGGCTGAGCTTCCTGCTGGCAGCGTTATTGGCAGTGCATCCCTCCGCCGGCAGTCGCAAATCCTCCACCGCTACCCTAGTATGAAGGTACGTCGCATTTTGCTGATTTAATAGTGCAATTTGCCTGGTGTGGTTGCACTCCAGTCTTCTAGAGTAGGTCAAGTAATGGAGAAAATGAGCTCGTGAAATTCTATTTTGATTTACCCTCCTGCAGGTGGTGAATTTCCGCGGTAACGTGCAAACCCGTCTGCGGAAGCTGAACGAAGGGGCTGTGCAAGCCACTCTGCTGGCCCTAGCTGGTCTGAAGAGGTTGAACATGACCGAGCACGTGACCGCCATCCTTTCCACAGAAGACATGCTTCCAGCCATCGCTCAGGGCGCCATTGGCATCGCCTGCCGCACTGGCGACACCAAAATGGTATGTCCTCGCATTCAATCGCTAAGCATGAGGGGTCCTGTCTATGTTGGATGGGGTGGCGCCTGCCGTAGGGAATGAACAAATGACTTCAAGGCTAGCTTGAGGGAGAAAATCGAGTAGAGAACAGATACTAGTTGGTGGTTTGACGTTTCCTGGCCATAGTTTATCACAGCAATGTTGTGAATGTCTTTTCTGGCAGGAAGAATACCTGGCTACCCTGAACCACGAGGACACGCGCTTGGCTGTGTGTTGTGAGCGTGCCTTCCTTACTACGCTGGATGGCTCATGCCGCACGCCCATTGCTGGTCTGGCGCAGCGTGATGCCAACGGCGGCTGCTCCTTCCGGGGTCTTGTTGCCTCGCCTGACGGCAAGAGAAGTGAGCACTTCTTACTCTTGCCTTGTTCGACAGCTTCAATCTATCTCTGGTTTAACTTCTTCTCCCTCCCCACCTCCAGTATGTCTCTCTTCCTCTCAAACACTGCAAACTCTTAAATTTCCTGTATTTTATACTTGGCATTCCAGCTACTCAATTCAGTCATTGCCTTCTGTCCTGTCACTGCTCCTCCCCCACTCAATACATCCTCCTCCTTTGGGCATTTGTTAAAACCAGGGTGCACATTCAATTGGATTTCTGTCAAAGGTTAACCTTTGACCTCGGGGTTACTCAGTGATTTAGGAATATCTGGGGGGAGTGTTCGCTTCAGCAGGTGAACATTTGAACCCTCGAGATTTGGCAAATGTATACCGAAGTCATCGAATGTGCTTCCGCCAATTCGTTTCCCCCCTCCCCATACCTATTCCGCTCCCACCGAAATTGTTTCCCCTTCCCCCACAATATCGTCTCACCCCCTTTCCCCTTTCCGCCAACCCAGTTGCCCTCCCCTTGATCCCCAATTTCTAGATCCAAGTGTTATCAATTTCTCCCCTGCCAAGCCTCATCTCTCACGGACGAAAAGCCCCATGCTCGCCCATTCTCAACTATTTATTCGCTACTCGTCAACCAATCAGCAGTTCCCGCAAACATGCCGCCCAAAATTTAGCCTGGAGTCGCGTTGAATGTGTACCCTGGTTTTAAGGACGGTTGCACTAAACAAATGTTTGTGCCTTCTGTCCTTCCCCATTTTTGCCCATTTAGTCCTTGAGACATCGAGGTCGGGATCTTACAGCTACAATGAAATGATGGAGATGGGTATTGATGCTGGCAAGGAGTTGCTCTCTTCTGCTGGACCAGAGTTCTTCAACTGGAGCTAGATGCCTTTTCATGGAATCAGTATGGTCAAACAGTTAAATTCCAGGACGGCCACTTATTTTTGCCTGTGCTAGTATATTGCTTTCTTGATGTATTGCCTGAAAGATCCAAATTTTCCACCTTAGAATAACAGGGCATACTACCGTATTCACATCCATGCTCATGATTGAACACGGTTTACTAGCAATGCAGTCTCCAACGAAGCTGATAGTGCGGAGAGAATGCGTGGGCTGTTCAAGGGAGGCAGAAAGCCACTGTAAGCAATCATGGTGGCCATCAGAGCAGCTGATCCAGCCTGTAATAATTGACCATTCTGAACACTGGGGAGTGCTTTAGTCAGTGCAGGTAGGGCTGGAATCACGGAAGTGAGAAAACTTGTCAGGGTGGTTGAAATCTCAGCATCACTGCCTTCATCACCAGCAACCATAGCTTGAAATGCCACTGGTAATGCACTTGTAATGGCCCGGAATGAGGAGGCCAAGTCAAATGACGTGATGTTTGACAACACAAGTCTCTGCCTGGGAGCTTCTGCGTCGTGGCTCACTGTTAGGTTTATCTCCCCTCGTGCATAGAAGTTAAAAGATATAGCAAGGGACGAGTAGAGGCTCGGATCTGCCAAGAGCAATGCGTCTGGGAGTAGTATGGACGGTAGAAGTTGTGCAGCTTGTGAAGGTAGCATGATTCCACCTGCGAAATCATCCTCTTGACCTGTCTCCAGACGAACAAAAAATCCTGTAAGCGCGGAATCGGCGAATGTTAGTGGTCATCCCTCTGGAACTGAATTGCACACACCAGCTAAGTATTTACGTACTTGTCGGATTGGCTTGAAGAGCTTCAATACTCGCAATGCTTAGAGGAACGACTCCAGCAAAGGCAAGGCCCGTGGATTTGACGCCACGAAAGTGCTGTTTATAAGGTAAGTTGCAATAGATTCGCCTTCTTCGCCCTGAATAACGGCGCGACCAGGAACGCTGGAGATTTTATAAAAGCAGATGATGAGAATTCAAGATTGCATGGCATCTCGTAAAACTGGGCCAGATTCTTACACTCTAGAAGGCAGGTCGGAGATGAACATAGTCATGGAGCTCATGTTAGGGTCGACGAGTAGAAAAGCAACTCCATGTTTCTCATCTAAAACACCCACGCTAGTGTTGCCATTGGGATTCGTCTCAACTCCAGTCTTCAGGAGTGCAATGCGTAATATTCTTTGCCTCCAATTTGTATTAGCATTCAACCGGCGGGGCGAGAGGGAATTATATTCCTGAATTGCAGAGCTAATGGTCTTCTTGCCAAGCAAAAGGACGGTCAGGAAAAGGACGAATAGCGGTCGATTTGCCAGTGAAAAGGTCCACATTGGATAAATTGTTCAACTGGGACCTAGATGGACAGCGATTTCCGTCGCTTTCATACCCCATGGTAAGATGCGAGAAAGGCGACCAGTTGAGACGTTCAGCGGCGAAACCGAGACTGAGAGCTGGAAAGGACCAAAGTTGTGCTGATGAATCCGTGACGACCAAGAAAAAAGAGCAGTCAGGATGAGGTGCACCTCGGTAGATTAGCCCGGAAGGGGTGGATCCACCGACCCACATTGAAGCTGATGCGTTTCGAGTCAGCAAACCTTTCAAAGCTACACATCCAAAGCCATACAGAACTTTGAGTTCAACTTCTGTTCAACACAACAGCGCACCAATTTGGCCAGCACTGCCTTTTCTATCCTTGCAAGTATTCAGCATCTGCAAGAATCTTCACAACAGTAGATATAACTTGGCTTGAATCATCTGCATCTTCAACATTCTGTGAACACATGCAGCACGAGACAAAAATGGTGCCATTACAAATGAAATCCACATCTATCATAAAATGTTGAATGTCAAATATTTTTATGCAAAAAAAAACATACAGGTATGAAGTAAAATAAACCCAACAGGTGGTGTTATCCGGCCACACTCACCTGCGACTGAAGGATATGTCGGCAAAGGATAGTGTCAAATGCCCCTCGGATAGACTTAAAAAGTACAGCCGTCTGAGCCGGAGCAACAAGGTCCAACCAACCATCCACTGACACTCGTGCTCTCTGCTCGAGCTCAAGCAGGAAACCACGAGGAGAAACACCAGCATAATCAGTGAGATGGGTGAGATAACTACGTGGGAAACAACACTGTATCACTTGTCACAATGGGAAAGATAAAAATTAATTCAACATCAGAAGGAGTGGCGTGGAAAAGGCACGTTACCTGATGGTGGACTGTGATTGGTCCGCCAAAAAGAAGGATGCTGCCGGAGAAACAACAGTGCAGTCGCGGATATACACTCGAGATGTCTTGACCTGAAAGTACAATAAATAGTTGTAATGGTGGTTAACGTCGCCAAAAAAAAAAAAAAAAAAACTAGATTTTTGTCCTTGGCGCTGTTCCTTTGTAACATGTTACCTTTTCGTGAAAGACAAGGAAGGGAGCGCGGAAGACCGAGACAGCTTCGTTGACCGAAGAGGGGTGGATTGCCACCTCAGCCCCTGTCGCAGTGACCCACCGCGGGCGCCCCAACGCCCCTGCCACGTGTGCGAGGTCTGACGCGTGTGAACAGTGCGCGGCTTCGATAGAGTCACGTGCCATCATAGCGACATTGGGGTAGAGGCCTGCACAGAGAACAGCCTGGGGATTTGGAGTGGAGGGGGAGGGAGGGGGGTTTGTCCAAGGAAGAGGGGTGGGTGGAGAAGGTCGAGGGGCAGGTGAAGAAATGAGAAGGAAAGGGTGCTTCACGAATAACAGACAGGAAGGAAGAGGAAAGAGGAGTGAGGAACGGGAGGTACGAAAGTGACCAACTTGCCTCCACCCTTCTTACTGGAATGGTTGTTTGTTGTACCCCGGTGCTACTCACCTTAACAGCAGGAGCACTCATAGAGCATCGGTTCCAGGGCTGGGTGGACTCATCCAGCCAATCAAATCCCTGCACGTGGCATCAGGGAGGAAAAGGCAAAACGTAAATTGAGAAAGGCATGGGCTAGTGTGTGAAGAGCGTGGCTTCCTGGGATGCCTTAGAAAACCGATCTCCATGAGCAGGCGAGCAAACTGCACACAGAAACTGCAATTTCATCTCATGCATCGCCTGTGAAATCAACAGGCAAGCTTACCCTGCTCACAGGGGCGCCACCGGACCCAGGTGCCTTGCTGGGCTGCCTCAGGAAGCCGATGTCCATGAGCAGGCGAGCAAACTGCACCCTCATGTCTCTGGGTGTGAGGGTGAGATGGGAGAGAGGAGAAGAGTTTTGAGGAGCTTAGAAAACGACAAGAATGGAGGGAAACCTGTAAGACGATCAACAGACAAAAACAGTGGACAGTCCAGCTGCAAGAGCGCAGTTTAGTGCCAAGAGCACCCACCGCAGCATGAGCAGAGCAGGAATGCTGAGGTGATGTTTCTGACAGAACTCCCTCGCTGCCCTGCTGCCCCTCTGTTGCTCCATTGGACACACACATGGGAGAGAGTGGGGTGGAGAAGAGGAGCGAGAGACGAATGAAGGAGAGGGAAAATTAGTGAGGGATAAGTGCTTACATTAGTGAGGGATAAGTGCTAAAATTAGTGAGAGATAAGTTCTAAAATTAGTGAGGGATAAGTGCTAAAAATATTGAGGGATAAGTGCTAAAATTAGTGAGGGATAAGTGCTAGAATCTGTGAGGGATAAGTGTTAAAATTAGTGAGGGATAAGTGCTTGTCGCAGAACAATCTGCCTGCCATGCCGATGCCCTTTGACACTCTCTGACGCTCACTCATTCTCTCCCACACCCTGTTACAAACGGAACATCAAATGGAACATAAGAACGTGTTTTGAGTCGACTCAAAACTCCGATGCCCCATCATTCTCTCTCATGCCTTGTTACAAACTCCATCGGTGCTCAAGTTCCCGATCTGACGTTCAAGACTTAATCGACACTGACCAACAGAGTTGAGCCGGCCGGCTCTGATTTACGTCAACTCTGGCTACGTCAGGTGTGGGATTTGAGTCTCGGGCTGGAAGCGTTTTTTCCACTGCTATACGTCGCCCCACAAGGCACAGCCACTGGAGGTGCTGCTTCCTTAAGGGATTGGGCTGTCACCCTTTCTTCACAAGGCACAGCCGAATCCCTAAAAGAAACAACACGCCCAGAGGTTGCGCCCTGTAAGGCGACGTAGTGGAAAAAACGCTTCCAGCCCAAGACTCAAACCCCACACCTGACGTAGCCAGAGTTGACGTGAATCAGAGCCGGCCGGCTCAACTCTGTCAATCGGTGTCTATTCAACCTTGAACGTTAGATTGGGAACTTGAGCACCAAGTGTCGTGACGCGCAGATTCCACCGACCCCGTCCACCCACATGTAGAGCCAGCAGACCCATCTGGACAGCCAGCACCCAGCCGTTAAATGCTGAGGCCATAGCAAGATGGTCAGAATGCTGCCGCCATGCCATGTTCTTTTTTCAGGCACCTCAAGTCCGCGTGGAATGAGACGACTTTGAGGCGGTTCAGGAGCCACCACCAAAAGGAAAGCCAGCACACCCACCTGAAGAGCCAGCACCCAGCCATTGAAGGCTGAGGCCATAGCGAGATGGTCGGACTGCTGCCCCCGTGCCATGTTCCATGCCGTGTCATCCCCACTCGCACCTGCTCCTCCCTCTCCCTTCCCCCATGCAGTCTCTGTTTCTACCTTTGACTCCCAGCCCCCTTCATTTTCCTCCTCATCCTCACTATCGCCATCATCCCAGCTCCCCTTCTCTCCCTGCCTGCCTCCTGCTGCGTCCTGTGAGCTTGCATCGGGGTTGGCCTCTCGAGCTTTGGCCACGAGTGCTTGCCTAGCCCTGGCAGCTGCTTTGCGCTGACAAAACACAAGCAGAAAAAAAAAGCAGAAAGGGGGAGATTGGGAAAGAAGGGCAGCGAGGAGGAGAATGGCAGAGCAGGTGGGCGGGCAGTGGGGTTAAGTGGGTGGGAGAGGAGTGGAGAGGTGTGGCTTAGAGTGGAGCGGAGTGAAAAGGCCTTCACTTTCACTTGGAAATACTCAAGAGAACTCACATCGTGGAAGGAGGAGGAAAAGGGGGAGCGGTAGCTGAGGCAGGCAGCGATGGTGAGCGCCGTGCTGAGACACCCCATCACTGCCCCGTAGATCATCATCTGCCAGGGTGGGGTGCGGTGGGATGTGGTGGTACGCGGTGGAATGGGGTGGGGTGGGGTAGCAGCATATTGTCAGAGGTGCCACGCCTCAGAACTGCCCGAATGATCACCCAACCACATGCGTCCACTCACCTTGCCTATGCAAACGTCAAACGGCAGAGCAGCCAGGTGTGTACCCAGTGCTGTGAGCTCCTCCCTCTCATCCAACGCCCGCATTTCATGTCACCGTTACACCCGCATTCACTCCCTTGGCGCACACTCACTCACCTTGCCTACTCGCACGTCGACAGGCAGGGCAGCCAGGTGTGTGTCGAGTGCAGCTAGCTCATAGTCAGCCCAAAGTCGCATCACTCTAACCCCACACACTCACTCACTCACCTTGCCTACTCGCACGTCGACAGGCAGGGCAGCCAGGTGTGTGTCGAGTGCAGCTAGCTCATAGTCAGCCCAAAGTCGCATCACTCTAACCCCACACACTCACTCACTCACCTTGCCTACTCGCACGTCGACAGGCAGGGCAGCCAGGTGTGTGTCGAGTGCAGCTAGCTCATAGTCAGCCCAAAGTCGCATCACTCTAACCCCACACACTCACTCACTCACCTTGCCTACTCGCACGTCGACAGGCAGGGCAGCCAGGTGTGTGTCGAGTGCAGCTAGCTCATAGTCAGCCCAAAGTCGCATCACTCTAACCCCACACACTCACTCACTCACCTTGCCTATTCGCACGTCGACAGGCAGGGCAGCCAGGTGTGTACCAAGCGCTGTGAGCTCCTCCCTCTCGTCCACCGCCCCCACCTCCCTCAGAGTCTTCATTGCACTCCTCACCGCCTCCTCCTTGGGCGGCTCAATGGCCTGCAAACACGGGAGGTGGGGATTGAAGAATTCATTCAAGATATGATGATATGATGTTAGAAAGATGAACTTGAGCGCTATCAGCTCCTGGTGCTATTTCTCAGGCACCCAACAGTCCGGCCCTCTGCCCCACACCCAAAAATTAGCTGGTGGCGATCCTTCACCTTGGATTGAATCTCATCGAGATATCTCCCTGGTTGAAAATGTCTCTTGTCTTGACTGCGGCTCTGTATCCACTACAACCTCTCATCACCTTGCTGAGAAACTGCGCTGGCGTGCCCAGGTCCAGCAGCTTGATCTGCAGGCACAACTGTAAGAGTTTCTAGCTCTAAGATAAGCATCACTCACCTTGCTGAGGAACTGCACTGGCGTGGCCTCACCTTGCTGAGGAATTGTGCAGGCGTGCCCAGGTCCAGCAACTTGATCTGCAGGCACAGCTCCACCAGAGGCACTCGCTGAATCTCCGGTTGCTGTTGGGGGGGAGGAGGAAAGAGAAGGCAAGGGGAGAAGGGCGAGGGAAACCAGCAAGAAGCAGAGTAGTAAGTTCCAGAAGCTTCATCTGATATGCAGTGCAGGCCTCTGGTGGAGCCTCTGGTCCTCCAACAGAGGCACTCACTGGTGATCCCCATGCATTCTACCCCCCCATGCGAGAGGACCTTTAACCCACCCAGAAGCGCCGCATGATGGTTTCAAAGCGGTGGCGGGTGAAGAGGGCAAAGTACCACCCTGCCTGCACCCGCCCCGCTCTGCCTTCACTCTCCCTGCCCTGCCCAGAGCGCCCGACATACACCAATCGCTTTCCCTGATTCCCATGCCATTCAATGCACGAGATCTCTAGCCCACCTGAAAGGGCCGCGTGATGGCTTCAAAGCAATGGCGGGTGACGAGAGCAAAGTACTGCCCTGCCTGTACACAGTACCCCCCCTGCCACACCCACGAAGAGCCACTGCTCTCACCCACTGGGTTCCTTTCCGGGACGGGACCTTAAAGCCCACCTGGAAGGGCCGCATGATGGTTTCAAAGCGGTGGCGGGTAAAGAGGGCAAAGTACCGCCCGGCCTGCACTCGCCCCGCCCTGCCCGCCCTCTGCCTCACGTTCGCCTTGGCCACCCATGCTTCCACCAGACTGGTCATGCCCTGTGATGTATGAACAGAGGGAGGAGTGGGAATGGTGGGAGAAGTGGGAAGGAGACTGGGTGAAGTACCGCCCCGCCCTGCCCGCCCTCTGCCTCACATTGGCCTTGGCCACCCATGCTTCCACGAGACTGGTCATGCCCTGTGATGGAGGGATTGTTCGGGAAAAAGGGGTGTTTTTCGTTGACTGAACTAACAAACACACGTGAGAGGCTCTCACACCATCTCGCCTGCACTCGCCCCGCCCTGCCTGCCCTCTGCCTCACGTTCGCCTTGGCCACCCACGCCTCTACCAGACTGGTCATGCCCTGTGTGTGATAGAGGGAGGTGGGTGGGAGCGGTGGGAATGGTGGGAGAAGTGGTAGGAAGGAGGGTAGGATGTGCGCTGACCTGGCCGCCAAGCTGCGTTTCAACGCTCCCCCTACCTCGGCGGAAGCAGCCAAGCTGTTCCACGAGTATAGGCAGCGTTGGAGCATTACTCTGCAGCGCGGGCAGGCGCACGCCCTCAATCTGAAAACTCACACGGCCATGGAGGAGGATGCGGCTGGGATTGCTGATGCCATCGAACCCCTAGCTGAGGATTACCTGTTCCAAATCCTAGAATCCCCGCTTGGACCCCTTGTGGACCAGGCGGGTGGCGAGTAGGATGTTTGCCTCACCATCAACCTTGCATGCTTGTACGCATAGTGGTTATTCATATAACGGACCATTCAAGGGTAGGAGGAGGAGGAAGAGTAGGAGGAAGGAAAGTAAGAGGATGGAGAGTGGTAGGAGGGACAGTGGGAGGAGGGAGAGTGGAGGGAAGGAGAGTAGCAAGCATTGCGAAAGCAGGGAAACAGGGGGTCCCAGGAGAGAGGTGGGGAGCGAGCAGTTACACAGTTTTTTCAGAAAGCGGGTGGAACTTAAAGTGCAGTTACTACACAGAACTGTTTTTCAAGTGCATCAAGAGAGTCTCTATACTGCACCCACTCACCCTCCTGGCGTCGAACTGCGTCTCCTTCTGCTTGCCCACGTCAACCACGTAGACCACGTCGTCAATGGTGATACTCGTCTCTGCTATGTTCGTTGCCAGCACCACCTGAGGTGGGGGGAGTGAGAAGAGGGAGGGAGGAGGAACGGTGGGACGGGTAGGGACCACACAAGTTGGGCATGGGCAGCACACAACCTCACGTCGTCAATGGTGATGCTCGTCTCTGCTATGTTCGTTGCCAGCACCACCTGGTGAATGGGATGGGATGGGAGGTGAGAGAGGTATGGAAGACCCACACAATGTGGGCATGGGCAGCACACAACCACACGTCCACACGTTCACCACATACACCACATCATCAACGGAGACACTCGTCTCGGCTATGTTGGTCGCCAGGACCACCTGGCGTTGGGAAGTGAGAGATAAGTGGGGAGGAAGCCAGAGAGGCTAGGCATGGGAGGCACACCACCACACGTGCACCACATAAACCACATCGCTGGGTTGAATCAGGGTGGGTTGGGCAATCCCCTTGGGCAATCAGGACTGACTCAACTCACCACTCAACACATCCCCTTGCGCATGCCACTGGGGGGGCTGTTGAACGCTGCTCGCTGCTCAGCAGCCAAAACGGAGGAGTGCAGTGGAAGCAACCACTCCACCCTGGAACGGCTTTTGAGACGTCTCAAGAGACAGGAATCAACTTGAACGAGCGGCACTGCTCACCTTGCGCACGCCACTGGGAGGGCTGTTGAACGCTTGCCGCTGCTCAGCAGCAGACACGGACGAGTGCAGAGGCAGCAGCCACTCCACTCTCCCCGGCGCCCCAAACTGCCTTGACGCTGCCAGCCTGTCCCACAGATACTGGATCTCGCCCATGCCCTGATGAAGGGGACCAGGGGTGGAGGAGGGGTGCAGTTTATAAGGATGGAGTTTACAGAATCACAGGTAGCGTTAACAAAAACCGGAATCCAGCCTTGCCTTGCCTTCCCCCTCCCCAAACTGCCTTGACGCTGCCAGCCTGTCCCACAGGTACTCGATCTCGCCCATGCCCTGATGAAGGGGAGGGATGGTGTTGGGTTTCACAGAGTGAAAGGTAGAGATGAGTTGACAGCAACCAGCAGCACGCCTTGGCTTGCCTTGTCCCCCCCAAGCTGACTCGAGGCTGCCAGCCTGTCCCACAAGTACTGGATCTCGCCCATGCCCTGATGAGGGGTGAGAGGGATGGTTTCGGGTTTCACGAAATGAAAGATAGAGATGAGTTGACAGCAACCAGCAGCACGCCTTGGCTTGCCTTGTCCCCCCCAAGCTGACTCGAGGCTGCCAGCCTGTCCCACAAGTACTGGATCTCGCCCATGCCCTGATGAGGGGTGAGAGGGATGGTTTCGGGTTTCACGAAATGAAAGATAGAGATGAGTTGACAACAACCAGCAGCACGCCTTGCCTTGCCTTGCCCCCCCCAAACTGCCTTGACGCTGCTAGCCTGTCCCACGGGTACTGGATCTCGCCCATGCCCTGATGAGGAGTAGACAAATGTGATGCTTATACAGATGGGATTCTCAGGTATGGGGCTCAAAGGCATGGGTTCCATAGATGACACACACATGGCAACATGCAGACAGATACGAGAGATGAAGGCTTGAGATCAGCAGGGCAGCTCACAGGCAGGCGTGACCAAGCGTGACCACGTGTGACCACGTGTGACCAAGCGTGACCAAGCGTGACCAAGCGTGACCAAGCGTGACCAAGCGTGACCAAGCGTGACCAAGCGTGACCAAGCGTGACCAAGTGTGACCAAGCGTGACCAAGCGTGACCAAGCGTGACCAAGCGTGACCAAGCGTGACCAAGCGTGACCAAGCGTGACCAAGCGTGACCAAGCGTGACCAAGCGTGACCAAGCGTGACCAAGCGTGACCAAGCGTGACCAAGCGTGACCAAGCGTGACCAAGCGTGACCAAGCGTGACCAAGCGTGACCAAGCGTGACCAAGCGTGACCAAGCGTGACCAAGCGTGACCAAGCGTGACCAAGCGTGACCAAGCGTGACCAAGCGTGACCAAGCGTGACCAAGTGTGACCAAGCGTGACCAAGCGTGACCAAGTGTGACCAAGCGTGACCAAGCGTGACCAAGCGTGACCAAGCGTGACCACGTGGGACCACGTGCGACCAAATGCGACCAAGTGCGACCAAGTGCGACCAAGTGCGACCAAGTGCGACCAAGTGCGACCAAGTGCGACCAAGTGCGACCAAGTGCGACCACGTGCGACCAAGTGCGACCAAGTGCGACCAAGTGTGACCAAGGATGGCTCCTGGGCCGCTTGTGGAGTCGGCATTCAACACTATGAGGAAACAGAACAATGATTAGAGGAGCAACACTCGGAAGGCACTCACAGGGGAGGGAGCTCACAGGCAGAAAGACGAGGACGGCTCCTGGGCCGCATGTGGAGTCCACACTCTGAGGGGAAAGAAACAGGATGGCTCCTGGGCCGCATGTGGAGTCCACACTCTGAGGGGAAAGAAACAGGATGGCTCCTGGGCAGGGCAGGTGTTCAGGGCATCTCACAGGCAGAAAGACGAGGATGGCTCCTGGGCCGCATGTGGAGTCCACACTCTGAGGGGAAAGAAACAGGATGGCTCCTGGGCCGCATGTGGAGTCCACACTCTGAGGGGAAAGAAACAGGATGGCTCCTGGGCAGGGCAGGTGTTCAGGGCATCTCACAGGCAGAAAGACGAGGATGGCTCCTGGGCCGCATGTGGAGTCCACACTCTGAGGGGAAAGAAACAGGATGGCTCCTGGGCCGCATGTGGAGTCCACACTCTGAGGGGAAAGAAACAGGATGGCTCCTGGGCAGGGCAGGTGTTCAGGGCATCTCACAGGCAGAAAGACGAGGATGGCTCCTGGGCCGCATGTGGTGTCGATGTGAGCAACCACGTCCTCCAGTAGCTCGTAGTCTATCGTTCCCTCGTCCACCCGCCGCTGGTGTGGTGACAAAGAGGCATGGGGATGGGGACGAAGTGGAGATGAGGCATGGGGATGGCGTAAGGGCCGCATGTGGAGTCGATGTGAGCAACCACGTCCTCCAGTAGCTCGTAGTCTATCGTTGCCTCGTCCACCCGCCGCTGGTGGATGAAAGGGATAGGGTGGTTGGGAGGCACAGGGTGGTGAACAAGTGGCAGAAGGTTGATGAGTCGACCAAGGACACACATGCAACCACGTCCTCTAGTAGCTCGTAGTCTATCGTTGCCTCGTCCACCCGCCGCTGGTGTTTTTTGTCGAGAGGGCGGGTGGTGGGGAGGGACGCGGGGTGGGGTGTGTGAGTTGTTGAGCATGGAGTGCATGGCAGGGAAAAGGAAACACAGGAGGGAACAGGGATAAAAGCATAGGAGGTTCCTTAGAATTGCACCAAAAAATTCCTATAACCAGCTCTACAGAAGCAGCTCTGTTTTCGAAAGCGCCTCATAATCGGAAACACGAGAGGTTACAAAGAATTGCACCAGAAATACTTATAATCAGCCCTTCAGAAACAGGTTCTGCTCACCAGATTTTTCCGGGTGCTGTCGCTGTAGTCGCTGTATCGCGAGGCATCGTAATCCGGATTCACTGTTTCAGCCTGCAGGGAAGCATCATCGCCCCATCCCGCCTTCAGCAGTTTCTGCTTGGTCTTGCTACCGCCTCCCGCTGCTGCCTTGGAGCCCTGTGGTGTGGGCGTGGGAGTGCGTGGGAGTGCGTGGGAGGGCGTGGGAGGGCGTGGGAGGGCGTGGGAGGGCGTGGGAGGGCGTGGGAGGGCGTGGCACAAGCAGGGCGCAACAAAGGGGTTTTCATCAGAACAAAACGGGTCTTCTGATGAGAATGCTCCTCTCCAATCAGATCATATCAGATCGGATTGCATCGAGCATCACCTCATCTCTACCAGGGGAGGCTCACCCTATCTAGACGATTTTTTAGGCACCTCAGAATCCGCGAGAACTGAGTCGTTTCTTTAGGCGCCTCAAAGATTGCATTAAACATCATCTCGTCTCTACTCTACCAGGGGACGCTCACCCTCACCCCTATCTAGCCATCACACTGCACATGACAACTGTACCTTGGCTCGGGACTGATGGGAATCAGATCTGAGAGCAGCTGGTGAGTCGGAAGAGAGCTTGTAGCCCGTGCTCTCATATACGTCCTCGAGATACTTCATCTCCACAGGAAAGGTGCGGCCCTGGGCTTGGATGACCGGGCAGCCAGAGAAGTAAGAGGCGAAGAGAGACGCGTCCAGAGTGGCTGACCTGAGGGGGAGGGGGAGAGAGAGGTTTGGGAGGGAGAGACGGAGGGAGTGAGGAGGAGAGGGAGGTGCGGCCCTGGGCTTGAATGACCGGGCAGCCAGCGAAGTAAGAGGCGAAGAGAGAAGCGTCTAGAGTGGCTGACCTGAGGGGGAGTGAGAGAGAGAGGTTTGGGAGGGAGAGACAGAGGGAGTGAGGAGGAGAGGGAGGTGCGGCCCTGGGCTTGAATGACCGGGCAGCCAGCGAAGTAAGAGGCGAAGAGAGAAGCGTCTAGAGTGGCTGACCTGAGGGGGAGTGAGAGAGAGAGGTTTGGGAGGGAGAGACGGAGGGAGTGAGGAGGAGAGGGAGGTGCGGCCCTGGGCTTGAATGACCGGGCAGCCAGCGAAGTAAGAGGCGAAGAGAGAAGCGTCTAGAGTGGCTGACCTGAGGGGGAGTGAGAGAGAGAGGTTTGGGAGGGAGAGACGGAGGGAGTGAGGAGGAGAGGGAGGTGCGGCCCTGGGCTTGAATGACCGGGCAGCCAGCAAAGTAAGAGGCGAAGAGAGACGCGTCCAGAGTGGCTGACCTGAGGGGGAGGGGGAGAGAGAGGTTTGGGAGGGAGAGACGGAGGGAGTGAGGAGGAGAGGGAGGTGCGGCCCTGGGCTTGAATGACCGGGCAGCCAGCGAAGTAAGAGGCGAAGAGAGAAGCGTCTAGAGTGGCTGACCTGAGGGGGAGTGAGAGAGAGAGGTTTGGGAGGGAGAGACGGAGGGAGTGAGGAGGAGAGGGAGGTGCGGCCCTGGGCTTGAATGACCGGGCAGCCAGCGAAGTAAGAGGCGAAGAGAGAAGCGTCTAGAGTGGCTGACCTGAGGGGGAGTGAGAGAGAGAGGTTTGGGAGGGAGAGACGGAGGGAGTGAGGAGGAGAGGGAGGTGCGGCCCTGGGCTTGAATGACCGGGCAGCCAGCGAAGTAAGAGGCGAAGAGAGACGCGTCTAGAGTGGCTGACCTGAGGGGGAGGGGGAGAGAGAGGTTTGGGAGGGAGAGACGGAGGGAGTGAGGAGGAGAGGGAGGTGCGGCCCTGGGCTTGAATGACCGGGCAGCCAGCGAAGTAAGAGGCGAAGAGAGACGCGTCCAGAGTGGCTGATCTGAAAATAGAAGAGAAGTGGAAGGGAGAAAGGAGGGAGGGAAGGAGGGAGGGAGGAAAGAGAGGGAGATTGGCAATGGAGCTTGGTTGATGGGGCAGCTGGAGAAGTAGGAGGCGAACAGAGAAGCACGCAGAGTGGCTGACCTGCCTGCCTGCCTGCTTGGAACTCACATGAGAACCAGTTTGAAGGGGGGGAGGTGCGGCATCTGTCGTCTCATCTGCTGGCGCCGGGCCAGCAGGTCTCTGAGGATGACGAGGAGGAAGCCCCCCTGGATGGAGGGAAGAGGGACCACCAGCATGCACGCACCAGCAGCCTACCCAACCACCCAACACTCACATGAGCACGAGCTTTAACGCAGGGAGGTGTGGCATCTGTCGTCTCATGTGTTGGCGGCGCGCCAGCAGGTCTCTGAGGATGACGAGGAGGAAGTCGCCCTGGATGGAGTGCTCATGCACCTCGTCCACCACCACGTGGGTCACGTCTGACAGCAGAGGGTCGCCCACTAGTCGCCTCAATAAGATTCCCGTGGTGCAGAAGGTAATGCGCGTGTACCAAGTTCTGGGACGGGAAAGGGGCAGAGAAGACACACAAAAAAACGAGGAAAATGGGACAGAAATGACGAGATTATAGGAGATGGTTCTCCTCTGTGTCTCCCTGGTCCCCCACTCATGCCCCCCTGGATAGAGTGCTCATGCACCTCGTCCACCACCACGTGCGTCACGTCTGACAGCAGAGGGTGGCCAACTAGCCTCCGCAATAAGATTCTCGTGGTGCAGAAGAGAATGCGCGTGTACCAAGTTCTGGGAAGAGAAAGGGGCAGAGAACGTAAAAGAGAAACAAGGAAAATGGGGGGCTCACACCGCTAGTATGCCATGCCAATTCTTCACTCACAATGATTCACATGCGAGTGACCCCACTCACTTGACAGCGTCCAGCCGCACATGGTAACCAACCACGCCTGCAGCACCACCACGTGGTGACTACTGAGTGAGACTGATTATTTGGCAGCATGTACTCCCACTAGACGCCAAGACAAAGCACACAGACCCCACTCACTTGACAGCGTCCAGCCGCACATGGTAACCAACCACGCCTGCAGGACCTCCTCCCCTGCTGCCACTCCCAGCAGGCGGCTCGCACCGCTCTGCTGCCACTCGCTCTGCCACCGATATGGCCTGGGAGAGGGTGCAAGAGACGGGGAGAGAGGGTGAGGAGTGGGATGCGGGTGGAGTTGCAATGAAGTTCAAAGAATTCTGATGATAGTTGAAGAATCACATAGAAAACCTTCACGAAGAAGGAAACAAAAGAAGTTTTTTCTTGATTTCCTGGGAACCCTCATCAACTCACAGCAATTCGTCGAGGCTGCGTGCACACGATATTGCAGAACCCCGCCTTCCCGGAAGCTTCCGCCTCTTCAAAGATATACTGCGGCACCTGGGTGGTCTTGCCCGACCCGGTCTCCCCGCTCACCACCACCACATCTCCCTCCCTCAACGCCTGCACCACCTCCTCCCTCACTGCTGCCATCGGTAGCTCCCCTCGCTTCCTCTTCATCTCCTGCATCGCCCTCCTCTCACTCGTCTCCATTGCCTCTCTGTTGGTTCCCCCTGTTCCTCCTGCCCCTCCTGCCCCTCTTGCTCCTCCAACTGCCAAGGCCTGCCACTGGCGCCACCGCTGCTGCAGCTCCCGGCTCTGAGCCTCCCTCCTGCGCACCACAGTGGGGCCTGGGAGGAGGTGGTGGAGGGGGGAGACGATCAGGAAAGAGGAAGAAACAAAGTGACCTTTCTGAGTTGCCGCGGCCTCCAGGCTCTGAGCCTCCCTCCTGAGAAACACTGCAGGGCCTGGGGGGAGAGAAGGGAAATAGAGTGGGGTGAGAGAACAGGAGAGAGGGGAGAAAAGTGACTCCCGTGAGCCGCTTCCCGGCTCTGAGCCTCCCTCCTGCGCACCACTGCAGGGCTTGGGAGAGGAAAGAGGGGAGATGGGAGACAGAGAGAGAGAGTAGGCAATCGGATTTGAGGACTATATGTGGGCCAAAGACTCAATCTGTGAGAAGCTAAGGTGGAAACAACGCTCACTCACCTTCATCTTGCCCAAGGAAAGGAATTTTCTGCTTCTTCTGCCCTCATCCCGTCGCATTCCCATCTTCAGCACCTCTGGGTGCACTCTCCTCTACATCATCAGCAGCAGAAGAACCACCAGCCACACCAGCAGCAGTACCAGCAGCAGCAGCAGCAGCAGCAGCAGCAGCAGCAGTCTCCCTGGCCCTAATCTCTTTATCCACGAGTGCTGCAGCGAACTTGACTTGGTGCCTCGCTGCTGCCTCCGCTGCTGCGGCTGCGCTGCTGCTGCTCGTCTCTGCAGCATCTGGGGGAGCACACCGGGCGTCAGTCGTGGGAGAAGCAAAGAGAGTTTGAGTCGATGCAAGAGGAAACCATAGGGGAGAGCCAAATGAAGAATGGCCAGAAGAACCATGGCGTCTTGTGCTGTCACCTCAAGACACAGACTGTAAGATTTCTCAAAATAGATTTACCTGCTTTCTCTGCCAGCCCCAGCCACTGCTCTCGGTAAGGAGAGACCAGCTGATGGTGCAGCGGCATGTGGGGCAGGAGGGCGTGCAGTGCCAAGAGCGCCACTACATTCTGTGCCTCTGACACACTCTCAAACCCATCCTCTGATGTCGTCGCTCACAACAGGCTCACCTGCTTTCTCTGCTAGTTCCAGCCACTGCTCGTGGTACGGAGAGACCAGCTGATGATGCAGCGGCATGTGGGGCAGGAGGGCGTGCAATGCCAGCAGGGCCACCGCATTCTGTGCATCTGACACACTCTCAAACCCATCCTCTGCTACCTCGTATCACGACTCACCTGCTTTCTCTGCCAGTTCCAGCCACTGCTCTCGGTAAGGGGAGACAAGCTGATGGTGCAGAGGCATGTGGGGCAGCAGGGCGTGCAGTGCCAGAAGCTCCACTGCGTTTTGAGCCTCTGACACACTCTCAAACCCATCCTCTGCTGCGGAAACCTGAAACGTGATTGGCCCTACCCCCACTCCCCCTCCCTTCCCCCCTCCCGCTCCTCCTCCCTTACCCCCTCCTCCCCTCCCCCCCTGCCGTACCACAGTCACCGAGTAGCTAAACTTCCCTGCGCCGCTGCTTCCTGGAAGCTTCGTGTACTTGGGAGCGGGCCAGAGGGCTTTAAGGCAGTGCTGCTGCAGCAGAGCCTTGGGCTGCCGTTGCATGTCCGCAGCAGCAGCATCCTTCCCCTTCTTATCCTTCCCTCCTGCCTTTGCATTCCCCCTGCCACCCGCCAACATCTGCTGCTGCTGCTGCTGCTGCCACGCTTTCTCCCTCGCACTCTTCCTCTGCAGTGCCAGCACAGACTCAGGCAATGCTGCTGCTGCGCCCCTTCCCCCTTCCCCTCCCCCTCCCCCGTCACTCTCATCATCAAAGAGAGACATGCCTTCCAGTCCCATATCCTCCTCTTCTGCCTCCTTTTCTGCTGGCTTTCCTGCTGCCCCTGCCCCTTCTCCACTTGCAGCTTTCCCTCCCCTTTCCAATGGCGCTTCCTCCTCCTCTTCCTCCTCCCCAAACAGCCCAAACGCTTCCTCCTCCTCTTCCGCGTTCTCCTCATCCTCTTCTGCAGCAACTCGCTGCTGCTGCTGGTTAGCCTCCTCGAGCATGGACTCAGAATAACCTGCACCACCAGGGTAAAGGAGCATTCAGACGTACATGTAAACATGCACAGCTCATGTTGGTGCATCTGTTGGTGGTGCTGCTGCTGGTTAGCCTCTTCGAGTATGGACTCAGAATAGCCCGCATTTAGAAAAGAAACACCATGATGGCTTCTAACACGTCAAAGAAAGACCACTTCAGTAGTGCTTCCGTGTACATCCCCATTAGCCGCATTGCACCTGCCGTACCATATGCTGCTGCCTCCTCTTTGATCTCGCGGATCACCAGCCCTGCCTCTGCCTGCCTGCCCTTGCACCCTTTGTAAACATCACAGAAGTAGCAGCAGCACTAAGTCACATCAATGCAGGCCATACAGTACGTGTATGGTCCCTTAGTCACACCCATGCATGCCACACATACCATATCCTGCAGCCTCCTCCTTGAGCTCACGGATCAGCAGCCCCGCTTCTGCTTGCCTGCCCTTGTCCATGCACCCTTTCGCCCTCGCCGCCTCGCCCTTGGCCCTCCCCAGGTCCGCCGCCAAGGATTGCAAGCGCGGCTCTGCTGGGGCCTGGGGTGAGGGGGATTTTGGGTTTAGCTCCAAGGTTTAAGGTTTGACTTGAGGTTCAGAGAAGAGTGGCAGGGGGAGGGAGAGGGGCATCGGAATGCCTTTGGTGAGCGAGAAAACGGGAGGAAAGGGGAGGAAGAGCGGGGGGAGGGGGATGGGGTGGGAAGGGGGGGAGGCAGTGGGGGAAGGGGAAAGAGGGGAAAAATTCAATACTTCTCGTTACAGAAGGGAGTGAGGGAGGATGACGGAGTGTAAAGACACCTGAGAGAACACCTGAAGGTCGAAGCCAATACCTTTTTCCTGAGCTCCTTTCTGCGTCTTCTCTCCCTTGCATCAGCCCAAACCTGCAAACAGAGCACCGCAGAGCAGTGCACACACAACAGCACCAAGTATAGCAATAAACATACTGCGTGACAGGCCAAGACAGGAACACTGTGCAAACAGCATGAATGCAGGTAACAGCTTAGAAACGAAGCAAGAAAGGACCCTTCCAAGCCTCACCTCCCAAAGAGGAGACCCCTTAAGCAAGTCGTTTCCTGCTGTCGATCCAGCTGAAGCCCCCTTATCCGCTACCTTCTCCCAGTCATCCTCCTCCTCTCCGTCCTCCCCCTCCTGCTCTTTCCCTTCACCCTCACTCTCCTCCTCCTCACTCTCGTACTCAGTCACATACCGTTTGATCCAATCCGCTTGCTTCTTCTTCCTCTCCTTCTCTCTCTCTTTCTCTTCTGCCTCCTCTTTCGCTTTCCTCTCTTCTTCCATCTTCCTGAATCTCTCAGCTTCTTCTGCTAACGACCGTCCCCCCCTTCCCCCGTCCTCATCTCCATCTCCTCCCCATGCGTCGTCGCCTCCTCGCTGTCCTTCCCCTTCCACGTCAGCAGCAGCCAGCACCACCTCCACGTCACCTCGTGCCAGCGTGGCAGTGGCAGCTGCAGACGCGAAGTGACGTGGCAGCTGCTGAGGTGCCAAGTGCAGGCAGAGCCAATCAAAAGCTGCTTCCAGGGAAAGCGAGGAGGGGACGAGTGACAAGAGCGCATTCTCCACCTGCTCTACAGTAAATCCCTCTCTAGAGAGTGTTTCGTATGCAGATAATATGCGCCTGTTGGCTGTCTTTTCTTCAAGTGCCGTCATGGGACCAGCAGCGCTGTCTGTGGAATATGATGAGGACGCAGGAGAAGCATCCAAGGCGCTGCTGCCGTTCGCACCTTTCTTGGTATCGTATGCCTGAATGAATTCGTCAAACCGTGTCAAAAGATTGGGAAAGCTTCAGACTTCTGCGTCTCAAAAGGTGAAAACTGCTGCAACTGATCTCAGCCCTTTGTCGATCTCCACTCACCTTAACAACCAGCATCCGGAGCTGCTCTTCGGCCTCGGGACTCAACCGAACCTCCGTGGCTCGTTCGAACGCGTTCTTACCCAACCCTCCGCCAATGAACGTCACCGGCTTGGCATTGCCACCTCCCTCCACCCTCGTCGGGCCAGCAGAGGAGACACCCGAAGGAGCTACAACCCCAACTCTTTTTGATATGTCAGCCTTCCCGCCTTGTCCGCTGGGAGCAGGAACTGACTGCTTCCCAGTAACCCCCGGCGCTCTCCCTTGCGCCGCTCGACCCCCCCCGCGTCCGCCTCCCCCCGCTCCTCTTCCGCCACCGGCTGCGGCTCTTCCCCTTCCCCGTCCCCCTCCGCCTCCTTTCGGAGGCATCGCGACGGTACCAGTAACTACAAGGTATTAAGTTTTTGGTCCTCAGGAAGTCTGACTAGTGGAGATCGGGATGACAGAGGAGCTTCCGGACGTTAAGAGGGCCCAATCAAACGCTGCTCGTCTTGAAAAATGCGAACGTTTAACGGATGTTTTGAGTGTTATGACGAGGAGGATCCTGAGTGTGTCCTATACGAAGACTAGGAAATTCATACAGAACAACTCTAAAACGAGGACGTAGTGCAATGAGAGGGTATTGGAGCCGAGAGGCTAATCCGACACTGACACAAAGAAGCTGAACTCTCAAAACCCGAGGACCTTGACGGACCCTGTAATTGGTCTCCTGCAGCTCTCTGATTACGGAGACAACCTACCGCGAGAAGCTGTTGATGCTAAGTCGGTCGAGAAACCAACTAGAGAAGTCATATGATTCGATTGGCGATCGACGCAGCCGCAGGACACTGAATCCTGTGGCCTCACCTCCTAAAATTCACTGGTCATGCACTAGCCTTGTGGTTTCTGATAGGCTCAGGAATTCATAAGGACGTGATCAAATTCTGACATCCTGAAACGTGAATTCACGGAACCGAATATTAAACGCTTTAACCGTTGAATAGACGTGAGGAAACATACTGTACCGTTTGGTGAAAAATGTGGCATTGTCATCTGGATCCGTGAAAATGAAAGCCAATTCAGGACGATGACCTTCTTATTGAGCATTTCAATAACGAGATTTACGACAACACAGCCCTCTGCTCTGACAGCTCTGTCAGAGATCAATCTAGTCAGCCCCAGAAGTTTGGCCCCCGAAAACCTGTAACTTTTGCGACAACTTTAGCAACCGCACGGAGGGAATGACGAACTTCACTCACGTGCAGACCATACTTGGGCATCAGCGAAAGTAGTGTCGCTTTCGCCAAAAAATTCCGCCAAGTGACGTGTATGGCATTCCCAAAGAAATCTGGGGATCATTCATGAAAAGCGGGAACCTGCTCCTTCCCGAGTTATTCATGGAAGGCAATAGCAAAGCAACTTTCTTTCCCTCTCCGATATATCCGTAAGAAATATTCCCAAGGCTCGTAATCCCTATGCTGCTGTTCGCGATCCTCCTATTCCCAATGCTTGTATTCCTCCCAATGGACCAGATTCGATGCTCAGTACCACGCATGTATCCTCGTCGTAGGATTTTCCACTAAAGCACGCGCGACCATACCCACAATTACATCGTTACCTACCATCATCATTTTTGGATTATTCTGGAACACACACAGACATGCTCCATTTGCGCTGGTTCCTCTGAAGCATTTCTCCTCGGATCACTCGACATCTCCGTAATAATCATGATGTATCCAAATCCTTATTACTTACTTTTGCTCGTCCTACTCCTGTCCATCCTACCCTCGCTAAAGGCGGATCCGCTTGCGTCACTGGCGTCCTACTCTCCCACGGACAACAATATCACCAATATCGTTCCCCGTTCAACCAATGTAGATGCACCTGTGGGGCCGACATTACGGAACGTTCTGGATCTGCATGAAAATACTCCCTCATCCTCATCCTCCTCGTCTGTCGACGATCCGGATTTCGTCAGCACCGGTAACCATCTGCAATCACCCAAGGCGGCCACGTCAGGATCCACATTGCGGAGCCTCCTATTTTTGCGCGGAAATCTCTTCAACCAGGCCTTCGGCCAATCAGCAACCACCACTTTGTCCTCCAGCAGGGTCGGTACTGCTGATGGTGGTGTTACCGGTGGTGCTGCTAACGGTGGTGCAGTCGCTGCTGGTGCTAATACTGTCGAAGGTGACAGAAAAGGGCCTAGCAGTGACGGTGTCAGGGATCAACCTGACAATGCTTCAGAGGGCAGAACGGCGGAGGTAGTGGAGGAGGATGGGGAGGGGGAGGGGGAGTCAGGTGGAGACAGGAAGGAGGCGGAAGACGACAAAGTCAACACTGGAGACAGGGTAGAACAGGAGGGGGATGGGGGCGGGAAGGAGGCGGAAGAGGAGGGAGGTGAAGAAAGTTCAGCAGAGGGGGGAGAAGAGGAGGAGGAATCTACACCACTGGCCGACACTCCTGAGAAGCTGGAACGGTGGTTCAAATCTTGGCGGGAAAACGCCAGCGCGGTTCTACCACCAGCCTTTAGAGACGCCTCTACTATGGAGGTACTGGAGCTAGACGATTGGCCACCCGTCCCCGTGCCTTTGCCGAACCTAGGGGTGGACGTTCGTGTGGATCCGAGCCTGGATCCGAACGCCTGGCGCCCGTTTCATGTTAAGGGAACTCCGCGTATAATCACAGTTTTTTCAGCCGAATGCTCCACTTACATGGACTGGCAGTCAGTAGCGATGGCTTATAGCTTCAAACGGTCAGGCCAGCCAGGGAAGCTTGTGCGGCTTCTGGCTTGTAACGAGGATGCGCTTAAGGGGTACAGAGGGCTAGATATTGCTCCAACTATGGTGGTCCCTAATTGGAGCCGGGGCCCTAGAACAGGAGACTGGTACCCGGCGATTAATAAGCCAGTGGGGGTTAAATACTGGCTGGACAACAGTCCCGATGCGAATGACGTCGAGTGGGTGCTTATAATGGACGCGGATCAGCTTATAAGGAGGCCGGTGCTGCCCTGGGAGCTTGGGGCGGAGCGAGGTCACCCAGTGTCAGCGAATTACGGGTGAGAGATGGTAACCGTGTTACATGACGAATGGAACTCACTGCAAGATCCGTTGTGCAAAATCATTCCTCCTGTGGCTCCTCTTGACTCCTCTTGACTCCTCCCAACTCCTCTTTGCTCCTCTTGGCCCCTCATGACTGCTCTCTAGGCTCCTGAGTTTCCTTTCTTTTACCCCTCGCTTTACACTTCTCTCCCCCCTCCCCCATCCCCCTACCAGGTACCTCAAGGGGTGTGACAACAGCTTCGGCGAGCTGCACATGAACAACGCCACTTCTCATCTCTCTCACTGGTTCCTTCTTTTACGTCTCGCTTAACGCTCCTTCTCTCTTCCCCCTCCCGCGCCGCCCCACCAGCTACCTCAAGGGGTGTGACAACAGCTTTGGCGAGCTGCACATGAACAACGCCACGTATTGTGACAAGGTGAGCTCCTCCTCTTTCCCTCCTCTTTCCCTCCTCTTTCCCTCCTCTTTCCCTCCTCTTTCCCTCCTCTTTCCCTCCTCCTTCCCTCCTCCTTCCCTCCTTCTCTCCTCTTTCCCTCCTCCTTCCCTCCTCTTTCCCTCCTCCTTCCCTCCTCTTTCCCTCCTCTTCCCTCTATTTCTCTCCTCTTCCCACACCCAACCACGCGCACACACATTCTCGTTCTCCTACTTTTCTCTCTCCGTCCCACAACCCAGCCACACACCCGCGCACAGGGGTGGGGGGGGGGGCTACATTGTGATTCACGTGGATGATTTGCGGCACCTGGCGTAGCGCCCATCTGGAGCGCCAAGGGAGCGTAAAATGACAGACAGGATTGAATTATCGCTTGCTCCCTCCGCACCCAACCGCACCCAACCGCACACAACCACACCTGCACACAGGTGGGCGGGTACATTGTGATTCACGTGGAGGACCTGAGGCGTCTGGCGCCCATCTGGAGCGCCAAGAGCGAGGAGGTGCGGGCAGATGTGGAGCACTACACCATCAACGCCACGGGGGACGTGCACGGGCAGCGGTGGATCAGCGAGATGTATGGCTACTCCTTTGGGTCCTCCGATGTGAGTCGCACCCTTTGATGTGAGTGCCTCTGCGTGTAGAGCTGTTTGGCTGACCCAGTTCAGAGGTGGATTGGTGTGCAGCCATTGCCACATGGGAGATTTGCGGGCAGAGGCAGTGTGACCAAGATGAACGGCTACTCCTTCGGATCCTCTCTAGCGTCTCTATAATGATCCAATCCACTCCACTTTGTCTCCTCGCCCCCTTTCCCTTTCCCAGGTGGGTCTAAAGCACATTATGATTGACAGTGCCATGCTTTACCCAGGCTACGACCCTCCTAAAGGGGTGGATCCGCGAATGATCCACTACGGGTTAGAGCTCAAGGTATTAGATTGGCAATGGGACAAATCGGCCTACTATCGCCAGGACATGGTCAACACCTGCGGGCAGCATTTTCCTGACCCGCCGGAAATTTACGCGCTGCCCGGAAACCAGACGTACGAGGAGCGGCGGCGGGATTTTATCGTGATTGAGTGTATGGCGGTGCTGAACCGGGCTTTAAGGGAGTTTCACAGGGTGAAGAGGGGGTGTTTGGTGGAGTGGGAGAGGGATGTGGGGATAATGGATTTGGGTGGGGCCTCCCCTACAGTAACGGGCGAATTGAGGGCCGATGTCTGGGCTAGGGAGAGAGGGAGTGGGAAAGAGAGGGAAGGAGAGGGTGAGGGAGGGCGTCAGGGAGGGAGTGAGGGAGTGAGTGAGAAAGGGGTTGAGGGTGGAAGTGGGAGTGTGAGTGGGGGTGGGAAAGAGGGGGGCACTGTGAAAGGAGGGGCTAGAAAGGGGATTAGAGTGCAGGGTGACTATGTTGTGGATGTGACTGAAATGAAGGAACGAGCAGGGCTGGAAAGGGGTTTCCTAGTGGTGAGAGAACCGAGAGAGGGAGCACGGTTTAGGAAATTAAGAGTGCGAGGTGGTGCTGGGGAGGAGGGGAATATTCCTTCCGATGAAGACAGTGTTGCCTATGCTGATTCAGCCACAAACGAGGATGAAGGTGGGGATGGGGAGGCGGGGGATGGAGAAGGAGAAGGAGACAGCAAAGGAGAGGGAGAGGAGGCGGAAGAGCAAGTTAATCCAGGAGAGGGAGAGGGTAGGGAGGATCCAGGTGAGCTTGGTAATGGTACTTTGGGAATCGGTCACCACGGTAACCATGCGAGTATGAACCGTGGGAATGAGTGGAGGCGGTTTTTACAAGGCTATGGCTACGTTGCAGGTGGTACTGGTGGTGGGGGTTCAAGGGCGGTGGCAGCAGGGGTGTGGGTGTGGATACACGAAGACCAGCGGTGGATGTACTTGGGGTGGTTTGCAGGTATGGTCTTACTGTTCATGGGCGTAACACTGCGGAATAAGAGGAAGCGGAGGGGTGCAAGGTTAACCAAAAATTATGCGTCAAGTGGGGACGATAGGGAGGGTAACGCGAGGAAACCAAAACGCCGTGCTGGTGGACTGTCAAAGGATGTGCTTGTCTAATGGAGAATGGTTTGTACATGGCTTGACGGACAATAAAAAGCAATGAATATTGTATGTGCTTCTGTTGGCGGATTCACATGTTGACACTGGTAAAATTCACACACCGCTTTTTGCCTACCACTTCCATAACCATTGCTCGTATAGCCTGTGTGTAGTGTTGTGGCGCAATACTCTTGATCGAAATCAGCGAACGGGCTAAAAATCGCAGAAATCTGGCACATGGGTCCGCGTCGCACAAAAGCCATATGGGTCGCATTGTGCGGTTCGATTTTTGCATTTCGTTTCAATGCAAGCACCCCTTCCAGCTTCCTCTCGTCGCATCGCATCCCCATCTCCCCTTTCCTCCCCAACCCATGATCGAAACTGAATCCCACATTGCTCCTCATGCTTCCCACGTTCCAGAACTGCCTGCGCAAGCAATCCCACGCCATACCCGTATCACGCTTCCCATCTCCCCTTTTCGATTCGCACGCACGCATCGGTACCGTACATAGTCCAGCTCAAAACGCCGACCATAACTACGCCACCAGACTTACCTTATCACGGACCGGCGGCTATACCACCGACCAACCGCTATACTTGCCTTATCACGATGTACGCGCGTGTGAGGCACCATGAGTGCTCATCGCACATTTACATTTGTTGCCTCGCAGGTTGCGAGTAGTGATTTCGCTGATGATGGTTTCCGGAATGCTGCGAGAGCACAGATCTGGGAATTGGCGCGCATGCTTCCGGCGAGTTGCATTGGCTACGAAATTGCGCGCAGGCAGCACACGAAATCTGCCTGCCTATGGTCAACAACAATCTCAGAAGCGGGCAGCTGGTGCCACATTGGCGAACTATCAGATCCCGCGTATAGAGTTAAGGTCTCGATAGATGGTACAAAAAGTCATTGCACAGCTACGAAAGTAATTATTTTAGTATAGTATCAAAGTTCAGAGGAAATTCATCAGTGCCTGCATTACGGAATTTGTGCATGAAAAAATGTTTTATTGTTACAGATTTCAAGTACAAAATAATTTTAGAAAATGCATAGGATTTTTACGTCTGGTTATGCTATCATAGTGCTCGGTGATCTATTATTTAGAAACAGCATGTTTAGGGAGAAACTTGCCACAATATTTACAGTTGCAATATTCCAACCTGGCACACCCTTATGACGAAAACTGGGTTCCTTGCCAGTCAACATTCGTTGGCGACAAACCTGGGGGTCGCTAAGGGCTACGATTGGTCTGTACGTGGATTTTCGTCCTGCCAGCTGTCGCGACCTGCGGTTTTTTCCCTGCCTGCGAATTTTGCCTTTCCTGGTGTCGCATCATGCGATTTTCGCATAACAGGTCGCATTGTACATTACGATATTTCGCGCGACACCGTCGTTGGTGCAGAGCGCCAAGATGATTCGTCCACAGTCGCACTCCCAACCCTTGCGACCTGGACAACACTGTGTGTGGGGACAAACACCACCTGCTTGCTCACCTTCTTCCAAAGACTCATCCTCCAACGGCCCTGACTGCAGTAAAAGTTGTGATTGTTAACGTTACGCTGCACTTAGTTTCCTTCAACAGCCATAATTACCGCCTGTTTCAGAGTTCATTGGCATCGTAATGGCGCCAGTTAGATCACCCGATCTGCCTCTGGTGCCTAGCGATCAGATACAACGAGACGGTGTTTCCATGGCTTGGCCAGCTAAAGAACAGTTTTGTATCCGAATGCTTTTTAAATTTATAGATGCAACTACACATATTCCAGAGCGCTCTTCAAGCCTACGTGCAGACCTTTCGTGGGGCGCCTATTCTCAGCTTAGTGATTGTGTGGAGCTTGTTGGACTTATAATTTATCTTAATCTCCTGGCTTAGTTAGTTTCCAGGTCTATATCAATTCTCAGATTGAACCTGTGCTTCATTGAGCTGCAGTTTTGCCTGCAGCGAGAGGCGAGAGAGCTGGTGGCGTTAGCGGTGACATTAGCATCCGAATCTGGAGATTTCATAGGAGGCCTGAAAGGCCTGCATTGAGGGTTCTCAGCTCTACTATATAGTTGGTTTCCATGGCGGCGGACGTAGATATTGTAAGGCATCATGCTGTTCGTGTGCTGTAATAGGTCGTTCACAAGTGGGAGAGCATATGAGAACCATAGAAAGGCTTGCAGAAAACGACCACGTGAGCAGGAGGAGGTGGAAGATTTGATCGCGCATATAAGACGTAGACAGGCGGATCAGAGTGAGCAGAACTCAGGCTCAGCAACAGCACTGCCAGCAGACACGGTGAGGACAGATGCAGCACCCAGGAGCGCTCAGCCAGAGCAAGCAGATGAGATCCCAGAGTTGCCACGGTATGAATTTCCATCTGAGTTACCAGCAGGAGTACCGACGTTTGATATTGACAAAGCGTTTCTGAAGGTCGTCCACAGTTGCAATGGTGGCATGGGTTTGTCTGCTACGGACACCAACAACATTTTAGCACTGTTTTGCAGGCCTACAGCGGAGAGGCCGAGCTATACAAACAGAGCAGGCATGGATAAGTATGCCAAGTCATTGCTTGTGCAAATGACAGGAATAGAGGAGTGGGAGTCGGTAGATGTTAGTCACAACAGTAACCACGTCGCTATACTCTATCTAACATCACTCTCCAAGGCAGTAGAGTCGCTATTTTCGGAGCGTAAGAATCATGAGGGATTTGTCCTGTGGGCGAAACCAATTTACACAGCGGACGGAAAGCAGCGTATTTACGCGGGACCAGAGACCGGGAACATGTGGATTGAAACACAAGCGTTACTGCCTAGAGGTGCTATACTGGTGCCCGTGATACTATACAGCGATGCGACTAACCTCAGTACTGACGGACGAGTAGTTGGGCATCCGGTGTACATGACGCTGGGTAACATTACAGTCAAGAACAGATGGCAGCCGCATGGCCATATCATGATTGCCATGCTGCCACCCTTGACTGGCGTGGATGCAAAAACCGAAGCGGGGAAGGAGACGCGACGCGTGGTGTTTCAAAAAGCCATGGATCGCATCATGCAAGACTTCCGAGAGGCTTCTAAAAGGTTGGTAATTTGTACATTTGATCCATTTGCCACCTACTCTTTCCAAAGCAGTAGATTTTCATCCCGTGTCAAAATCAGATGTAATGTCATGCGTGTTCCTCTGTTTTTAATCCCTCACCTGCCTACACACTCCAAGAACGTGTTTAGAACGAACAACAACACTCTCTGTCTCATGACCTCCCTTATGCTGTACCTATGCTTTCGTTTTACCATCACACACACATTCATGACAAGCCTACCCATCCCACATCCCACCCCTTTCAGTCACCCCCCTCTCCATCACATTCTATCTTGCTTATCACACACATTACACTCCACACAAGAACATCATGCAGATAACCCCCTTCTTCCTCCTACCCCTCGTTCTCTCTCTCTTCTACCACTTCTTAACTCATTAGTCCATCAGACACATGCCTTCCCCCTTCTCTCGCATGCTGAATCCGTACACCTTTTCCCTGCCCCACCCCTCGCTTTGTTTGGTACTCCACAAACAGTGGGATCATCATGCGT